AAACAAAAAGCAAGCAAGCAAGCAAACTGCAAAACAAACAAACAAACAAACAAACAGCAAACACGCAAGCAAACTGCAAAACAAACAAACAAACAAAGTGTAGGCTGTGCCTTCAGTGACTTGTGTTGCAAACCAATACTTGTAATGCAACAGCTGCAAACCCGCTATGGCTTATCATGCTATTCCGTTTTTGGTGTTGCTGTCTGTCGGCTGAAAATTCTCAACTTTGCAGCAAAGGCGTAGTACACGAAGTTTACATCTGCAACTGCAGCTCTAACATTGTCACCTTTCAGTGCATCATTCGATTGCATGTGTATGTAAAGCAATGCTCATATGGCTGTGGCTCAAAAAACCGGTACCAAAATGGAACCCTGGCAATTAAGTGGAAACATGGACCAACACCTGCGGTTTGCCCCTCCTGTTTAGTTTGCCACACCCTAATATGGGGGATGGTCTTCTTTGGAGGCCCGTATTTTGGTCACCTTTGCCCGTTCGGTCGGAAAAAACCCGCCCATTCCGTCTCACATTCCGAGCGGGGCGCTGGCGCCTTGCGATAGTTGATGCTGACCACCTGAGTGCACAGCGCGCTGCGCCAAAAAAAAAGTCCCTCTGCTGACTGACCGAAGCCAATTGACTTCCCTCACCTCTCTGACCCGCTGATTGATTTCCCCAAGACTGATTCAGCTCACACATTCCGATGTGGATTGTTGATGAGAAACCGGCGGACAACTCCAGCTCCGCATTCCCATGCCCCTTCCGTTCCCAAATGCTGCGGGCTCCCGACGGCATATCCACGCTGAGCAAGGACCGTGGCCAGCTGCGGCATGGAATCGCTCGCCTTGTCGCCTGCAGATTTTTTTGTGGTCGCCAGCAGTGCGCAAGTTCTCAAAAGACCCCGCCTGAAACCAAGTACCTGAGCCATTGGTGCAACTTGTCCGGTGCAGCTTGAGGGTTGTTTTCAACCCCCCAGACGTTACACCCCAATGTCATTGTCGTACCAGGACACCGCCCCTCAAAACTCATGGTCCGACCTAAACTTTACCATCCCTGCTGATTTGGGGGCCCGTATCTTCCATGGTGGGGAGAGGGGATCAACGAAACAAATTGTCAAATTGTGTTTCTTGAAAACTAAACAAAGAAGGGGTGTATGCTGGCTTCTTGAACCTCCCCCGCCCCAACTTGTTCCACCATGGAAGACAGAGGTGGCAAAAAACATCATGGGTTTACTACATTGCCCAACAAAAACCGTATGGGATGCATCTTCTTCAGCTGAGGGCCTTTGTTCCTGGAAGATGGAGGTGGCAAAACACCATGGGTTTGCTACATGCCCCAAAACACATCACTGGCATCTCCAGCCCTGAGGGCGTCACCCGCCATGCAGAAGCACCACGGCGGGTCGCTGGGCTCGGCCATCCACGCGGGAGTGGTAAAAGTCCAGCAGAAGTGGATGGAACTGGCCTGAGTCCATAGGTGGGCTTTTGGAAAAATCGATGAACGTGCTGGAACTCGCTTAGCGTGCACATGTCAACCATTCCCGAAAGCCTGAGTAGGGATTGATCGCACCGCCATATCCTCAGCGAATCAAACAACTCGCGTGACATGCGCCACTGCAAGCCGAATGCGGCATACTCCATGTTGATGGCGCCTAAGGGCTGTCAAGTCGCTGATGTCCCTGTGAATTTCCACGTCGCTCATGGCATAGGTGGGCCTTCCAAGGATGGGAATTGCAGGTGAGCAAGCTCCACAACTCCTGCCTGACGAAGCACGATGGAGAAGGTGGCAACACCTCTCTGGACAAACGCTTCACTCCCTCCCCCAGCCTCAGCCTGGGAGGCTTTGGAGCGCAAATTTGGGGGCAGCTGTCCTTTTTTTGGGGGGGGCCAACAACATATACCGGTACCAAATGGAAGCCTGGTAAGTAGAAACATACCAAAACCTGCGGTTTGCCCCTCCTGTTTAATTTTGAGCCACAGCCATATGGCTGTTCCTTACGGCTTCCCTTCAACAAGCAAAAGCCCTTTAAAGGGTTTTTTTTGGAGGGGCCAACAACATATGGCGGTTGCTTTCCCTTCAACAACAAATTGCCTTTAAAGGCTGCCAACTCCAACGAAAAAAGCAGCGAGCCAACGACAGCGCGTGGCATTGCGAGCCTGAGGACCCTGAGCCTTCAGAGGCGGCGCTGGCCTGGACCATGACCTGGGCAGCTGTTGGGTTTCTTGATACCCTCAGATGCCCAGTGGCCACGGGAAAAAATGGCTAAGCTTTTTTTGTTGGTTGAGTTGAAAGGGTACTTTTTTTGTTGGTTGAGTTGAAAAGGGAACTTTTTTGGTTGGTTGGGTTGAAAGCGGAACTTTTTTGGTTGGTTGACTTGAAACGGGAACTTTTTTTTGGTTGGTTGAGTTGAAAGGGGAACTTTTTGGTTGGTTGACTTGAAAGGGGAACTTTGAATGGTTGGTTGAGTTGAAAGGGGAACTTTTTGGTTGGTTGAGTTGAAAGGGGAACTTTTTTGGTTGGTTGAGTTGAAAGGGGAACTTTTTTGGTTGGTTGAGTTGAAAGGGGAACTTTTTTGGTTGGTTGAGCTGAAAGGGGAACTTTGTTGGTTGGTTGAGTTGCAAGGGGAACTTTTTTGGTTGGTTGAGTTGAAAGGGGAACTTTTTTGGTTGGTTGAGTTGAAAGGGGAACTTTTTTGGTTGGTTGAGTTGAAAGGGGAACTTTTTTGGTTGGTTGAGTTGAAAGGGGAACTTTGTTGGTTGGTTGAGTTGCAAGGGGAACTTTTTTGGTTGGTTGAGTTGAAAGGGGAACTTTTTTGGTTGGTTGAGTTGAAAGGGGAACTTTTTTGGTTGGTTGAGTTGAAAGGGGAACTTTGTTGATTGGTTGAGTTGCAAGGGGAACTTTGTTGATTGGTTGAGTTGCAAGGGGAACTTTTTTGGTTGGTTGAGTTGAAAGGGGAACTTTTTTGGTTGGTTGACTTGAACGGGGAACTTTTTTGGTTGGTTGAGTTGAAAGGGGAACCCTTACCAAAAAAGAAGAAAAAGGCACTGGGCAACTGGGTACCCGAAACCCAGGGACCGCAGAGCATTCCTTGGGAAACTGACGCAGGACGAGGGCATGACATGTTTTGGATCACTTTGCGAGGGTCATCTGGGTGTGTTCTAGCCCAATCTAGGAGTAAACATGGGCAATTTAGCGCCCTGGCCCTGCTGTTGTAGCAACATGTGCCTTTTGATTCTAACAAAACATACAGTTGCCACGTTTGGAATCGAGCTTCCATTTGATAGTCGGGGGATCGATTCCAACTTGAAATGGGTGACCCAACCGTTTCATAAAGCGGAAGAAAAGCATGAGAATGGTAAGTGTCTTCTGTTGTCAAGGTACCTGCAGTTGGGTGAAAGATGGCCCAACAAACTTGCCCGTTGGATTGGGTTTGTTCCCAGCCCCCTCCCTCTCGCGGGCTCCTCTCCTGGCGCTGAGCCAAGGCCGCCGCGTGCTGGACAGGATCATCATCAGTCCCAGCACACCGCCCAGGGAGAAACTCGCGAGCCGGCCTTTGCGAGGGCTCCGCGGACTCAAGGCAACGAAGTCTCAAAGGGCGATTTGGTCAAAACCCAAAGCCAAATCGGTGAGCCCCCAGTGAACATCCGATTCAATCCAACCACTAAAATAGGTTCTAAAATGGGTGGTGCACCTATCCCAAAATGGGATCTTATTGGCTTTGACCCACGGCCAAATCGCAAGTCGCGGCTTCAGTCTCTCTGTGACCGGACAGTAGGAAACATGGCGGGGAATGTTGAGAAGAATGGTTGGGTGTTTGTGCATGAGGCATCACCGACTCCCCGACAAAATGAACTGCCACGCCCTTGACGTGGCTCTATGGCGAGAAAATCGGCACTCATTTTCATGGGGCCCCTTTTGAACAGGTGGAAATTCGGCGATTCACATCCGACCACTCGAAGTGGTTGGCTCAAGAGCTTGGCTCCGCTCCATCGGAAATGAAAACCCTGGGCTGACACTGCCAAGCCACTCCTCGCGGATTCGTCATCGATCTCCAAGTCCTTCATGCCTCGAGGCTCTGGAGCAAGACACAACTGACTGCGACCACAAGTTTGCGGACATCAAATTTCGGGGAAATCAAAAGGCCTAACCACTTTTCAGGTGGTTCCAACTCTTTAACATAGCCAAATGGCTGTGGCTCCAAAAAAACGGAATTCCAGAACGGAAGCCTAGTAAGTGGAAACATGGACCAAAACCTGCGGTTTGCCCCTGTTTAATTCTGAGCCACACCCAACTCTGCCAAAAAAAAACGAACGTCCCAAAGGCTCGGCCCGGGTTCTCAAAACCGCCCCCAGTCCATCAAAACCCCTGCAACAATTGTCTGCGCCTAGGCATCGCATGCGGAGGCCCGTCGGGACAGGCCAGCTATGGTTCCGGAGAGGTCCAAAAATGACGTTCAATGCTGTGATTGTGTACTGCTTATCGAGGGATTGTTCATCAAACTTGAAAAAACGCAAGTGATTGCTGACTCTGGTACAGATGGATTTTCTCTATGCAGAAGGGAACAGGCACTCTGCAAGTGTGCTTGAGCCAGTTGCACACTGATCAAAGCATCTCACAAATCATCAATCATGGGAGGATGCCCATGCCAAATGTGCAAATAAGATTTCTTACAATCAGCCATTCACAACCCAGGGTCCACGCCCACATCTCCTTCAACCATAATTTGGGCGAATCATTGTGTTGGGGGGGCCCCAAAAAAAAACGTGCTCCGCCTTTTGGCTTTCATTCAAAGCGAACGAAGAACTCCCTCCGACGACACCTTCTGAGGGTTTTTGTATTACACCCTGGGATTACACCCTTGGGAAATGTCCCAGAATGGTTCAAAATAACACGCTTTGATCCGGAAATGTGCCTAAATGGGGTAAGTCAATACCCGGTGGGTGTATTCCCAGGTAATACAAACCCCCTTAGACAGCTGCTGCACCTGAAAGGTCTCAGGCCCCAGCGATATCCAGCGAGAAACTGCAAGACATCGCTGCCGCGGGTGGCCTATGGGAGGAATTTCAAGCTGCGGAATTTCAAGTTCAAGCCGCCCTTGGTACTTCGAAGGGAAACACCGGGGAAACCGAAATCCGAAACGCCAGGTGAGTTGTTTTTTTGCTCAAAATGGCGGATCCTCTGTTGGTGGGTATTTGGATTGGGAAACCCAAAGGCTTTGGGACCGCTGTTCTGAGAAAGACCCATTCTGGGGCATCGATTCCTTTGCGAAGCCCCGAAATCGAAACTTGTCGGAAGGCATTTCACGGCTTCGATTCGCAAAGCCTGCCTGGGGTAAGACTTGGCGAGATACTGCCGGATGCCACTTTCGCACCAGCGTCTGCGTCACTCATCATGTTCTCACGAAAAGGAGAAAGAAACAATCACACCATCACTCCACTGTGAAGCCCAAAATTGCAGGATCGCCCTTTGGGGCTACTGTACCAAATGGTTTGACGCGAGCTGTGGCCATTTGGTTGCGGGTCAAAAATAGGGTAACCCCAAAATGGCAAGCCATCTGGTAAATGAACCCATGACCAAAACCTGCGGTCCAATTCCTGGGTTCATTTTGACCCATGCCCATGTGGCGCCGCCTGAGCTCAAAGGTTTCGGCGTAAGGCGCGGGCGGCGAAGATGTGCTTCCGTCGTCCGTAGGGGAACTGGGCGCCATTCCGGAGCACAGCTTCCACGGTCTTCGTGTACTCGGCGACGCAGGCTGAGGTCGTGTAAGTAATAAGGAGTACTGCCTTACAAGCTTAGCTTGGTATCTACTCCAAAACCCACTAGGTAACATAACGAGCGCTGCCTTACAAGCTTAGCTTAGCTTGGTAAATATCCACACATCCACAACCCACTTGAGGGTAACCACAAGCATGTGATCTGCTAAATTCTGCGGGGCGTTCTTGCTATGAATTGGCAATTGAGTGAGCCACAAAGGACGTGTAATCCCTGAATTATGACTGCAGGTGCTTTTCTGGTGTGATGTCCCCAAGTAAATATCCTCTCCCTCAACCAATGGACGACTTGCTCATGTCTCGTGTGCGACGCACCTCCTGAGCCTTTGGATCGTCTGGATGCCGGACCGGTGGAAATCCAACCTCGTCCAGCCTACGGCTCAGGCACTCCGCAGGCACTCGCTGCTCTGAATAAGACCTGTGAGTGTGAGAAGCATCAGACAAGATGGACCATGAGTTGCTTGCTCTCAACTCCTCAGCTTGGCCTTGTTGGGCAAACAAGGCACGGGCACAAGCACTGTTCCGGACAGTCTAGGTGAACTATGATACTCCACCAGCCTGAAAAAAGGTTGTTGGAGGGATATTTTGCGGGTGAGGTCGTGTGAGGTCGTTATAATTCACCCAGGGACAGTGGGAAATCCCGGTCGCCATGCCAAACCCCGGACTTGGGCTTCGGCATGTACTGCTGTTCGGCGGTCAACTTCCCACGTCGCCAGTCTGCCTCAGGCGGCGTTTCTGCGTGGCGCTGAAAAGAACTTCACGCCGCGACGCTAAGCGCTCCGCCCACTGCTTTGTGGCCCAAGCCTAGGCACTTCAGAGCAGAGGAAAAAAAGAAGAAGAAAAAAGGGGAGAGTCCGAAAACCCAAAAACCAGTAAGACAAACTACAAAGTGTGCGGTTCTGTTCTTGCGTCGAATGAAACCAGGCACTTCACTTTGGGTCACCATTCCCTCTCCCTGGACCAAATACCACCAGCATGGCTGACGCGCTCCCACCCCGGCACACAATCCCTGCGAGTTCACGGATAGACAACTAAGCGGCTACCATCAACGTGAGAAGTCGGGGTGAGCAGATCCTCGGACCCTCAAGCCACAACGTATGTGCTTCACCCTGAATGTTCCACCAGCCCGTCTGCGTCGAAAAGTGGATATGATACATTGCCATGATCGTCCACGTGCCGAAATGAGCCCCAACGCCAATAGACACGAATAGCAGCGATAAAGCCAGTCAATATTAGAGAACTTGTTCCCCCAAAAGGGCATGGCATTTTTAGAGCTCATCCCCACGTGTCTCTCCCGTGAAAATCGTAGACTAGTGCCAAATTTGACCAACCCTTCGGCGTGTAAGCCATAAAGAAAGTGGGTGTCTGCCAAAATCGGGGCGGGGGGGGAGGGGGGCAAAAAATGGCTCAAAAAGGGCACCCCCCCAAACCAAAAAAGACATGCTCAAAACGGGCACCCCCCCAACAAAATACAAAGAAAGAGAGAAAAAAAGAGATATGGCTTTCGGTGTTCCTTTCGGCTTCCTTTTAAAACCACCCAAAAAAGGGTAATTACCCTGAAAACAAACAAACAACACACACACCCAATGGCCAACTTCAGAGGCTCAGCCCGGAGCGTAGAGCGGAAACCCGCTGCTGCTGAAGTAGCCCGAAGGGACCTCATCCAGCGCAGCGATTTTGCTGACGGCCACGCGCGCACCAAGAGAGAGAGAGAGAGAGAGAGAGAGAGAGAGAGAGTGCGAGAGACAGAGAGAGAGAGAGAGAGAGGCTCAAAGGACAGAAAGAAAGAAATAAAGAAAGAAAGAAAGAAAGAAAGAAAGCAAGAAAGAAAGAAAGAAGTAAAGGAAGGCAAGGAAGGAAGGAAGAAAGAAACAAATGATTGAAAGATAAAGAGGAGAGCAAAATACATAAGAGGCAGAAAGAGAAAGAGGAGACAGAAGGGACAGGAGAGGAAGAAGACAAACGTGAGAAAGAAGAGAACGAAGAGAAATCAGAGCGAAAGCAAGAGAGAAAGCGCGACAGGAAGCTGAGTGCGTGCAAGCAAAACAATAAACTGCAGAACTCAGCAGGTCATAAGATCTCTGCGTAAGAGCTCCCACTGTCCTGAGCTGCGATGTCCCATGAAGCGCAAGCAACGAGTACAGTCAAGACTCAAGACTGTCGCGCCTTCACATAGGTCTCAAACTCAACGAGGCCTTCTGCAAAGCTTCTGGCCCCCTGGACGCATGTGCAAGCCGCTGCAAGCCTTCCGCTCTTGCTACTTGGGGTCCCCGCAAATTTGATGAAACATGTCCCCTTGGTTTCCCCTTGACGCCGCCAACCCCCCAACAAGTTAGAAATCTTCCCCCCCCCCTCAAAAAATACAACACAGACATGCTCCCCCCCCCCACTTTGGGGCGTCTGTTTCCCTTTGAAGCCAACCCCCAAAAACAGGTGCCCCAACAAAAACACAGACGCCCCTGGCGTCGGACATCGAGGCCTCTTCCTCCACATCGAGGCCCCGCTGCTCCAGCAGCTCTTGCTTCTCCGCACTGAGCGTCCCTGAGCCTCAGAGTTCAGGGGGGTCGGGGGGAATGGCCGCCTTTTGGTTGGGTCTAAAGGGAAACCCACGAGGAAAACGGAAAAAGCCAAAGGGCACGCCCAAATAGAGGACCCCCTGTTCAACTGTTGGTTGCGGTTGAAAAGGAGAACAAAAGAAGGAGCACCATTTGATGGACGCCTGTGTCCGGGGTCCGGGCGCCATTCCAAGAACTGACGCGCCACCCATTTGCCTGGACAAATCAACCTGTGAGCATGGTCAAGCCTCCTGTCACGGGTCATGGCTATGATCCCGTATATGTTCCTTACAAAGAACACACAGAATCGTTGCCTATTGAAGCCCCACTAAAGACATCCTGACTGTCCCCCAGGTCTTTTCTATGAGGGATTTTATGCATTCAGACTTTGCGCCACGTCGCTTGAGGGGTTGATAAGCGGCCTTCGTCTTGAGTGCAACCGAGCTTTCACCATCTTCAAAGCCCTCCAGGCCTATGTCCACACCGTGGATCTGCGCATTGACAGGCACTGGCCGTGTTGGATCCTGCCGACTTTCTCGCCGCAAGGTGAAGAAATTTGAACATCCTCGTGGCCTGACCGTCCGGCTGTCCCGGAGCGCATTGTAATCGTTTCACGGGTCCTTTGTAGACGACTTGTTCACTTCCAAAGTGTATTGCCCAGAAAAAGTATAAACTGTCTGCTCTCCGCTGATGTGGTCTCCCCCCATTTTTTTTAAAGTCCAGGAACTCGGGGAGTGAGCTTTGAATCCAGGTCGCCATAGCCATCCCAAAACCGTCTCCAAATCGGTCCTCCATAGTTTCGCGATAGGCCAGAAGATGGCCGTACATCAAGTCCCAGCCTCCACAACCCTTCACCCTCGTATGCGTCAATGTGAGCGTTTTGGACCCCGACACATGGCATCCGATCCCTTTAAAATCATGACCCTCAAAAAAAAAAACGACCCCCGTATTTGGAGCCATACCAAGTTGTGCTGTGCACAGCCATGCTTGTGGCCGCATCGCAGCTATCTCAGTCCCCGTCTCTCTGCGGCTGTCAGCACTGCTTCGTTCACAGCCTTCACGTGTGCGTGGCTGTCTGAAACATAGCAAGCAGAGATCAAGGCCTGCAGCCATTGCGATGCCTGGCTTGTCGAATCGAACGGATATCCGCGCAAACGGCCGGAAGTTCGATCGGGCCTTGCCGTCCTGGCCAGTCGCATCCGCCAGAATGTCCTGCAGTGCTGGCTGCAGGTCCTGCAACGCTGGGAAGCTCCAAAGAACTGGACAAGGATCTCACGGTCCCTCTTAAAAAAGGGGGAAACACATTGAGGAACCCAAGGTGCAAGCCTCGTTCTTGAAAATGTCCTTTCCAGGTCACGTGGCTTCCCTCTTGAAAAATGGGGGGAAAAAACAACCAAGTCCTTTCCAAAACAGAAGCCTCGTTCTTGAAAAATGAGAAGAAAAAAAACCGAAATTTGAGGAAGCCTCCCACCATTTTCCCAGGTTTTCCCACCTCACCCTTCTGCCAAGTGCCAAGTGCTAAGTTTCTGTCTCTGCCAGCCTTCCAGTCCAGCGGCCCGCCAAGCCGGCCTCTGTCCTCGGACGTCAATTGGTTGCACGGCTGCACCGGTGGGTTTTGACTTCAAGACCTGGTGGAAAAAAAAAGACAGGCACACAACAACCCCCTTGGTATATATATATATATATATATTATGGCACCCAACAAAAACCCTGGGGTGGACATGGCGGACTATATCCAGGTGAATATTCCTCCAAAATATGTAAGACTCATCTCGCGCCAACACCAGCAAACACAAAGATGGAATCGCATATTCCTGGTTGGGACCAGCTGCTAACCAGCTAAGATTTTTTTTCAGTCTTGGCCCACAGGTGTGCGGTGTGCTCCATCATGCTGCTCCTTGAATTCCCGCAATCACCTATAGTCATGAGGTGCTTGCAAGTCTCCCTGCTCAAGATACGTAAAACACCAGCTGACAGGGGATGGTCTGTCGCCATGCAGGCTTGGTTTGTTTGGGCGACCCGGACGACCATCCCCCTGGACTGGTTGGCTTCAAGTTGGTTCAAGCACCAAAAGCGGGTCATATTTCAGACACGTTTGGTGGTGCTGCCAAAAGTTGGTGACAGGATGAAAGGTCTCAAGTTGGTTCAAAAGCCATTGTCTTGCTGGTGCGATAGGCAGTGACTGAGAAATGGAATGACCCTTATAAACATTTATAAATCCTCCAACTGGTGGTTTCCTTCATTCGGGAATCCCTGGGTTCACTCCCACATTCCCCACCTATCGCACCAGCAAGTGGTGAGACACCCCCCTTCCCGCTTCCCCGCTGAGGTCAGCACGACGGCTGCCTGACGCAGTGCTGCCCGAAGTCGCGCGTCATGCCTCGGGAGTCGAACCAAAATGGCTTCGGTGTCCGCGGGAAGTCTCCTTTGCCTCCAAAAAAAAAAACAACAGACGGCACGGTAAAAACCAACCGAAAAACCAACAGTATCCTTTGCCTAAAAACCTTATGTGGTTTTTTTGTATCGCAAAAGAACGCCACCCAGGAAACTTCAAAAGGCCCTGGCACCTCGTGTGGCATGAGGCACGCGCTCGGACAGGGCTCGCCACGCCGCAGTGGGTGCCTCGGATGGTGTGTTGCTGGAAGCCCGTTGGGACCACATGGGTGTCTCGTTTTTGGGTGGGATTCAAAGGATTGACCAAGAGGAGAACCACAATTTGGGGGGTCCCCTGAAGAAAAGAAGACGCACGGGATCTGGACATCTGGGAGCTGGACAGGTCCAGAACCACCGAGGATCAGCAAGTACCTGCGGCACACGTCTGCTGGAAGCGGTCGAGCGTGCACGTGACCGAGCGCTCGTAGACGCCAGCGGCAGCGGCACCCCGCCCTCTTCTGCCGCACGCGGAAGGACAAGCGTCCCACTGCCTGGGGATTTGGCCATGGGTCAAATGTCCAAATCGTTTTGCCAGTGAACATCCCAATCCCCACTAAAATAGACGAAAACGACCCCAAAATGGTACCATTGGTTTTGACCCACAGCCATTTGGGGATTTGGAGTCCCGATCATGGTCTCGCGCGAGAGGAAGGGCCTGAAGCAGGTAGAGTGGATCTGGCTCGTTCCCGGCGATCAAGAGGGCATCTGGCACCACCTGGCAGTCAGGCCGGCCCCTTTCAGGCACTGCACGGGTTCAAACCATCACTGAGGATCGTGTCGCATCCAAAAGGAACCCGCTGGTCAGAGCCCGAGTTTGTAGTGCTCAGGCAAGCACTCCCATCTGGCGCGGTGAGACCTGCGACAAGACATCTCCAACTGCCTGGGGAAGGGGGGGGAGGGGGGGCGGGGTTTCGGGGTCTCTCAAAACAGGGGGGTCTTTTGCCACCTTCTGTGAGAACATTGGCGACCCCCTCAAGAAGGAATCCTTCACCACGAGGGGGGTCGATCAATTTCCCACAAAAGGTGGCAAAAAGACCCCCCGGTATCACCTTTGTTCCCCTATCCCCTTTCAAGGCCGCCCAAAGGTGCGGCACCGACATGGGTCCCTGTAAAGGGGGCCAGATTTCTGGCAGCTCACTCGCAATATGGCGCAAGCGGACGAAGCAAATATCCTGGAAGAGTTCTTCACCTCAACTTACTGTTACGAGCTACTCACTTCCCGAGTGGGCTGGCGAAAAGAAGGTCCGAACGTCTCGGGTACGACTAAGTTGTCTTCGTGCTGAATGCTTCAGGACGTCAATCAGAATCTGCGCTTGCCGCATTTGAAGCAACTGGTTCACGCCTCGCACTGGCCGGCTGTCAAATTTTGCACCTGACCAAGAAGCCACGCTCGGAACCTCTTGCAAATGTCACTTCGTGTGGCTGTGGCTCACATAAATGTACCAAACCTTGGGGAAATGGGACCAAAGACTGACGGATGCGGTTTGCCCTAGCCCTTGAATTTTGAGTCACACCCATGTTTATCAAATGCTGGCGCCTGCTGGTTCAGGAACTCAACCTCAGATCGGACACGGCGAATTATGGCCACTGACATACTGACATGAGAGGGTGGCAAGTGGGGCATGGAATTCACCCCCTTTCAGAACAAACACCTGCTGATCAAAGCAAAGGAGCCCGGAAGTGGGTGGATTTGCCGTGGCTTCTAAACCCCCCCTAAAGTTGGGGTGGGAAATGACCACTTCTGTGATACAACCAAAAGGGCTTTCCAAAGACTAACCCCCCCATATAAAGGGGGAGATTCCCTCGTCCTGTGTCGGATACCTAAGAGAGGATAGAGGATAAACCCCCCTAATCTCCTCATCCCCCCCAGGACGCGTCAATTACGTTTGTATCACAGTGGGGATAAACGGATAAACCCCTTGATCCAACATGATATCCTCCACTGCCTCGCATGGGCCTTGCCAAGCGTCCGCCGCGGCCGCGCCGCCTCCGGCGGACTCTGGGATGGCCTGCGCACGAACGAGCCAATGACACGCTCACCGGTCTCCTTGACTACAACAAAGGATGATGATGATGATGATGATGATGATGATGATGATGATGATGATGATGATGAGGAGGAGGAGGAGGAGGAGGAGATGACAACGACGACGACAATGCGGAACTGCTTGACCATTGCTGAAACGCGGTTTCCACCATGCGAACCGCATAAATACCCAAGACTACACATTGACATGGGTACAACTGTTTTTTTGTCGACCCCAACCAGCCTGGTGAAACAGCATGAACGAACAGGTTTGACTTACGGATTGCGAGAACAAAAACACAGGACAAGGTCTCTTCGCCTCCCTCTCGGCCTGGCCCCTCAATCTGTTGAAAGCGCTGGCCCCAGTATTTCTCCCAAGTCACCCTCACTTCAGTGGGGCAAAGCGAAACCACCCCAGTTTTTGACTTTACGTCAAGGACCCCTCCCCCCCTCCCCGCCCCCGAAACGAGGCCCCATGCGGCCGGCACGAAACGCCGCCTCCACCCTCTGGATGCCCAGGGACTCCTGGAGCGACGCAAGGCCCTGCAGCAGGCCGGCGCCCGTGGCCGGCAGCCTCTGGCTGAGCAAACATGTGGCCGTGGGTCAAAAATGAGTACCCAAAAGACTAAAACCTGGTAAATGGAAAAGACTAAAACCTGTGGGCCTCTGGTGAACCAAAAGCAATGGTACCATTTTGGGGTAGGTGAATTCACCACCCCAGCGGCCGTCAAAACCCAAATCGTACCCCCAGTGAACATCCCAAACCACTAAAATAGGTTCTAAAATGGGTGGTGCACCTACCCCAAAATGGTACCATGGGTGTTGACCCACGGCCATGTGTGTGTGTGTGTGTGTGTGTGTGTATGTGTATGTGTATGTGTGTATGTGTGTGTGTGTATTTGTGTGTGTATTTGTGTGTGTATTTGTGTGTGCATTTGTGTGTGTGTATTTGTGTGTGTGTGTGTGTTGTGTGTGTATTTGTGTGTGTATTTGTGTGTGCATTTGTGTGTGTATTTGTGTGTGTGTATTTGTGTGTGTGTGTGTGTGTGTATGTGTGTGTGTGTATTTGTGTGTGTGTATTGTGTGTGTGTGTGTGTGTATTTGTGTGTGTATTTGTGTGTGTATTTGTGTGTGTATTTGTGTGTGTGTGTGTATTTGTGTGTGTATTTGTGTGTGTATTTGTGTGTGTATTTGTGTGTATTTGTGTGTGTATTTGTGTGTGTATTTGTGTGTATTTGTGTGTGTATTTGTGTGTGTGTATTTGTGTGTGTATTTGTGTGTGTATTTGTGTGTGCATTTGTGTGTGTATTTGTGTGTGTGTGTATTTGTGCGTGTATTTGTGTGTGTATTTGTGTGTGTATTTCTGTGTGTATTTGTGTGTGTATTTGTGTGTGTATTTGTGTGTGCATTTGTGTGTGTATTTGTGTGTGCATTTGTGTGTGCATTTGTGTGTGTATTTGTGTGTGTATTTGTGTGTGTATTTGTGTGTGTGTGCATTTGTGTGTGTATTTGTGTGTGTGTGTGCATTTGTGTGTGTATTTGTGTGTGTATTTGTGTGTGTATTTGTGTGTGTGTATTTGTGTGTGTGTATTTGTGTGTGTATTTGTGTGTGTGTATTTGTGTGTGTATTTGTGTGTGTATTTGTGCGTGTATTTGTGTGTGTGTGTGTCTTTGTGTGTGTGTCTTTGTGTGTGTGTCTGTGTGTGTGTCTGTGTGTGTGTCTGTGTGTGTGTGTGTGTGTGTGTGTGTGTGTGTGTGTGTGTGTGTGTGTGTGTGTGTGTGTGTGTGTGTGTGTGTGTGTGTGTGTGTGTGTGTGTGTGTGTGTGTGTGTGTGTGTGTGTGTGTGTGTGTGTGTGTGTGTGTGTGTGTGTGTGTGTGTGTGTGTGTGTGTGTGTGTGTGTGTGTGTGTGTGTGTGTGTGTGTGTGTGTGTGTGTGTGTGTGTGTGTGTGTGTGTGTGTGTGTGTGTGTGTGTGTGTGTGTGTGTGTGTGTGTGTGTGTGTGTGTGTGTGTGTGTGTGTGTGTGTGTGTGTGTGTGTGTGTGTGTGTGTGTGTGTGTGTGTGTGTGTGTGTGTGTGTGTGTGTGTGTGTGTGTGTGTGTGTGTGTGTGTGTGTGTGTGTGTGTGTGTGTGTGTGTGTGTGTGTGTGTGTGTGTGTGTGTGTGTGTGTGTGTGTGTGTGTGTGTGTGTGTGTGTGTGTGTGTGTGTGTGTGTGTGTGTGTGTGTGTGTGTGTGTGTGTGTGTGTGTGTGTGTGTGTGTGTGTGTGTGTGTGTGTGTGTGTGTGTGTGTGTGTGTGTGTGTGTGTGTGTGTGTGTGTGTGTGTGTGTGTGTGTGTGTGTGTGTGTGTGTGTGTGTGTGTGTGTGTGTGTGTGTGCATGTCTGTAGCGGCCAGGCAGGTGCAAAGCGAAAAGGAGTGATGTCCCAGAAATTCGCCAGCGCTTGTTTCCACAAAGCCTCACACATACCCTCACATCTGGCCCTGGCTTCTGCTTGCGGCTGACGCAAGCACCGTCAGGCTGCTAGCTGGCACTGGCGATGAAAAGATGCGTGGCATCTGCGCGGCTTGCGGCTGCTGGGTCCTTGACCCAGGCACTAGCCAAAACCAAAGTCTCCACCAATGAAAAATAAGCACACAAGTGGGGAGACGAATTTCACCGAGGATAGTGTGCACTACCTGCAGGGCTGAAGCACATGCTGTGAGCAGCTCGCTCCCTGCAGGATGTTTAGCCGAGGCAACTGATGCCCGGCCACGCGAGGAAGAAACACAGATCAATCCATCCAAGTTTGTCAAGTGACTTCTAGACGGACAAATGACACCCTGAGTTTCTTATATAGCGGCTCACATCCGCAGCCGGGGTTTGGGCTGCTAATATTCAAACCCAGACGAGAGCGCCATTGTTGCAGAGGCGAGCACCGTCCTTGTTTTGGTCCACTGGAGGGCTCCTCTCCTTCAGCTGTTGGAGCTCGGGCGGACTTTCCAAGCCACCAGGAACATCAAGAGGCTCGCGGTGATGAGCCCGACGGAGAATTTCTGCGCCGCCCTGGTAGGAGCCGATCACATCGCAACTTGTGGCCTACTAGGGGCGCGCCCAAGGTGATGAAGATGACTGCGAAGCCCAGGCCGGCCTTGGATGCGAGCTGCCGGCCAAAAAGTTCTCCGCAGGATGATCAGACCCGAGCGCCCGAGCGCCCGCCGGGAAAGAAGCTGCAAGAACCTGGAGTTCCCCAGCACTGTCACGCAATGCACCCGCACGTGGGAACCAGCACTGTTGTCCCCTTGCACTTTGCACACTCCGAAGATCGAGAGCAAACCAGCTGCGGCAGGATCCACCCCTTGATCTCGGGCAAAGTAAAGGATAGTTGCCTGCTCTAAATCTTTGAAGTAGTTGCCACCCCTCTGCAGCATGGCGACGGCCACAACGACTGGGACAAGGGTCACAGCTGTGGCAAGAATCAGCATGGCAGTAGCCCATGCTGGGAGGCTAGTGCAGGGAAGGGGAGAGGATCACAGTGCCAAAGCCAGCCGCAGAACAAGCCAGCCCAGCGCCAAGCCCACGGTAAAAATTGAGGCATAAACCTGTAGATCACCTCCATCTGTGCCATGTAGAGGATGCCCATGCCTATGCCGACAGCAAACCCACACGTGGAAATCCACACATTCAGGGATACGGCAAGGCCGTCACCAAGCCTCCCACAAGCAAGACCACTTCCCACTCCATCAGCCTGGGGCAAGCCCGAACCGGCGACTCAGGGCTGGAGCCGGCACCTAGGTGAGCCACAAAATAAACACTCCTTGCCGGAGCCAATCAAAGCGGCGGTTCGCGCGCGGTTCGCCTCGTAGTGATCCAGAAGCTCGGCAAAAAAATGGGCGCCGCTCGACAGGTACAAGGTAAGGGACCAGATCAGCGTCAAAATGCCAATGCCAGCGCGCACAGCTGTGAGAGAGCGCTGAACTCTGCCAGGCTCCGCGACCTCCACTTCGGCTCAGTTGCACCGTGCCCTTCTTCGCTTCTGCTTTCATGGCTGGCGACTCGCAGGCTACGATCCGAAACTGGAGCCGAATGGCCATCTCGCACATGTCTCCCACTTCCCTGGGCCTGGCTGCCCTTGCCACATGTACCAAGACCTTAGCGCTATTCCCCTTATGGGATAAGTTCGAACAAAATCCGCCGGCAACCGGAACACTGCGATGTTTAGGTCCCCCTAATTGATGCCTACCGGATACGGGTATATTTCTTCGGGGATTGGCGGAAGAAAAAGAAAAGAAAAAAAGAAAAAACATCCTTGCCCAAGACTGACCGGGATGGCCCTAGCAAAGGAAATCCTGCATTTCAAACATCCACTGAATTTCTTTCAGACATCCGCGCAATTTCTTCCCAAGTCGGAGTTTACTGAAGGGATGTGGTCCTCTCAGGGCCCCACACCACCAGCTTCAGAGGCACGGTGACACCCATCTTCTGCGCCTCCCAACAGCTGCTTTGGGAAGGGGAAGCTGGGTCCCTTGCTCGGACAATCGTCCAATTCCAGATGCTCTCAACGCACCATCTCCCACCCCTCTTGGCCTTCCGATACTTGAGAATGAATGACTCACAAGGGCCTGTGCTTCGACTCAGGCCTGCCTGGGCCACTGGATTTTTTGACTGGGGGCCGAAATGGCCATCCCAACGAGCACACGGGTCTCATCTCATTGAGTCCCATCCAAACCCAAAAGGCAATCCGGGGAAGTCCAAAGGGAAGCCAACGGGCAATCCCGAGGAAAAAAGCAATGCGAAACATAAAGGGGAAATCCACAAGGAAAAGCCGGAAGGACATCCAAAGCGAAAGCCAAAGAGGAACCCAAAGGGAAAACCCAAAAGGGAAATCCAAAGGGGAAGCCTCCAAAGGGAAACGCGAGGGATCTCCCCAAAAGAAAACCAAAGGGAGAATCCAAAGGAGAAGCCAACGGAAAAATCCAAAGGGAAACCAAAACTAGGGAACACCCAGCGAGAAACCAAAAAGGGAAAGCCCAAAGGGGGAAAGCCAAAGGCGAAAACCCAAATGGAACCTGCGGGTGTCTGACCGGATGATGGCTCCAAACAGAACCAAACACATGTCCTCTTTAAATCAATGGCTTTACACCCGGAAACCCACCCTTTTGTTTAAGGTATACCACGTTTTATTCCAGATTTCACCTGGTTTGAACCATGACCTTTTGGGCTGATCTAAGCGGAGCATCTGGCAAAGTGATGTGACCCGATCTGGTCGTGTCAGACTGCCTGTATGACGGGGCGAGGCCCCTGCTCTTCGATGCAGAGGTGCCCATATTGACCCTCATGTTTGAGGATGTGCAGGTCCATGGAGGTGTCCATATGTGTACATGTATATATATATATATATGTATATATATATATATATATATATGGGTGTGGCTCAAAATTAAAGAGGTAGGGCTACGCAGGTGTTTGTCTTTGGTTTTATTTATTAGGATGCCATTTTGGTACATTTGGTTCAGCCATATTAATTGAGCCTGTCTTGGCTTGAGGATACTGTTTCGGGGGTTGGCTTAAAGGAAACACCAAAAACCGAAACCAACCCATTCTACAGCGAGGACCCGTTCGCGGAAACGAAACGAGACGACCCGTTAAGACCGGTCGCCTTCTCGAGCGGCACGTCGAAGACTTGTGGCCCAGTGGGCCCCCCCGGCCGCGCCACCACCTCCGTGGGCTTCGAAGGCGGAGTCGGTCCAGCGACAGGGGCCGCGGTCAAAACCGAAACCGCTTTGGGATCTGCCCTCAACCCCCCGGGGTTCTGAAGCAAACAAATGGTGGCGGTCAAAACCGTTGTGGTTGATCCCAGTTTGGTTGGGATTGGTGAAGTCACCCAATTTTAGAACCCGTTTTCGTGGTTGGATTGGTTGATGTTCACTGGGGGCTAACCGATTTCGGATTTTGACCCATGGCCACATGTGCCACGGTCAAAAATTGCAATCTTCGGTCTGCGAATAAACCGCGAGGGGTGTTTTGATCATGGCATAAACGGTAAGGGCTGATTCCCCACTCTCTTTGTTCATCCTTCTCTTCTAGCTAGCAATTTTCTCGGGGGGACGGGGGAAATTGCATAGTTCAAGAGATGGATCTTTGAAGAATGGGAAGAAACTAGAACATAGTGTGTTCACCACATGGTATCCTTTCGGTTTCCCTTACAAAATCCCCTTGGTTTCCCTTACAACATCCCCAGCCAAAAGGGGGGGGGCCAGCAAAAGAACTCCCGGCGCGGCCTGATAGGTCGGCATCCCAGGCCTGGAAACGCTGGCGCAGCTGAAAAACAAGTGCCCTTCACCCTGGGGCTTTCGCAAAATTCATGGACCCCATAGTTGTTGGTTTCCTAAAAGGGAAACCAAGGATGCAAACCTGGGTGTGGCAAAAATTTAACGGACTCCATAGTTGTTGGATGTTGTTGGTTTCCTTACCAGGGCAACCAAGGATGGCGTTTCTGGGTTTACCACTTTTTGTAAAACCAAAGGCCGTGCCTTGACGGAAGCACTCAGTTACGTCTGCGCCGGACTTTCTAGCCGAGGGCTGGGCACTTCCATGGTCGCTTCCTGCACGCCAGTGCTGACCACTTTCGTATGCAAATGGGTGCATGCATTTTGGGGACCCCCCTAAGATAGCTTCGGTTTTCCTTTTGGTGGCCTTTAAAACCAACCTAAAAGGGGTGCCAACAACCCAAATGGGCTTGGCACCTTTGAACCCAAAGACCTGGATCAAGAGAACCCCCAGCGGAAAGCACTGCGCAATAGTTTGAAAGCACTTGCTTAGGCCAACCATCTATCAAAGCACGGGTTATCTGCTTGCGTCATCTGTCACAGCACCAGAGGATGTGTTGTGATTCTTTGCCGGAGTCCAAAGATTTGTAGGACACTCAGCATGCGCGCACTGTAAGCACACATGGGTGTGGCTCAAAATTAAACAGGGGGGTTACGCAGGTTTTTGGTCCAGGTTTTCCACTTACCAGGGTTCCATTTTGGTACCGGTTTTTTGAGCCACAGCCACATCCACATACCGAGGCATGCATCTTCCTTTGGGCATAAGAATTGATTAGGGCCCTTTGGTGGATGTCATGTAGGGGGGTTGTGTCCCACACCAACCACTTCGGTGGTTTCCTGTCGAAACACATCTCCCATATCGCGCAGATGTGGCCATGGGTCTGAACCCCGTACCCCCAGTGCACATCCCAATCTCCACCAAAATAGGTTCTAAAATGGTGACTTCACCTACCCCAAACTGGGCATCCCAAATCGGTTTTGACAGCCACAGCCATGTGAGTGTCACAGCCCGGCCCGCCCAAAGTTTTCCGCCGAAAAAAAAAAAAGGAAAAAAAAGAAGAAGAAAAAAAACAGCCAATTGGACGGTGCCCAACTCGCGCCACCGAAGGCGCGCCTCCAGGCCCCTGACGGGATCTTGTTCCAAGGACCGGCTGGAGATGAAGAGCGACTGCAGGACGCTCACCTGAAATTTCGAAGTTACCCTGTCCACATTGCAACTTGTCAATGGTGGTTTCCAACTTTATTTTGGTGCTGAAAAAGCAACATGTCTCAAATGGTTGCAAAATGGAGATCTTTTAAGGAGCCCTGTAGAAGTTACCCTGTCCACATGGAAGCTGAGGGGTGGAAGACTTGTTTCACTTCAAAAGGGACTGGTGGGTTTTTGATGCTAGACCAGGAGAGTAGTGGCACGCCACCTCCCTTTAGAAGGTTGGGTGTATGCCGGCGAGAGCGAGCAGATTGTGCTATCGTGCCGGGTGGTAAATAGGATTCAGACCCCTCAAACATTGGTTCCCAAGTTGCCCCCCCTTCAAGCCAACCCTAAAAAAGGGTGGCCCAACATTCAGAGCCCCCAATTCCTGTTACCTCATAATACATACACATGTCTTATATGTGTACATATTATAATATACATGTAAAGGCGCAGTACTCAAAAGCAAGGGGCCCGGCGGCTTTCTGAAAGCTCCAAAGCTGTCGCATGGCAGTTTGATGGGCCTGGCTATGGTACTGACCTGACTGGCTATGGCATCTTTGTCAGAGGCGCTTCAGAGCAGTGGTGTGCCAACCCGAATGCCAGGTGTGCCTTCTGCATCCCCGGGAAAGGGCCCTTGCGGCTGATTCCTGCTCTTGCGCGGCGAGACACCGCCTGGTTGGCCCTGCCCGTGACTCCGTGGAGGGCTTGCTCCGTGCATTTTGTGCAGGACTTGCGCTGACTCACTGCCAACTTGGTGCCAATTTTTGTTGTAGACGGCTCTGGCTCAAAAACCCGGTACCAAAATGGAACCCTGTTAAGTGGAAACATGGACCAAAACCTGCGGTTTGCCCCCTCCTGTTTAATTTTGAGCCACACCCATCTAGTCTCACGGGTGCCGGCTCCATGAGTACGGGTACCCCCCAGTACCCGGCAGATCCAATAAGCAAAGGCCGCAAATCCATGTTTGCTCCGTGACCGGCTCCCCGAATATGGCGCTAAGAGGGGGCGGTGTCCATCCGAGCACTGAGGCCAACGCACGATAGACATCGTGCCACGCCAGCACGGCCTCGCGCGAGACGGAAACGAGGGCACCCCTCATGGCAAGTCCCCAAAGTTGGTTTCCCGAAAACCAAAAAGATATGTACACTCCAAAAAGCTGGTTTCCCTGAAGCCAAAGTTGGTTTCCCCCCAAAAAATGGGTACACTCCAAAAAGCTGGTTTCCCTAAAACCAAAGTTGGTTTCACCCAAAAAATGGGTACACTCCAGAAAGCTGGTTTTCCCTAAAACCAAAGTTGGCTTCCCCCAAAAAATTGGTACACTCCAAAAAGCTGTTTCCCTAAAGCCAAAGTTGTCCCCCCCCCCAAAAAAAAAATGGGTACACTCCAAAAAGCTGGTTTCCCTAAAGCACACTCCAAAAAGCTGGTCTCCCTAAGACGGTACACTCCAAAAAGCTGGTTTCCCTACAGCCAAAGTTGGCGTCCCCCCCAAAAAATGGGTACACTCCAAAAAGCTGGTTTCCCTAAAACCAAAGTTGGCTTCCCCCCCAAAAAAAATGGGTACACTCCAAAAAGCTGGTTTCCCTGAGACCAAAATTGGTTTCCCCCCAAAAAATGAGTACACTCCAAAAAGCTGGTTTCCCTAAAACCAAAGTTGGTTTCCCCCCCAAAAAATGGGTACACTCCGAAAAGCTGGTTTCCCTACAGCCAAAGTTGGCGTCCCCCCCAAAAAATGGGTACACTCCAAAAAGCTGGTTTCCCTAAAGCCAAAGTTGTCCCCCCCCCAAAAAAAAAAAGGGTACACTCCAAAAAGCTGGTTTCCCTAAAACCAGAGTTGGTTTCCCCAAAAAATGGGTACACTCCAAAAAGCTGGTTTTCCCTAAAACCAAAGTTGGTTTCCCCCCCCCAAAAAAATGGGTACACTCCAAAAAGCTGGTTTCCCTAAAACCAGAGTTGGTTTCCCCAAAAAATGGCAACACTCGAAAAAAATGGGTAAACTCCAAAAAGGTGGTTTCCCTAAAACCAGAGTTGGTTTCCCCAAAAAATGGCAACACTCGAAAAAAATGGGTACACTCCAAAAAGCTGGTTTCCCTAAAACCAGAGTTGGTTTCCCCAAAAAATGGCAACACTCGAAAAAAATGGGTACACTCCAAAAAGCTGGTTTCCCTACAGCCAAAGTTGGCGTCCCCCCAAAAAAATGGGTACACTCCAAAAAGCTGGTTTCCCTAAAACCAAGATTGGCTTCCCCAAAAAATGGTACACTCCAAAAAGCTGGTTTCCCTAAAACCAGAGTTGGTTTCCCCAAAAAATGGGTACACTCCAAAAAGCTGGTTTCCCTAAAACCAAAGTTGGTTTCCCCCAAAAAAATGGGTACACTCCAAAAAGCTGGTTTCCCTGAGACCAAAATTGGTTTCCCCCCAAAAAATGGGTACACTCCAACAAACTGTTTTCCCTAAAACCAAAGTTGGTTTCCCCCCAAAAAAATGGGTACACTCCAAAAAGCTGGTCTCCCTAAAACCAAAGTTGGTTTCCCCAAACATAGGTACACTCCAAACACATCTGACACACTGACATGCTGGCGCGGTCCTTGTATGCCGCTTTATCTCCGGCCAAGGCTGCGTGCGCCATCTCGCAAACCAGCAAGCTGAGCCGCCTCAAGTTTCATGCGGCGCCAAATCGATGTAAAATGCTCCTCTGACTTATGTCCACCAACCAATTGAGGGCATTTTTGAAGGCGCATCGCCGAATGCTTCGTTGCCCCCTGAGCGAAGGTCTCGGCTTTCATTCGCCGGTGTGCCCTTACAAAGTGGATGGCATCCTCGTAGGCTCCTTGCAACAGATGACTGGCGCTGCCTTTCAGTTTTTGCAAACAAGCGAGCCAGAGCTGCCCACCATCACGAAGCTGGCAAACGACCCAATGACCTGGAAATCTTTCAAACAAATACATTGACACGTCTTATGGGCGATGGTCATAGCTCTCTGAAGCCTGGCAATGGTTGTTTTGCTACAAAATTGCTATCCCGCACATGACGAGATTTCCCAAAGTCGCCAGGGAGCCTTGGCTGCAATGTCTGTCCCCTCATCCCCGGACTCCAGCCGCAAGACGTAGAGACCAGCGCCTGCGGCGAAAAACCTACGATTTTGGTTTTGACCCATGGCCAGTTCGAGTGGACCGAAAAAGATGTCCCGCCTGCGACGGCTCGGTATCTGGCCATGGCCTCCTCCAGCATCACCTGGCAATGCAAGTTGAAAGGTAAGACGGACTGAATGCACAATGGGTATGTGGGTATGGGTCAAAATCAAACCACCAACCGCACCACAGGTTTTAGTCCATGTTTCCATTTACCAGGGTTCCATTTTGGGTACCTAACACGGCGTTTTTCCATCTGGAATCTAGGATCAAGCGTCACATGTCTATGGGTCAAAATCCAAATGGTACCCCCAGTGAACATCCCAGTCCCCACTAAAATAGGTTCTAACATGGGTGGTGAGTTCGCCTATCCCAAAATGGGATCCCAAAACGGTTTGACCTATAGACACATGACACATAGCTTCGAATTGATTTGGCTGTGGCGCGAAATTAAAGAGTCGGGGCAAACCGCAGGTGTTGGTCTTTGTTTCCAGTCACCAAGGGGCCATTTTGGAATTAGCCACAGCCAAACTCAGGTGTGTCAAACTCTGGTCACCAGCCTTGGGCATCAGCACCAGCGCCTGGAAGTTCTGCTTCCTAAGAGCGTCCGACGTCGATTCGCCGCTTCGTCTTCGCTGGGCTTGAGCGCGGGGAGCGCTTGGCACTTGGGGTGCCTTCGGTTTTCCTGCTTCCCGAAGCCAAAGGGGGTCCACCCAAGAGGTCTGCTGGTCAAGGGGACACTTCCAATTCCATTCTGAACCCAGTCCCAACCTTTTCAGAAAACCAGAAAAAGAATCGGTCCGGGGAAACGGGAAACGGGTCGATCCGGCTATTGAAAAGGACGATGCTTGAAAGGAATGGAAAAGGAATCAACCCCTAAAGCTTGGGCCCGTGCTTCGCCGCCAGGCCCTGGCGGCACTGCCATGGGCACAACATCCGCGTCGCATGCAGCTTTTTCCCTGCAAGTCACCCATATGCCCATGAATTCAAGAGGGATTCCCTTGAGAGCGTTTGGTGGACATGACTCCCCTATTTGATGTCCACCAATCAGTCCCCCAGCAGCACCCGTACAGCACTGGGTATGATTACGTCCAACCCTATGTCAAAACAGCGGAGGGGGGGGGGGACACCAAACCTGTGTCTTCCTGTTTGCTTTTCGAACCCACCAGGGTAAAAAAAAAACTCGGCCTCCATTTGGGCGGGCGCTTCTTTCAAGCCAAAAGCCCCGCAAAAGTCAGCCCGAGTCTCCCGCCTTGATGACCTGTGCCCCCAGTGCACCATCGCCAAGCCTCGCGGCCCGCGGGGGCGGGGGATCTTTTGCATGGAGTCTCCGGCAGATTACCGGGGGGGGCTTGGGGGGGCTTGGGGGGGCTTGGGGGGGCTTGGGGGGGCTTGGGGGGGCTTGGGGGGGCTTGGCGGGGGCTTGGGGGCTTGGGGGGGGCTTGGGGGGTGGGGTGGGTGGGTTATTTCCAGCACATTACCAGGGGGGTATTATTTCCAGCACCTCGACCTTGAGGGGGTGGTTGATGCATCATATCGTTTTTTTTTTTCCTATCCGGAAAATTACTTGCCACCCTGTTTCTTTTTCCAGAAAGCACTTGGATGAGAAGTTCTCATTGCCCATGAATCATAATGCGAATCAACGCCGCTCTGTGCCGCGTGCCCCATTGGCACGATGGCGGTTTGCCGCCGAAGACTCAGCCTCGCATGCGACATGGAAGCTCCGCAAACGATGCCTCAGGCCTGGCCTGAAACCCTTCACTACCTCTTTCGCGGCGTCCATGTGCATCCTGGCAGTGGCAGGCAACGAGCAGAACTGAATCTTACAGAGAAGGCAAGGAGCAAGGCCGGTGATCAAAACTCCTTGAGAGGGAATGGCTTGCTCCTTGCAATACTTATCTGCAAACCCAAGCGGTGACGTCCCAAGTAGCCAAGCTGCCTTTACCATTGGACCATGGCATGGCGTCCACTGGGCAAACATCTCGGCGCCCGTTCCTTTGCAGACTCGGCGGAAGAGGCGGCACTGGCGGCCTCCGAACTCACGAGTCATGGGCACAACCCCCCCCCCGGCGGCTTCCTCAGAGCCTCCGACTTTTGTCTCAGTGGCCACACCTAGTCCCCTGATGCCCCAGGCTTTGTCCCCACTTGCACCCTGCGCCACACAAAAAAAAACACCCTCACCGCAGGCACGCCAAAGCCAACCGCACGCCGCACGCCAACCAAAGGCACGCGATCGCGATCGCGTTTTGGCAAGGCCTCTCCGGCTCAGGCTCCAGTTCAGGAACCTTCATGGGCAGTTCGGGCACCTTTGGCCGACCCAGTTCTGGTGGCGCCTCGGAACCGCCGGCTGCTCCGAGGCACAGAGCCAAGGGATTCCCGGTGGACTCCGGGCTGACCGTCCCTGATCCTAAACATCGCCTGGTACATGTAGAGACTTTGGTTTTGGCTAAGGGTGGTGTTCAATTTGGGCCAAGTGTCCTTTAAGGCGCCCTGCAAAGGGGGGCTTTGAGTGGTAAGTCCCCATTTTTTGAACGGGTTCCCGGCTAAGTCCAGCTTGAAGGAGCCATAGCATGACGTCCTGATGCAAAGGCAATCGCTGAGTATCATGGAACAAGGGATAAGCTTTTTTGGCCCACTCGCTGATCTTGGACGATTGTCGCTGATCTTGGGACATGTTTCAGCTCCCGAATGCTGCTCTCATTGCTCAATCCGGTCCCCGCCTCGGCGGAAGCCATGGAGCCCTCGCCTGCACGAGAGCCGACCACCAAACCCAATCGATCGAAGAAGCGGAGCCAGCGAGCGAGATGGGATCCCGCCGTTGAGCTGGACGAGGGGCTGAAGCCGCAGAGGGGCCCTGCATGACTGGAGCATGCAGCTGAAGGATTCCTCTGTTTCATCCCTAAAATAAAAGTCCAACATGAAACTAATCAGTGGGGGTGGATTCAAAGCAGCCTGAGGAGAGAAGGGAAGCCGAAGCTGCGGCAGCCTCAGGGCGCTGACGAGCGCGAATTCAAGCGCAAGTCCTGGGCATCCCACTGCGAGTCTGACACCCAGACGTGACCTAGCCACGCTCGTGACAAAATCTGCACCACTCTGAGAGAGGAAACACGTGCATGTCGGGCACCGAAGGCCGTGGATGGAGTGCAGTTCACAGCTGGCAGTTCTATCAAGGTTGCAAAATGGCCACCGAGAGACTAACCTCAAAGCAATTGATGAGATCTGAGAGGAGGGCCGAGGCCGAAACCCGTCAGCCTTGGCTTCGCACGAGCCTCAAAATGAGCGACCCCTAAAACTCTTTTGGCTTTCCTGAGGGTGTGCCTTCAACCAACCCACAAGTGGCAAGGGTACCCTCACACTCTCAAACACCCACATGTCGTCAATGAATCTTGGATACGATCCCTCTAAGTCGCCCGGCACATCTGACTTTGGCACTTGGAGCGCTCATGTCCGGTGCGACGTGCTAAGCATTGACCACTTGATGACAAAGAGTGGTTCTTCACCGGTCGACGCGTGTGCACTGGTAAGGGGGCAAGTGTCCATTGTTGTTCTTTGTTTCAAAAAAGAAGAATCAAACAACTTAAGCCAAGTGTCAACCATCTGATTAGCTTGATGTTCAAATGGTTAACAAAACAAGCTTGAGGCTCTGGTGGTTCATGTGCTGCCCCTCCATTTTGGCTTGATGCAAAAGACGCTTCGACGCAGTCAACCTCTCCACCACGATGACCGGATCTGATTGTTTCCATGGTCCAAAAGGCAACACCCGCTCAAAATGCAACAAACATCTAGCTCAAAATGTGTTTCCTCTTGTGCTCTCTTCAAACCAGCGCCAACAAGAGTACCCCAAAACAAACGCGCCACCCATTTGAGGTCAGCAATCATCGCTTTCAGCGCGTCGGGAGGGAGCACCAGCTCTTTTGTCGGAGCCTGCGTCGAAACGGATTCCGTCTCGCAACGGGCTGCAAGGAACCCTGGCCGACCTTTTGGCATTTCAGGCCCTCTTCTATACCTTGACATTTCTTCATGAGAGGCTGCTCTCCACGCCAACCCCTGCGATCCAACAGAACGCGGTGGCCTCGAAGAGCAAGGACCTGAGAATCGATTGAGTCGTCTCGGTTGACGGGCCGAGACGGCCACGGGTTGCGCAACCAAATCGAGGACTGCGCAGAGGCCGCACGGACAAGTTGCTCTCCACCTCGCAGGAAGCGGCGGCGGATGGCAAAAAAAAGCGGATGGCCAAAATCCCCCTATGGCACCTGGGAAGGAAACCCTAAGACGATAAACCCACGTATAAGCCGCCTACGAACTGCTGGAGTTTGGCGATCCATCCGCAGTATGAATAAAAGGCGATGTTCAAACTTAAGCCACGCCGAGGGATAACTAGGTACCGACCCTGTGACGACTTACCACATCTGTGACATGAAAATGTTTTCAAATCCGGTGAGAACTCCCGGCTCCAGATGCCTCGTATCTGCCAGCGCCCAAGACCAGAGGGATGTTATTGATGGCCAGCAGCACCAGCCCTGGTCGCAACTCATCGAACATGGCCGCGTAGCTACCTGGCGAGCGCTCGAGCCATCAGCCCAGAAGCTTCTCTTTCCACACAGAGGTGTCCTTTTAGGGGAAATAGATGGCCCTGGTAGATGATTGAGCCACCAGGTAAACCAGGAATCGCCCTCTGTTTTTTCGGCAAACCAACCGAAAAGGGCGCCTAGGTTTCCACCCGCGATCCGCGCGCCTGGTAGCACCCCTGACAGAACCGGCAACGCCATGGACCAGTCGACCTCAGCTCAGCTTCCCACGGGCTGTGTGGGAAGGCGCCAGGACGCACCCAGAGGATCGCCTGACGACTTCACGAGCATCCTCCCAAAGAAAGAGGTGGACCGCAAAAGAGAACCCTCCAAGGACGCATGCCCATGCCAGCGACATCTCACGATCTGAGTGCGTGACCACCAAGCCCAAGGGGTGCTCCCCAGGCTGGAAATCCACCTGCGACGGGCTTTTTTGTGCCGCCCAAACGAAAAGTTGATCCTTCGGCTTCCCTTTGAAAAAATGGTCGGCTTTTCCACCATGAGAACCATCAACTACACCCCTTGGGGCTTGGGGGGGAGGTAGGGCTGGGCTGGAGACTTGCGAAGGGTACTCAGAGGGAAATCCACCAAGAAAAACAGAAATGAGGACCCGAACAGGAAGTCGATAGGGGAAGTCCAAGGGAAAACCTAAACGGAAGTCCAAATAGGAAATTTGAAGCAAAAAATCCGAAGACGAAATCCAAAGGGGAAGTCTAAACAGAACCCAAAGAGAAGCCCTAGGGAAACCCAAACGAAGACTCAAAGGGCAAAGCATGGGCGAAGCCTGACGGAAAAGCAAAGGGGAAAGCCAAAGGGAAATCAAAGGGGAAATCCAAAGCGAAACTTAAAAGGGAACCATGGGGGAAGCCCCAAGAAAAAGCCCAAGGAGAAACTGAAAGGAAATCCCAAAGGGGGAAGGCGAAGGAAAACCCAAAGGGCGAAGTGTCTGGTCCATTTAGGGTCTCCATCGGGGGAAGAGCGAAAACAAACAAGCGACTACAAACACCAGCAAACCAACTTCCAAAAAAGCACCATCAGAAGAAAACAAAAAAGAGGAAAAATAACAACGGAGAAAAAAAAAAAACTTGTGGGGGACACCAACCTACCTGATTTCCGGGTTTCAAAATTTGGGGAGGCCGTTTCTGTTGGGATCCCCTGGGCCATGGCGTCGAAAACACCACCAACAGTGGCCTTTTTCGGAAAAATCGATGGGACACCCCCTGGTAAATGGAACACCCATCTAAACCAGTGGAACCCATCTAATTATCTTTACCCAAAACCGATCAACAGGACCCCTGTGACTCCACCGCACCGAACGCCTTGGCCCGAAGCGGCGGCTTCGAAGCGCCGCAGCCGGGACCCGGCGCCTCCACGAAGCCTTGGTCCATCTCCGCCTTCCGCTTCCGCGAGGCTTCCGGGGGAGCCCGCGCCTAGGGAGGCGAGGATCGGAGGAACGGAGGACCCGGTAGAGCTGGGTGTGCCAAATGGAGGTCGACCTTTTTGGTTTTTCGGGTTGGGTCCCAAAACGGAGTTCGACTTCTTGTTGAAAGATTGGAAGCCCCCCAATGATGGACATTGACCTGTTGGTTTTCCTTTAAACCCTGAAAAAGGGTGACTCCAAAAGAAGACACATCCAAATGGCGGGTACCAAGAATTTCTCCCGAAAGCCGAAAAAAAAACAAGGGCTTGGTCGCTGGAGGGCACTCGGTTTGGGTGGTTTTGAAGGGAAACCCGGGTCAAAATCCTAAAAGACCGGCGGGAAACCCCAAAGAAGCCCGAAAAATCCATCCGAAATCTTGGGGCGTCCGCCCTTTGGCGCATGGTATGTGGGGTGAAATTCAATGCCTCACCCTCTGGTGGACGATGGCCAAATGATGATATTTTGTGGCCGACGAGGTGTGTGTGTGTGTGTGATCTTGTTGTTTACCCTGGTGGTCTTGCAGGCTATCCAACCCAACCTGAACTATCACTTCAATATCACCCGTCGCAACTAAAAGCAATCAAGATAAACGTATTGCGTCTACCAAGCCCTGAAAAGTGACTGACTGCGCCACCACCTACGCGAAGCAGCGTCAAAACAACCAGCCGCATACCTCCGAGGTGACTCAACGAGCGGGCTCGGCCGCACGCATTCGCTTGATTGATAAATGTTTCCCAGTAAATTGGACAAGTTACCCAGGGTCATTTGGGGGCCAGGAGTAGTGATCGACCCCCAAATCAACAACTCATCATGAACAACTAATGAGACATGAGAAGTTCGCAGTGGGGCAATTGATAGCAAAGTGAGTCGGTTGAGGCACATCGCCGTAAAGGGGTGCAAGGGAAGACCATAGGTGTCCTTTTGGGGGGAAATAGATGGGTTTCCCTGGTAGATGAGTAAACCTGGTAAAACAGGAATCGCCATCTATTCTTTTGCAAAAACCACCAAAAAGGACACTATGGGAATGAGTCGGTTAAGGCACATCGCCCTATCGGGCGCAAGGGAAGACCCCTTCGCAAGCTGAATCCTGAGCCCAAAAGGGTGAGACATGGCTTTTATTGAGGCTGGCGCACGACTGTTGATGGCTTGCATCGGGATCCTGCATCGATCTCTTCCGAGTCGCACGGGAGCTTTGGGCATGTCCATCCAGTGCCCCGAACCGGAGTCCCTTCGTGCCTGGCATGCCTCCCCCACGTGCCAAGAACCGATGTCCTTTTTGAAAACCACAGAGGTTCGACTCATGACAGGTTCAATCCACCCGCATGGCAGGCCTGAGCTCGCCATGCTTTTTCCTGGCGGCTCATGCCCGAGGATCAAACGAGAGCTTCCTTTCGAGGGATGCCTCAAAAGGGGGAAAACCAACTGTCCACTTGGAGAGGCCCCGAATTTTGAAGCATTCCTGCACGATACGTCTGGATTCATCAGAGACCAGCCTGGGTGGCTCTATTACGTCTGGTGTCATAGGTGGCTTGACCTCACGTGTGCCAGGATTGCAACTCACGCCCAAACGAGCTGAGATGTGGGTGTGTCTTTTTTGATGGTACCGACTTTTTGGTTGGTTTCAAAGGGAACCAAAGGGTGCCAAAGGGAAACCAACCATTTTGGGGGTTCCCCTAAAAAAGACACACACACACACATGATGTTTTTTTTCAAAACAGATTCTAAGACTCCGGCATTCCGTGATGCAACCGCCATGTTTGCTGCAAGTTTGCCGTGGAATTGGCGCACTTCGCAAACAATCTTGCAGAAAAAGGAGCTCGAGTGTTCCCGCTTTGGACTTGAGCACTATGCTGGAAGCAAGCATGCTTGCAAAAACAAACGCGGCGGGTGGATTGGGTTAGGGTGCTCGGGCAAGGGTGTGCTTGGGGCTGGTGTGGGGCTGGTGGGGCTAGCTGGGGTTGATCCTTGCGGTCTGTGGGTGAAACTTGTGTCACTGGCGCAACGCTGCTTTGCAGCTGCGCTCGAGCAGGAAGCTGCGTTTATATATCTGATGTCCTCGATGGGATCAGAACTACTGGCTAAGGATTCCCATGGTACCCACAAAGTGGGCTGCCCTGGAAAATGGTATCTCATGGACCAATCATTCTGCCCTGATGGGTTTAATCTAGACCCATACCCATGTATGAATACTGATTGTGGTTGCCTCATTCTTCCAAAAATGGGGGGGGAAGATTCATGGCCCCTGCCACTCCCGTTGGTGAAAAGGGTATCTTCACCTTCGAGCTGACACATTCCGCCTTCGCAGCGTGCGTTGGGAGGCCGCATGGGCAACGACCTGAAACATTCTGCGGATCCGGATGGCGTCAACCCAGTTGCCCTTGGTAAATGGAAACATAGACTAAAACCTACGGTCCCCCAGTGGTTTAATTTTGACCCACACCCATATGGGAATGACTTGCAATGGGGACCCTTTGGTGGACATTTAACTTTAGCTGGGATTTTCATGTCCACCATTTATAAGGTGGTTCCCTGTTGTATATTCCAATCTTCTTCCAAGGCATCGCCGCACTTGTCATGAGGCCAAACTCAGGTGTTGCCCCCTCCCACCGCCAGCGTCGAACAATGAGTCCCGCCTCTTGAACACTGCTGAGATCGGACTGCCCTGAGGCAGACTTTGCTTACATGAATCTTCATGATGCGAATGAATGGACGTCTTTTGCTTGGGGAACCCAAGCTTTTGGTCGGCTTCAAAAAAGACTGCCCCTTTCTTTCGGACACCGTGGCCATCTTTCCCACTCCTTTCTTTGGTTTTTTGGGATGAGCGACACTGTTGCCATATCCCTTCTCCCTTCCCGAGGACCCACTTAATATTAGGGGGGGCCGTTTAGCATTCGGGGGAAGGTGTGTTTTTCTTCGGGTTTCCTGAAAAGGCTCCCTAAGATTTTTTAGCATTAGGGGGAAGGTGTTTTTTTGGGGGGGTTCCATGGTTTCCTGAAAAGAAGGCAGGCTCCCCAAGAATGGACATGGAAGGCGCCCCTTAGAATTTGTGAGGGTCCAACTCCTTGAGACGAAGCCAAAGACAGCGACGCCTTCATGAAGGTCGCGCTCCAGTCGCTCGTTCTCGATCTCCAGCCTCTCGCAGCTGGCCTTCGAAGAAGTGGCCGAAAGAGGGTGTCTCACAAAGCCCCCCCATTTTGGGGCGGCGGCTTCCTTTTCGCCTATAACAGCCAGAAAGAAAGGTCAATATTATAATATATATATATATATACATGTACATACATGTACATACATGTACATATATATATATATATGCATATATATATAATATGCCTCCAAAACAAAAGAGCGCGTCTTCAGGCAGTCTGCCGTTTACAGCAGTCAGAAGCCCACCTTCAGCGTCGCCAGCTTCTCCTGGAACATGGCCTGCCGTTCTCGCGCTTCCACCGTCAAGCCTCAAGGTGAAAACTGGCGGGGAGCGCCGGCTGAGCGCGAGCAAGCTCGGCCTCGAGACGAGCGCGATCACGGGTTTATCGACTTGGCTTAGACCTTAGGCCCTCCTTAGGCTGGCGCGATTCGACGCTCCTGCTTCGCAGTGCCCGTTTCATGTCCGTTGCCCCGGCTTCACCCGGCCGTTGAATGCCCACAATGCTCTGCCCGTGAAGACCGGAGCGCGATGTGTGATGCAAACGCACATTTTCTTTGCGTCCGTGTAGCCCTTGTTGTGGCATTCACTGGATGCCCAGTTGGCATCACACTATTTCACAAGCTTCACGCACTGCATTTCACAACGCACTGAAGAAGACGGCGGTGAATCCTGCCGAAATCACAGGATGCACCACTTAAACACATACTGGTACGCGCCTGCATGATATCACATAAAGGAGTTTTGCTGACCTTGGCGGCACCACTGCGGGCGTGACACTGGGGCGCCGACAAACTTTCGAACCAAAGCATCTTGCAATTGTGTGTTTGTTTGCCCCAAGGTAGCCTTGAAGACAGGATTGAATTCTCCACAAGGATCCCTGGGGGTTCAGTCTTCCTTGGGGTGAAACGGATAGAATCCTTGGCAAAAGCAGCTGGGACCCGTGCGGTGATAGTACGGCGGCGGGCGCCGTTGCGGAGGCGGGGGGTGCCGGTAGTAGCCTGCGAACCCAACGCGCCGGTGAAGGCGGGCCGAATGGACGGCGGCAAATTCGCTTTTAGCGGCAATCGTTGGAGCCCAAAAAATGGGAGAACGCGCGAAATGTTCAGCCTCTCCGTGGATCGCTTCCAACAAACAAACAAAACGGAAAAAAAGGGTCTGAGAGCGATGAGCCTGGCGGAGGAGGAGGGGGACGACCTCACAGCGCGTAAGATCCAAAGATCGCTCATGGGAAAATTCGAGCAGAACCAAAGCCATGCGCAGAATTCGCATGCCAGGTTTCGGATCTGGAACCCATGGAACTCTTTTCAGACTTGGAGCCCCCTCAAACGTGGCGTGAATGAAAAATGCAAAGGATGTTCACCAAAGTGTCCCCGATTTTGTCCGTCACACCCATCTGAGTTTGAGTAGCATAACTTGTTTCCGCTTTCAAAGTCAACCTCTGGGTGGGCTTAAGCAAGCACCCACTGGCATTCGACACGCAACGTGGCGCTGAGGCCCTGGCCATAATATCCTTAGCACAACACGCGCGGCACGAAACAAGCAAAGCGGATGCTAAGAGAGACCCGCGGTTGAAATTCAAAGAATTGGCTAGATGTTTCAAGGATTGGAGTAAAACGACAAAATCAACAAAGTCCCTATCATCTCCCTATCCACAAAAAATGGTGGGAGAAAAAAGAAACGCTGAAACTGGTGAGGGCCCCTGTTCAACAGGTTCTCCCAGTCAGGTTCCGATGGCTTGCACCGCACCGCCATGTGTGTAGCATCCGAAAGGAGCACCTCTGATAGAACCCCAACTTTATCATGGAACCCAGGGAACGCCCATTTGCAGAGGAAACCCCTCTTGTGGAGCGCCCGTGTTGGCGCCCTTCCGTTAATTGCCCATCCGAACGGGATGGCTCAAAGGCGACAGGTGAGTCGTAGTCAAAACCCGGTAGTAAAATTTTCTGCCCAGAACCATGTGAAGAATTGGGAAGGCGGCCGCAGCTACTTATGGTTGGGATCGTCCCATACTGACCTTCACTTACCCGAATCGGTTTTGATTGTGACTCAGGTGCGGCTCTGATCTCTGAGCCCCGGTCCGCCTTTGCCTCCCCCCTTCGGAGGCGGAGGTGGCGGCGCCGCGTACTGCTGCTGCTGCTCCTGATCTGCTGCAGCCTCCGCCTGACAAGCTCACGGCCTAAAAGAGGCTGCAAAACGCAGGTGAGTCATAGTCAAAACCCGGTACAAAAATGGTTCACCCAGAACCATGTAAAAGAATTCAGAAGGCGGCCGCAGCTACTTAATTTTGGTTGGGATCGTCCCTTACTAACCTTCACTCACCCGAATCGGTTTTGATTGCGGCTCAGGTGGGTAAATTGGGGCCCATGCCCCCCTGACCTTGTACGCAAGATGCAGGAGTAGAATTCTGATCCGTTTCCGAGAGAGGAATCGCTGACTTGCGGCAGACTCTTGGAAAGCACATACACAGAGAATATAAAGTGGACCCAAAACCATGTAAACAAGAACGACGGATTGTCCTTTCCTACCCTTCATCTACTTTGATGGTGGCTGAGGGCTTGGCTACGAGGATGCAAAACACGAGGTTGGGCAGGGAGGGCCACTCTTGTGACGTCTTCTTTCAGTGACAAGAACTGCCGTTGTGGTCGATGATGTTGCCGATGCCTTTTGGTGATTGTTCTTTGGCGATGATTTTCTTCAATGACGGGACAACATGTTGTAAGATGGGTGAAGTGGAAGTGTCCCTGTTGCGTTGCCAACTTATTAATCTGATATCGATGCTTGCTCCTTTGGGAAGTGTCAGTCAAATGGGTTGTACCCGTGGCTTTCCAACTCACGTAGTGATTCCCACGTGTTTCAACATGCTGTATCAGTTTTAAGCAACACCCCTCGAGATCAACGATCGCTTTGTAGAAGCTCTCCGATGATCATTCTGCACCGGTCAGCACACTTCACTATTCACTGCGTGTACAGAAACCTATTGCGCTGGCTTTGATTCAGTTCCACAGTTGCTCGTCGGAGCCGCCATATAGCTTGACGAAGCTTTAGATCATCATGGGTTGAGTTCAGTCTTTCATCAAGATGAATGGCAGAAGCAAGGAATAAGGAATGATATGGCTGTGGCTCAAAAAAGCCGGTACCAAAATGGGTTGCCTTGGTATGTGGAAACATGGACCAAAACCCGCGCTTTGCCCCTCCGATCGTTGAATTTTGAGCCACAGCTGAAGCACCTCAGGCCTGAAGCGCAGAACATCCTCTGACGAGCTTTCTGTTCGGGGAGACATCCTCAAAATGCCCCGTTCAAAGGAAACAAGCTGTTCTTCCAGTTGCCATCATTCCACTTGATCGGTGCTGCGCTCTTGTCAGACCCTAGCTTCGTTTTGGTTTCTTGTGGCCGTTCATCTCCTTGTTCAGCTGTGCCTTTTCGCTCCGTGGAGGTCCTGTTAGCCCCGTTCTCTGATACAAAAGTTAAAAGTAGGGCGTCCCCCAAAAAAGCGGGTGCGTCCTTTTCTGCAAGGAACCCCAAACAAATTGCGGTTTGCCTTTTGATGTCCCTTTAAAACCATCCAACATATCCCAAAATGAGGTACCCTCAAACAAAGACACCCATGACTGATTCGGATCCAGAAAGTAACGTCCTAAAACCGCAGATCTCCCACACCAGTGGCCACCCACCTTTTGCGGTTTTTGTTTGGGTTTTTGTTCCAAAGAGAACCTCCCCCACCGTGCCCTTCCGACTCAAAGGTCCCTTCACACTTGGCTGCGGGTCAAAACCAATGGGATCCCATTTTGGGGTAGGTGAATTCACCACCCATGTTAGAACCAGTTTTAGTGGGGATTGAATCGGATGTTCACTGGGGGCACGGTTTGGACTTCCCATGGCTCACCTGCCCTTCCGCGGCCTCGTTCTTCTCCTTCAGCTTCTTCTCCACGACGTGGCCGGCAGCTCCACCCGCGGCGGCGCCCATCAACCCGGCCATCTTGCAGTTCATGTTGCAAATCTCCTCGTTTTTTCTTTCCAATTCCGAGGGGGAGGGGAATTGCGGGCGGGAAATCTAAGCCATGGGATGGAGCCCCTACCCTGTTGCAGAAAACCAATTCCAGGGCAGAAACGGGGCGGGCGGGAGATCGAATGTGTGGGATGGAGTGGTTTTGAGTTGCGGAACAGGGTCAGGGTAAAAAATTGCTTGTCCCAACACGGCTGGTTAGTGTTGGTTGATGGGTTCAGTTGGTTGGTGTTGGTGGATGGGTTGGATTGGTTGGGTTGGTTGGGTTGGTTGGGTTGGTTGGGTTGGTTGGGTTGGTTGGGTTGGTTGGGTTGGTTGGGTTAGTTGGGTTGGTTGGGTTGGTTAGGTTGGTTGGGTTGGGTTGGTTTGGTTTGGGTTGGTTGGGTTGTTTGGGTTGGTTGGGTTGGTTGGCTGGTTGGTTGGTTGGTTGGTTTGTTGGTTGGTTTGTTTGGGTTGTTTGGGTGGGCTGGGTTGGCTGCTTGGTTACTTGCTTGCTTGCTTGCTTGCTTGCTTGCTTGCTTGCTTGCTTGCTTGCTTGCTTGCTTGCTTGCTTGACTTAGTATGCTTTAAGCCAACATGAACCACCCAATATGAAAGTAGTCTGCTTGGCAAATTCTGGTGACCCGGAATCCCTGTGGGACATCACTGGATCGTTTCCTTTGGATGAACCCCCCTTTGGCTTCGAAGGGGTTTCACGACTCGGAGCTTGGCTTTTGACCGATTGAAGGACCAGTTGGCTCGGAGACCTTCGGGGGCCTACAGGAAACCATGGCCCAACAGGAAACCATGGCCATTTTGGGGGTGGCCCCCAATTTTGAGACGCCCACTCTCCTTCGCTTTCGGGAAGTTTTTAGTGCACCAACGTTTGAAGCCCCACGTCAGGCGCTCGCGCTCGCGTCCTTCTCGATGTAACTCAGCTGCTTCTGCATCTTCTCTTGAGGATCCTGGGCCGAAAAAAAACTCGCCGATGCTCCTACGAGTTTTCCCTCTCGGCGACAGGGGTACCCTCGAAAAACGACCCGGACATTTCTTCAAGGGTATGTCACCTCAGGCTGTAGCAAAGGGAGAAAGCGACTTCGTTCAGCACGAGAAGCCCGGCCTTATCTTCCGACGCTTCCTTCTCCTCTTTCTTGGAGCCGAATGGCATGAGGTTCATGGGGTTCATAGAACCCAGCATGCCTCCCAGCGAGCCTCCTGCCAAAGCGACCGGACGGCGAGTTCCGATGTCTGAAATTCGAAAACCGAGGCGACTGGCGAAAAGTTGGCCAGTCCTGGACCACGTCCCATTTTTCCGCATCCCAAAAGAAACGGAGACGAATCTTTAAATGGCCTCAAGGTGGTTGAACCCCCCAAAGTGAGAACTGTCGCAACTCGCGGAATCCCCGCGGCATCCCTGCCTATGCCTCCCGGGCATTTGGACCTTCGGCTGAAAAACTGGGCCACTCTTGGGTCGAGACGGTCCCCTACAAGGGGATCGGATCGCCATGTTGACAGTCAGCCCTCTCTTGCAGCTCACTTCCGCACAACCGCCACATGACAGCCCCTAAAAAACTGACTCATCTAATAGGAGTGTGCTTGTGGCCCAGCCTTCTTGTCGTGCAGGCTGGGCCATTGTTTCAAAAGCCTCTTAGTTTGTTTCTGGGACCCACAACTCACCAGCGTCTAAACCAAAAAACAATCTGCTAAAACCAAACTGTTGCAACTTCAATGGCTTAAACCCAACATCTTCCGCAACTTCACCTCTTTTTTTCTCCGCCACCCGCTCACTTCACCCGGTGCCACCCACAAAAGTGCCGACTGAGGTCCGGGCGCGCAGAGCATGAAGGCTCCCATACCACCGGCTGCCGCTCCGATGCCAGCCCCCATGCCAATGAAGGCTGTGCGCTCCTGCGCCAGGAGAACAATCCATCGAAGGCCACACATGTTTTTCAGCTAAACCCATGGACTTGTTGGGTTCTAAAGTGGAACAAGAAAATAAGAGCTTACATGAGCAACTGGAGTTATCAGCGCACAAAAGCCATGGACTTGTTGGGTTCTAAGGTGGAAGAAGCAAATAAGAGTTTATATGAGTCTTAGTTAACCAAGCAGAACCGCCACTAAAATGGCTAATAGGGCTGGGCTGAGAACTTGCTACAACGCCACATGCTTTTTTGAATTCTACCCTCTGGGTCTGTTCTCAAGAAAAGCCAGAAAGATGACAAAACCCACGACGACAAGACCATTGAAGGGACAAAGGACGACTGCGACTTCAGCAAAAGGCGCTATCTTCTGTTCACAAGCCAACACGAGGCTGCATCTTGTATGCTTGTGCCGGCCTCCACATCAGACACCAAGTGTCCATCAGTGGTCAATCTACTTCGAACCAGGGCGTACATGACATCAGCGGGTTCCTGGCTGCGAACACGATGTGAGCCAAGCAAAACTGGATGCGGCGGTGTCAACAAATAGGACCCTGGCCTTGTTCATCGCTTGTTTATCTGTGAATGGCTTTGACGCTTCAAATCAGATAGCATCTCAGTTGCTTGTCTATGTCCACTGAGAGATGCATGAGCCCCATTGCCATCTTTGTCCAGATTGGGTTTGCCAACGCGTGATACGCTTGCCCAGCTCCCAGGCCAATGTCACAATATTCTCCACCAAACAATGAGTGCACTACATGGGTGTCTGTCAAAATAGGGGAACCCAAAATAACCTTGCTTGGCTAAAACCAACCCCAAAATGGGTACCCTCAATCACACACACACACACACATGCCATTGACGGAGAGGTGTAGGATCTTTGGCTGTGTTGGCAATGGTGTCCTTCCAATGCTCAGAACCTGCCGTAGCTGTGCTCTCCGGAGTCAAACTTTTGTGCTTCTTCCGGTTCTTTTGGATGTTCCCCGTCCAAGTTTGGCATGATGTGGGGGGGGGGTCTTTTTTGAGGGTACCCCCTTTTCGGTTGGTTTTGAAGGGACGCCAGCAGGAAAACCACCATCTGAGCGGGTCCCGAAAGGAAGACACGCCCATGAGCCGAGTGCCAAGCAACTCCCCACAACTCGTGCAGACAAGCAGCCCCAAAGGGACATCCGTGCCCGGCCAGATCTAGCTCTCAGCCAGGGACTTGAGCCAAAGGGTGCGCGAGAGGGCGAGGCGTGTTTCTTGCCGACGGTCGACCAGGTTCGCCCCACGACTGAAAAACCAAACACCGCTGGGTCGTGTCTTTGTGGGAGCTGGTTCTCTTTTTTTTGTACGGGGTTTAAGGGAAACCAAAAGGAGAAAAACTACATTTCTTTTGGGGGGGGTCCCCTAAAAAAAGACAAGCCACCCAGACCAAGAACTAGCAAGCCATCCCAAGAGCCTTGAGTTGCATGACATGCACCAGGCGTCCTCCAAGCCAGCCTGGTGATAGCTGCGTTCCTCGGGACTTTCGAACTTTCTGCAAGCAAAATGGCATGGACATGATAGGTTGAGCGCGATGAGAGCCTCTTTGTGCAGCTGAATCGAAGCTAAGCCAAAGATAGAGATGAAAAGAAAGAAGATGAGAGAAACGCGACATGACTTCTTTCAGTTCGCTGACCGTCGGAGCTCAGGCCAGGCGAGCAGACATGTAGTCTTCCAGTCTGAAGGCCAGAGCCAAAGGTTGCAGAGACGTCCGTGAGATCTGGGCTCGGTTCAGTTGCTCGCTCTTTGCTCGACGAGATCGGTAAAGCTTCGCTCGGCCACTCGTGGCCGCTCACGGCACTCACCTCCAAGATCTGGGCGTGCATTTTGTGTTTGTCAACGACCTGGGCGCGAGTTCCTCGTTGAAATTCATAGCCATCGCTCTATGTTCAGGGCGGCTTCTGCAGCACAGCGGCGACGCCTGTTCGGACGAAGAGCAGCTGGAAGTTGGCCACCAAGTGTGGCCAGCGCAGTGGACCGTAGACCCTCCCCACGTTCCATCTGAGCAGATCAGCCTCCGCCATGGGGGGCGCGATCAAAGTGCCCCCTGCGCGCAGAAGGCACCAGGCCGCCGCCGCCTGCTGGAGGTCGGCGTAAGGATTCAGCTCATCGCCATGACGCCCGGTGCCCGCGGAGCTGACCCCCATCAGAAGAACTCCATGGAACGGAGCGTCCGACATCGCCTGCTGCAAAGTCACCGCGCGCAGCTGGGGATGCGTGGACTTGTAGCGTTCTGGAACTGGCACCAGGGAAGAAACAAAAGAAGCGCCCAAGGACAGCAACAAGGATTCCAGCCAGGGACTCCACCATTCAAAGTGCTTGCTGTCGCCCCAAACCAGCCAGCGCTGCATGTGCACCAAGCTTGGTAGATCTGACAGGATCTCGGTCAATGCTCTGACCCGCTGCAGGGAGTTCGGCCCAGGAGCTAGTGTGTAATTCCGCGCTCTTGCCATCAACCCAATGATGGCGGCTTCAGACCACTGCCATTCCGAGCCACCTGGCTCGCGTTTTGGAAGCGTCCCGCTGCCAAATCCCAATGCATGGCGGATGGCAGAATGAGACAACACTGGCACTCTACCATTCATGGTGAAGCCGGCCAGCATGCTTGGCGGGATGCTTGATGGGGGCACTTGCGGAGCTTTGTCCTGAACTGCGACCATGCCACTCAGCAGCGCGTTGCAGCTGTAATGCTTGCGCGGAGGGTGTGGCTTACCCGCAAGCTCAGCCCCGGTCTCGCAAATCTCGCCGCAAGCGTCCAAAGCGGTCGATTCTGCATGCAGCAATCGCAGCATCTCGTCACGGAACTGTCCAATACGAAGATGCAAGAGTGACACCTGCTCCATGCCGAACAAATCATTCCCGCCCGTCCTTGCACTGAGGAGATGCACAAAAGAGCTGGCTGGCCATGATGCCAACACACGCGAGCCTTCGTCAGCTTGCTCGCCAGGCAGTCCGTGTTTCACGGCCATCACTTCCCTGATTCGCGCGTCTAGGGTCTGCAAAGCAGCGCCCAACTGCTCGTGCTCCCGGTTGCAGTCCTGATGCTGGGCTTCACGGCAGCCTGATGCTTGTAACCAGGAATTTTGTACAACCACTGCATGGAAGGAGTTGAGAAGTCGCTGCAAAGAAGAGCAGGCAAAGATAAACTGGTGCCTGAAAACGGACACATCTTCAGAAACATGCGACTCTGTTATGTCCGCATCACATACTCTCCAGCGCTCTAAGCAGCAGGTGCTGTAAGAAAGTGGCGGCATCACCCAACAATCCTTGTTTCCTTCTGGCCCCAGCTCGGGCGCACAACAGCTCTCGTAACCAGAGGCGATCCAACAAATCGCCTCCCCGTACTGCAGCCAGGTGCCGACGTCATCTATGGGCCGAGCACTCACGGACACAAGCCATAGCCAGCGCATCGGGTCTTGACTTGAGGCCCAGCACTATCAATCAGTTGCCAGTGCATCCACCCCACAAGCACTGACCTTGGCATTGGAACCTTCCCTCATTGAGGCTAACCGAATACATTGCCCCTTGACATCGGACCATGCAGCATCAGCAGGCCTTCATGGCTGTCTTGTTCCTGTGCTGTGGATTTGTTGCTTGGCGCAGAGCTATGGTTGCCAGTGTCATGCTCAACTAAATCCGATAGTTGCAAATGCTCATATCTCGCAACGCATCTGCTTACTGGAGGCTTCATTGGCTCAAGTTTGCACATCATCAGTCAGCCACTATGAACGCAAAACAGCCGCAATCAGCCTACCAGAGTCTCCTTCAGAGCAGCCAGCCCCCCCAAAGGCCCAAGTGCCATTCCATCTGGACTTCCATGTCCATTTGGCGCGCCGCAAAAACCAACTGAGACTCCATCCAGACGTTGTCCTTCCCGACGCAGGCGCGTGGCTTCGTCCTACGCGATTCGAATCGCATCGCGTTCCGCGGTGCGTCATTCTGCCCATGGGACCCACAGGAAACGTGTCGATGACATTATAAGCCGAGGGTCACTGATACAAATGCCGGAAAAGCAAAATGACATCAAAACAGAACTCTGAACCGAGCTGTTCCTTGTGCGTAGTTCTGAAATGGGCCACAATTGGGGATGTGAGACCTATGCGCTGCGAGCCTACTTACGCAAATGCCTCTACTACTGTGCAAAGACGAGGGGTGAAAAAAGCGTGCCTATGCTGCAAGACGCCAGCGCCTCGCCTTTCTCGAGCGCTTGACATCGTGTCCCGTTGCCGGATGTTCAAGACATGCGCTGCAACGACAGCCAGTTCGATGCGAGTCCTGTGTCTTCGTGGCAGTTCTCATTCGGGCGCAGAGCTGCTTTTAGGTCAATGGACGGGTGCAGAAAAGCACATTGTCTCATAGACATCTAAAAGAAGCCTATGAGGAAAACATGGTTGGCCACACGGATCCATAGCATCAAGGTCCATGATGGCATAAGGAGGGAGCAGACTGCTGCTCGAACGGTGCGAAAGCAAGACGCGAGCGATAGGCGTACGAGGTCTTGTAGAAACACAGCCTATGCAGCACGAGAATATCCTGCCTACTAGGTTTGCCTCCACGAAATCCTGGCAGAAGAGTTCCAGTTGAACGCTAAACAAGTATATGGTAAGAAACGACTCTGCTCAGATTGCACCCTGATGCATTCCCAGGTGCCACCCTCGCCTAAAGCAAATAACCCATATCTTCATCACCCATGCTGCGAGATCAAAAGCTAGCATCTTGTATGCTCGCTGGGAATGACAGGAGAAACGCAACGTCTGGCTGGTCAAGTTGGTGCTTCTCTTTTTGGGGTTGAATGCAAACGATCTCGTGTGTTTGAGGTGTGAATCAGCCACGATTCGTTGAATCAATCGCTTGCTGAAAAGCACGCGCGTGTGCGCAGAATGTGTTGGGCGGAAGACAGGTCGCACGCACTACGCCGGATACTGGAAGTTGGGCACAGCTGGTGATTTGCGATGCCTTCTTCAACCGTTCTCTGCCCGCTGTGAGCGGACCGGGAAAGAAGAAATGATATTCTTTAGAGTGCGTTATATACTTGTCAACACCAAGCCTGTTTTTGGCCCTGCATCTTGCTGCTTGGTTTGTGCCAAATTGTGGGCCCCAAAAGCTAGGGGTTGAAAAACGGAGACCTGTTCCCTTCTTGCCCGATGCAATCATGTCGTGAGGACGATGTCAGTGCGCCTGCATGCTGCGCAGCCACTGCTGGTGCCTGGATGGGGTATGTTCACGGGACCCACGAAAAACGGCTATCTTTTGCAAAAGATGTGTCTTACAAAAAGCTTCTCCAAGCAGGTCTCGTCTCCCTTTTGGTTCCCATTCGAAACACCTAAGGTTGACCCAGGAGTAATAAACCCGTCCCATTATTAGGGGGGTGTTCCCTGCAAAAGTGATGAATCCCCACTAAAAGGGGACACCCCCCGATCAAAATCAACCAGGAGTTCTGCTTAATCCTGGGTTAACTTTTGAGGTCTTCAGTTCTGAGTCGAGACTTCCAAGCCGCCTGTGGCGGCTATCCCGCAGCTCGGCATTTGCAGTCGCAGACTCAGAGGCGGCCATCTGCGTGCGCTGAAGCCGGCGCAAATGGCCGGAACAAATCGACGAAAGTCCGCTTTTTCGTTGGAAATGGAGAGGTCAACATAGAGGGACCCACCGAAATGATGGATGGTTCCCACACACCCGTGCTATGAATTTTAAGGGGGAAGCCTCTGAAAAGTGGCCGGTGGACCTTTTTATCCCCACCGAAATTTGACGTCCACCAGCTCGGGTCCCTAATTAAAAATCAGATCCATGTGGCCGGGATCTCCTTCGTTGCTGTAACGACCTTTCTGCAAAAAATAACTTGTGGGTTCACTGGAAAACCCTTGAACTCCACCAAAAAAAAAGAGTCTAAAGATCCAACCGAATAGCAATCAAGTATCCTTGGTGAACATCAACATGTTTCAAATGGATGTTCATCCCCAAAATGGGATCGCCATAGGTGCCCCATGGCCACATGCCTAGAACCCAAAAACCCCTCCGGTACACCTTCCAAGCCGCCTGGATTTCCACATCGGCTTCCCGCAGCTCCTCTCTGACAGCGGCCACCTGGCGAGGGCGTTCGGCCAGAGCTTCCTTTCGACGCTGGGAAAAACCTTCATGCAAGCTTCATGCAAGCCATGTGAAGATACTAAGCTGCTTTGGGCATGTGAAGTGGTTCGACTTTGGGTATGCTGATTTATTCGAAATTGCTTCGACTTTGGGTATGTCAATTGGTTCGACTTTGGATATGTTTCTTGCTAATTAGTCTGACTCTGGCTGTGGCTAAGCTAATTGATTCGACTTGGGTATGTCAAGTGGATCGATGTTGGATATGCTGATGGGATTGGCTTTGGGTATGTTAATTGGTTCGACTTCGACTTTGAGGATGCTAACTGGTTCAACTGTGGGTATGTCATGTCACGTGGTTCGACTTTTGGTATGCTAGTTGGTTCGACGTTGCATGCGCTGATTGGCTTGACTTGAGGATGCTAATTGGTTCGACTCTAGGTATGCCAATTGGTGCCAGTTTGGGTATGAATTTGTTCACCTTTGGCATGACTTTCAGTTGATTCAACTTTGGGTAGGTTGAATGGCTTGGCCTTGGGTATGGCTCTTGACTGGATCGACTTTGGGTATGACTTTTCACGGGTTCGGCATTGTGTGCGTGATTTAAACGGGTTCGTCCTCGGCTTCAGGTCTAATTTGAGCTGGTTTGACTTTGGGTATGAAGTTAAATTGGCTAAATTTTGCGCATGTACTTGGTTGGACCCTGTGGACAGTTTGGGAATTTATGTCCGCCTATTATTGTGGAGGACGCTCCCTAACATTTACGGTCATTTGCTCTAATGCAGCTGCTTTATGGCGCTCCCCCATGTCCCTCCAAAGACTACTCGTAGTTTTGACCAAGCCTCTCTCCAGCTGACTTTGAATTTTGAGTAACTTCCATTCTCCGGCGTTCTACGTAATTAAGGAAAACTATGGCGCTGGTGGCAAGCGGCGTCACTCATTGTACGGGTATGGATCTAGGATAAGCGCCCCTGCACTGGACGTGTTGTTTTACTTGTTGCGCTTCAAAGGCAGTTTCAAGCAACCACGCAATTCGTCGTGGGTGTCGCCGCACGCAGATGAAGCGGCACAGGTTGAGCAGTTTGTCAGCAGGTCAGCATGTTGACCAGCAGATTGGCATCGCTGCTCCAATCCCTTGCTATGAAGAGATCCAACTCTCCCTTTGGAACGGAGCGTTCGCAGCCCTGGAGCCAATCCAAACAGACAAACACAGGAAAACACAAGTAGCGCCTCTTGGTCAAATGTTTCATGCCAACGAGTTCCACATGTAAGATATGGGTATGTGCAATGCAAGCCATCAATCATGAGCCCTGACATGGGAATCGGTGAAACCCAATTTTTCCTTGTGACAAGTTGCTTGAAACCACTAGAAACCACGAAGCTGAATAGAAACACATCCTTTCCGCCACTTGAAGCCACTAGAAATCACTGGCATTCACCATTTCCTTGGTGTGTGACCCGCCCCCTTTACATAGAACTATTGATCGCTGCTTCCCCCAAATCGCCCTAAAATCCCTGCCTCAGCGTGCAGCCCCTCAAGTCGAGCTTTGGCCTGAGCCGATAGCTGCAGCAGGGTGATATCTACCAAGCGAAGATCTGCAAGTTGGTATGCTTGTTTCGAGCTGCATGTCATTCCCTGTATCCAACGAACAACTGCAATATTCACTATTTCTCACGTGGGTGTCATTTTTTTGGAATCGGACCCCCCAAAATTGATATCGGTTGTCCTTTTGGCTTCCCTTCCCTTTACAACCACCAAACCGGGGGGGGATCCCCAAAAAAAGACAGACCCATCTTGGCAAATCACACTTGCCAATATTAAGCCAAAAAAGCATGGGACCCCTTTCGCAGATTTCTTGATCTTTTGGCGAGGCAGGTCAACTGGGTGGTTCATGTCTACCTCCTTTGAGTTGGGTATGTGTGTGTGTGTGCTTTTCAACTACCGTGGTTTCGTAGTGGCCCTGGTTCAACGCAAGGCCCCGTCACCCTTGAAGTAGGTAACCAGCTATTGTCCTTTGGGTTTTCAAGGATGGTTCCGTTGGTTGCCTACTATAAAGGTAATGTTGGCCCCAAATTAATCAACCCCAGTTTAGTAATAGGGGGGGGGGGGTCCCTTACGGATAATTAGTGGGGAATCATCACTGTTGAAGGGGCCCCCGCCCCCACATTAACAAACAGGGGTTGATTAATATTCCAGGCGTTGATTCCCCATTCTTTTCAACCATGGTTCTTTTCTTAACACCGGCTGTTTCCCCTGGGTTTTTGATGGCTTCCGGAAAAGATTCGGATCCCTGGAAAGAATGGAATTGGAAGGCACCCCTAGAAATACGGGGCCAACAGTACATGGATCCGCCGGGGGATGCCACCGCGGATCAGCCCACAAGTGGCACGATCCGCCAAGCCAGCCGAGCAATGGGCGGCAGGATCTTCCGGCACCTCGTAGGACAGTGAGCAATCCAAAAATAGAATCCACAAAACAACAAACACTACCAGCATGTATGTATGTAATTATATTATATAATATTATATGTATATATATATATATAATATGTGTATATATATAATATGTATATATATATATAATGTGTGTGTGTGTGTGCGTTCCTTTGAAATCAGCTGAAACACTCCGAGATCTGAAAAGATGTCCGCTCTCCTGCAAGCTGTTTGACCTCATAACCTGAATTGCAGAGGCACAAAGGAAACCTGAGAATCTTGAGGGTCCACCCGAACCCGTGAAGCACCATCTACCCGGGCCTCCTCTGACCTTGCCGCCCTGGGTGTCGTAGACTTCTCTCTCGGGACCCTGCAGCACAAACGGTCCTAATGTTGGACCCACACGGGTGGACTTCAACCCGGACGTGCCGAAAAGAGAACTGCATGGTTTTTGTTCGTCTGCCTCCAAAGAATTGAACCCAAGGCCTGTCGGTTCGGTGAGACTCTGCGATATATCTCAGGCTCCGAGCCCCACGGACGGCGCCTTTGGTGTCACAGCCTGAGCGCCAACTGACGGCGCCTTGAGCCAACTCCAAAACCCCCTGCCTTGCGCAAGCGCGGCGCGGAAGAAGATCGAGCCACGGCCGCCTCAGCGCGGCCAGTGCTCAACGGATAAAGCGAACGCCGCTCGGTCCGTCCCATCCCCGCCTGAGGCTGACCCAGCTTGATGGACAACGCCTTCACGTCGAACTCGGCGCGGGCCGGCGGCCTGGGCTTGGGCCACTCTCTGGTCTCCTGTGAGTCAACGGCTTGGATGCGGTTTTTGTGGATCCACCCTTGTAGGATAGCAAAAGAGCACTAAAAGAGTATTAAAAGAGGAACAACTCGCCAAACAACATGGGGAAACCACAGAAAGCGCATCCAAACCGTTTCCTAAGTGAGGGAGGTTGGGATCGGGACACCAGCTAAGACTCGCGAGAGACGAGATCTCAGCTGGAGATAAGCACGAGTTTGTGTGTGTGTGTGTGTGTCTACAAAAATGTTGTTCCTATAGTTTGTTTTCTGTTCCAGATTCGGAGCCTGAATTGTCCGGAAACATGTGGGACCCGGTTCATCCCAAAAACGCGCTGAAAGCCAAAAACCAGCTGGAAGCCCCAAGAACACTCTGGACCGGAACTGCCACCAGATCCCTCCTCTAGTTTTTGGCTTGCCCCTGCTCCGCCAAATAGCACCGAAGTATTCGGAGCCCTCGAATTACCTCCGGATTTTGGTTTGCCCCAGAACACCCATCAGACTATTCCAATTCGGTACGCCCGATCCGCCCCCAAAAAACCTTGTGAAGACCCCTAGGCTGCGACAGAGACTTGGCGTGCTCCCTTCGGCCCCTTCCCCTTCCCCTTCCTTCCCCCCCCTTCCTTCCCCTGGATGGGGACCCCAATCAACCACCGGCTTCCCAGTGCAACGTCGCCACAGCCCGCGTCGCTTTCAACTTTTCTCTGCGTATCCGGCGAAACCGAGGCCTGCTTTTTGAGTGCAACAGGCAAGATACGCAACCACGAATTCCTGTAAACGGATCTCGTCAGGGGGTTAACAACTCAAAACGCTTCGAACGCCATGCAAGAGCTGCCTGGCAGGTGACAATCGGATCTGTGGGGAACGCAAAAGCGGCGCGAAACACTTTTTTGGACTTGGAAACTTCTTGGCGTAACAGGTCGCACATGGCCTTCCCCTTGAAAACCAGACATCTGTAAGTGTACAAGGCCGGCGAAAGGAAAAAACCCACCGCGGCCCATGGCTCAGCTCCGGAGCTGCATCTCAGGCCATGGAGCTCGGCACCTTAAGCTTAAGGCTGGCTTCACCAGCTTGGGGCCCAGAACTCCTGAATTTTCTGGGGTTTTCTGAGCTTGGGGCCCAAAACTCCTGAATTTTCTCGGGTTTTCTGAGCTTGGGGCCCAGAACTCCTGAATGTTCTGGGGTTTTCCTCGAGATTTCGAGGGTCAAGCAGGGTGTTGGGAGGTCCAAAACCCACCAACACCCTCGGCCGAATGAACTGAACACAAATGGGACATGCACCCCTAGGAAGGGCTATGGGGCCGGGGGGCGTAAAGGGGTTATCCCTGGATTCGCAAAAAAAAAAAAAAAAAAAAAAAACGCCGCCTCATTCAAGGAGCCCCTCCCCGTAGCCCCCTTCCTACCCCCTTTGTGGATCCGAGGTGGCCGACCTGACGCCGTCGAATCCCGGGCCGGCGCCTCGCTCGCCCTCGGCCGTGCCAGCGCCATCTGCTCGCTCGTGAGGATGGCCGACAAGGGCGACATCGCCTGCCCGTTCCGGGCGTCCACTCTTGCCTAAATACCCAACCACCCAAGAACACGTGACCCCAAAAAAAACAAGAGGGGAAAGTCTGGTTTTTCAGGAGAAAGTCGAGACCTAAGGGTAGACCAAAGAAGCCAGGGGCAAGGTAAACCCCCGAAAGGAGTCCATCTTGGAGAAGCCGAAAAGTGGAATCCTGCAGTATTTCAGATGTTGTCCCATCCACAAGCCAAGGACGAAACTATGACATGTCTCCTCAAGAGGACATGATAAAACTTTGGGGCCCTCGTCTTCCCCAATCCAATTGGCTGCCACTTAATTTGTGTATTTGCCCCACATGCCTCAAAACGGGACGGTTCGCTGTATCCAACCATCGGGACTGGGTCCGTGAGGCCAACCAACAGCTAATGTATTAGCTTCCTCGTAGGTCGTAACTTGCACTGGGGCTTTGGCTAAATTGGGTGCTCAAGATTCATACCCCCAATCCCCAGTGGGGAAAACTGGTGTGGATTCCCCACAGCTACCACTGAAGGTTGTGACTTTGCACTTGATTTATTGCCTTGTTCCTCCGACTCCGACAAGAAGGGTGTGACTTCGTAGGGGTCGGTCAAAAATGATTGATCGGTTGAAGGTGGCGGCTTAGGGTTGGACTTCGTTGGTTTAGGGCCGAAATGGTGTGCGAGCCATACATGCTGAAACTGTGGAAGCTCGTGGATTCACAGTTGACAAAGTTTGTCTTTGGCTTCCCACAATACTTGGGGCATCCACAGCTTCAAGCATGCGAGGCATTTGCTCTTTTCGGACAATGAGGTATGGCACCAGTTTGTTTGGGCTCTTCTCTTCGCTTCAGCTATCTTTTGGACTCCCCAAATAGTGGGAATGCGCCAAGAAGCCAGAAGAGCCGCAAAAAACAAAGCCCAAACAAATCAAAAAAAAAGCGGGGCACATCCTTTTGAAAGGAAAGGAACAGACAGAGACAGATGTATAATCACAGCCCTCCAATGACTTCCCATCCCAGAAATGATTTCCCCTGGTGCCAGCGTGATTACCAACAAGCACCGGTGAGCGATGCCTGCTCCAGCAGCACTTCCAGTTCGTGGTCAGCTGTCCGGAATTGCTTGCGCTCCTTTCGGCCAAAAAGGAACTGCGATCTGAAGGCCGACGGATGAAAAGAATATCTGCGGTGCTCCAAGCAGGGCTGAAGGAAAAAAGTGGCAGCAAGGATCTAAGCCGATCAGAACGATGGCGCAAGGTCCTCGTCTTTCAGACATTTCAGCAGGGCGTCCTTGATCTGAATCTGGCAGTTCACAGATTGACAGGTGAGCAAGAGTGAGATCTGCCATGTCGGCAGTTTGCCAGTGGTTTGCACTGGATTTTACAGCTTTTTTCTGAGTAAACCGTCCCCCCCTGACATTGAGGATCGACTTGGCTCGCAGCGAAAGTAGCTAGTTCTTTCTTCTTCTTTTTTTTGGGGGAGGGGGGGGGGGTGGCCATTTTCGTAGCACACAGTTGCAGAACCAGTGGGATCGTTCGGATAATTTTTCTGCACTCGATCCCAACCCGAAAGGACGCGCCTCATGGCGCAGAGACGAGAGCTGCAAATCCCGGGAGTGGAGCCTCAGACTATGACCCAAGAGGAGCCCGTCGGGTCTATCCCTTTTCTGGAGACCCTTTTGGGGGGCATGTTGAAAGGAAAACCAAAAGGAAACCAATCATCTTTAAGTGTGTCTTGGATGGTGTGGACGTCATAACAAGAGATGTCGTGAAAAGGGACCTCACAACCGGAACCGGTTTCCTCTTGAACAAGGCATCCATCCAGGAAAAAAGCGCATCCTTAAATGGGAGTTCCATAGACATCGACAAAACGGTCCGTGGCTTAGTTTCATATTCCGCGCAGGCGTTCGTTTTGCTTTGAACCCCATAAATTCCATAAATGATATGAAAAGGATACGCTTTAACGTGGTGCCTTTGAGCCAACCTGAAAAAGAGCTGATAAACAAACGACCGCTTCTGCTTTGAAGGACCCTTTTCTCAAACGGGCCAGCCTTGGACCCAAGTCGTGACCCAGCTGATATGGACCTAATACTAGATGAACATATGGCTTGGTTAAAAGAAATGGTTCAATTATCCTTCTTCCATGAAACCCATATGAGACCCCGCAACCCCCCTATCAAATCAAACCCCCGTGAAACCTGGTAGAGCCACCTACCATGGCCAATAGGGGTGTTGAACCTTTGGACATCATGTGGGTGGGGTTTCATGTCCACCAGCTACTTTGCGAGTGGTTCATTGTTGACACGCAAAATGGTGGAGTTTTTTTGGGTTGGCAGTTAAAAAGAAACCAACAGGAAACCACACATCTTTCGGGACGGCTGTTTGGCCATGAATGCAAGTGGTTGGTGGACATCAACTCCCAAATGATGTCCACCAAGGGCTGGGTGTGTCTTTTTCTGAGGCTATCCTTCTTCGGGCCATCTTCTCTCCGGGAAACCAAAAAAAAAACAGACCTGTTTTGGGGGAACCCGCCTATTTCGAGCCAACCGATCCATTTTGAGCAACGCCCAACTCCTCGATCCCTCAGCCCCCGGCTCCTTGGCCTTCTCCCGGAGCTTGGCGCTCCGCCGCGCCAGCAGCACCTCGCAACTCTCGGGGCTCGCAAGCCACTCGCCGCTTCCCTCGGCATTTCGGGGAATTCTTTGAAGCGAAACCAAAGCACAGCCATCCTTCGGAGGTACTTCCTTCTTTGAAGCGAAACCAAAGAGCCAGAATCCGAAGGGGAGGTACTTGGGGGCAACTTGTCACGGGTGAAATGAGAAGCGGAAGAGTCAGTGTAGCGCAGAAAGTGCTTCTCCGCAGCCGTTTGAAAGTAGCAACTCAGTGCAAGTACCTTTGCAGCTCCAGTTCGAATATTCAACGCAAGCAGGGCACCGCAAACCAAGGGCTGCTGGCAGTAGCGGGGTATGCAACTATCCCAGGTATGTCTAAACGAAATGCTCGGCGAAAGTCTGCTCTGCAAGCAATCACTCAGAGTCTGGGTATGCATCGGTATGCAACGAGGGGTACGAGCCAGCAGGTCGCGCTACATAGGCTATGTAACAGGTTTTGCAACAAACGTCCGCGGCGGTCCTCTTGCAGACCCTTCAAAAAACAGAGTCTGCCATATATCCGAGTAACTTTCCTTGCTTCACCAAAAAAATAGTCACCAAATGAGGGTCTCAGACCCACAAGGGATGACCCTGTTTACAACAAACCGCATGAAGTTTGATTGCTACCCATTGATATTCAGGACCAGGACCGCATGGACCGTCCCACTGATTTTCAGGTACCAATGGGGTTGGATGAAATTGGTTAAACGCATTGTTTTCTGGTTCCTGGGACCAATTCAATCAATTATAGTTGGAATGATATTCCTAAGCTTCCTTGGCGATCTGACAAGACGTCTAAAGGTTGCTTTAAAGGGAAACCTGAAGGAAAGCAACCTTTGTTGGGGTTCCACTACTGTCTTGCATGTCAAAACGAATTGGACCTTGGGGGATGCTTTGGAAAGGGAACCTGATCCGCCATAGGGTGTTATGGGGTTCTTGTGTCCCTTTCCCACCATGGCGCTGTCCTCTTTGGCGAGTGGCTACAGAGGTTTTACATCCAATGTTGGGGCGCCTTTGGGTTGGTGTTCAACGGACTCAGCAAGCCAACCGGCTGTTTAAAAAAAAAAAAAAATCCCTTCCTAGGTTTTCGTGCGGTGCGCAAGGGCCTTCTGGCTCGTGAACTCCGCTTTCATGGCATCGTAGTTCTGTTGAAGCACCTGTCAAAGCTCCCTTGCCCCCCGCCTCCCCCCCCCCGCCAACCACGAAGAAACCAATAAAAAGAAGAAGCATCGGCCTCCATCTGGGCTTTGAGCTGTGCAGCGTCCTCGGAGGCGGAAAAAAATCGCTGGGGGCCCAGCGAAGTCCACGTTTTTTTTCTGGGCGCCAGACCAAGCCCTCGCCTTCCTTCGATGCCTTCGGACACGCGACACGCGACCGCCGAATTTTGGGGCGATGCGAGAGCCCTGAGGAATCCGCTGCCGGTTCAAAGCCTTGGCCTCGGCAGCGCAGCTCGTCTTTTTGTGGGTATCCCTTTTGTTGTGCTAGGGAAACCAACAGACAAACCACAATTGATTGATTTATTCTTTTGTTTAGCTTGTTTCAAGTCCATTTTATGGTTTTTGTTTGGCGGGGAGGGGTGCCCTCTCAAAAGACACCCGTCGTCTCGTGAAGGGGCCAGCGCCGCTTGGGACGCCGAGCGACCAAGACGCGCACTTTGCTCTGCAGAGATGCCACTTTGCTCTCCGCCGGTGTCTCCAGTTCCTGTGAGCGAGCAGCGAAAAAATGGACATCGCCCGCCAGCCGCGGAACAACTTGCCTGCCACTGGCAGCATGTGCTCGACGCACGTGGACCTTGGCTGCGTTCACGGTGCGCGCAGCGAAACCATCGGTTTGAACACGGCGGTGCAACGTGGAGGGGGCTGTCCATCGAGGCCCGCACGCCGACTTTCTCGGCGAGGCGCACGACGAGCTCCCCATTGTACGCGGCGTGCGCGGCGAAAGCGCCTGGCCACCCCCAAAAAACGAACACACACACACACACACACAGACACCCAAAAAAGACTGTTTGTGGTTTTTTTTTGGGGGGGGCAGACTTTTGCGCATCCGATCGAGCCTCCTTGGCCACGTCTGCGGCAAAGGGTCGCTTGGACCTAAAGGTTTCAGCCAGTCGCTTTGCACCATACTTTACAACAGGACCCTATCAAACAACACATGATGAGTCAAAATTAACTAGGGGGCCGCAGGTTTTGGTCCATGCTTCCACTTACTAGGGCAAGCCATTTGGGGTACCTATTTTTGACCCACAGCCGCATCACGTGTAGCCCAATTCCGGGTGCTTTCAGCCAGTGACAAGTTGCCGCCGTCTCAACTGAGCTTTCGGCGGGGATGCGGCGCTTTTCCGTGGCACCGGCCTTGGCGAAGGGTGCTGGCATCGAAGTTCCAACGGGCGACCCTTGTCGATTTTTCACGGACGCGGTTGGTCGACCCGCCGACATCCAAACACTTTGGACATCCAAAAAAAAAAAAAAACACGCGCCTGGCGATGCGCGGTCTTTCCCGGGCCTCAGAAAACAACTCGTTTAGCCGCCGTCACAGGTCGCTAGGGCTTCTTGGGACTTGTAGTGAGCTGTCTTCGGGCCGTTCAGCGAGCACTTCGCTTGAATTGATCCTTCAAACCCAACTTCGAGATCCGTGCCGTTCAAAAGCAAGCTGAATGCAACTTGGGTTTGTCTCATTAAATATCTCAATTCAAAAACCCTATCACTGCTGGGCGGATTCCTGTTGGCCCTTTTTTTCCTCCAACCACCACCTTCCAACCCGGGCGCCAAAAAAGAGCACTGACTTCTGCGGGCCCTGCGCTTTCCACGACTTTGGCGGAAGGCTGCCCTTGCGGCTTGCGGGGCCCAAATCGGCTGGGCAGGGAATGATCCCAAGCCATGCATTTCCCCAAGCCGTTGCTCCCCTGATCGAAGCAAAACCCACCGGTCCCATTCATTTGGATCCAGCCATGAGCTTCTTGGCTCGAAAAGGGGCGAACTGATTTCGCCAACAGGGGAGACCGACCAGATTTGCCACAAATGTCCCGCTTTGATCGTGAAAACCATGCCCTCAAGCGCTCCTCGCCTCGCGCGGTGGGTTTTCCATGTCTCGTGCTGGAGCCAGTGGACGACACGGAATCCTCGGAAAATTTGCGCCGAGAACCCAACGCCAACGCCTCCGTCGGAAAAAACGGCGACGAGAGCTCAGGCCGGGGCCCGTCTGCCGTCAGGCAGCTCCAGCCATCTGCAGCTGCCCGGCGAGCCGGTCACGTGCTCCTGACAAGGAGGGGGGTTGGAGGGCCCGAGCTGCGGTTCCCGGAATCCACATTAAAAGCACCAAGTTAATGGGCTGACCACTTCATTCGGGGGTGTCCGGAAGTAGCGCCCCCCCCCCCCGCAACAAAAAAAAGAAAGAAGATGTCCTGTTGGTGTTTCTTTAAACGCGCCCAAAAAAAAATGCTCCCCAAAAAAAGCAAACTCACTAGGCACCCTTTTGAAACTCTCCAGACCTTTTTCCAACCCTTGCCATTTTTCCAACCATTCACCCTGTTTCCTCTTTACCCCTCCCCTCCCCTTCTTTTTCGAACCCTGCCCCCCTTTCTTTCTAACACCTTTTTCTCTTAACTCCCCACCTCTCCGTTACCGACCCTGTGGCTGAAGCCTACGGCAACTGCACTGAGCGACGGTTGGGTTGGTTTCAGCCGGGCCGAGGGTGAGAAAAACAAGGTGCAGGGGGGTGAAAAAGCAGGTGGGCGCGGTGAAACAAAACAAGGTCGTTAGTGAAAAACACAAGGCAAAGGGTAAAAACAAGGTGAGGGCTTGAAAGAAGGGATTTCTGACAGTTAGATTCCTGCAGAGGGCTCCCAATCAGGGTTTGAGGGCAACTAATCCCCGCACTACCAGGTAGGTGGGGTTAGACGTCCCATTATATAGATGAAATGGAGCCGTCTGACCCCGTGTTCACTTTTTCTGTCACTGTTTTCGGACCTCCACATTAGATAGGTCAATTTGTTTTGTCTAATCAAATTTCCTTGGTCTGGCATGTTGTATATATATATATATATGATCAACAAACATCCGTCTGAGCAAAACTGAGCAAATCAAGGCCCCCACCTAAAGGAAAATGTCTCACCTTCGGTGTGCTCTGTTCCCAGCACACATTAAGTAGTTGCAAGCCTGAATTTAGTAGTGGGAATCAAAGACTCAGCATGGGCAATCCTAGGTGTAGTATTGCTGAATTTAGCATTGGAAACCTATGACTCGATATTGACAATACTAAACTCACTATTGGCAGTACTAAATTTAGATTTGGCAACTCCCTTTGCGATTCCAACTCGAAAATACACCCGGGCAGTTTGCGCAACACGCATTCACTTGTTTACCGCAAACTATGGCCAAACAGGAAGTGCACTACACGTGTTTTTGAAGGCTCAAGTTTCATGAAGCTGGCGCATTCCATGCATGGGTGTCCTTTTTTCGTAAATAGATGGCCCTGGTAGATGATTGAACCACCAGGTAAACCAGGAATCGCCCTCTATTTTTCAACCAAACCAACCAAAAAGGACACCCATGATTCCATGCCCCGCGATTCTCCGCTTCTCCTTCCTTCGATTTTTAGGCGGGTACCGTTGGGAGCCAAAAGGACCGAAGGCTCGGCCGGTTTGGCCACGCCTGAAGCCAGAACCGGCTCCAAGGAACCCAGAAAATAAGCTCAGGTGATATCCCCAGCATGCGGTGCTCAATTTAGTGCTCGTACCCCGTGGAACCCTGGAACCTTACCTCAGGGCCGCCCCGAACCACCCAGGAGCCTATCTGGGCTGAGACCCCTAACTGTTGCAAGCAAAACGGCCCCCCAAACTACTCTGTAAACTCAGTATGGACAACACTTTATCTTAGATCCCCAAATTGTCAACACATAAAAATGGTATTGCCAATGCTTGATCTTAGATTCCCAATGCCAAATTCGGCTTAAATTGGCAATGCCAAGCTTAGTATTGGCAATGCTGAATTCAGTTATTTGGAGCCTAAGACTAAGTGTTGACTGTACTAAACTTAGTATTGGCAACAGGAATTTAGATATGGGCACTTGATATTAAATACTGGCAATACCCAATTTAGTATTGGCAGCACTGAATTTGCTATTGGGGATCTGAGGTCAAGTACCTGCAAAGAAAAAAAATGAGTGTTGTCAATACTGAATCTTACTGCTAAATTCAGGATTGTCAATGCTCAATCTTTGATATTCCTAGGTTCGCCTTGGTTGCCAGGAAAGCAGCCGTCCAAGTGCACCGTCAGATTTGGCAATTTCACAGTCCCGGAGGGGGGCCTGCAATGTGCTGGGCGGGCAATGGTTTTGTCTAAGTTTCTTGCAAAACTCACTTATTTTTCTTCTTCTTCTTCTTCTTCTTTTTAAACATATGCATATATATATTATATATTTGTAGACATACATTTGCTTAGACGACTCTCGTCTCAGCCTAAACATATGAAAGCTCCGGTAGTACGACGTATGGCTAAAAACACAGAACGTTTATTCAAAATAAATGGGGGGGGTGCCAAAGAAGGGAGCCCCCACGTCCCCCTTTTTGGCCGAACCGAGGCTCCTGAAGCTCTGCCTTCGCCTTTGCTTCTGCCAAGGCCACTTCCAAGTCCTAACGACGTCCGGGACGCGCCCGCAACTTGGGCGGTGCGACGATGGACGGGCCCTGTCGGTAGGGGTGCGTTGTTTTTTTGACTTGGACCGCGCAAAATGGCCGAAGCTGGTCCTGGTTGGTTTAACTAAACCCACCAAGGGGTACCCTTCGCCTCAAAATAGACGAGCCACGCGAGTGATGATGAGAATGGCCCTTCTCAAAGGGCACGCGACAGGCAATAGGACCCAGTGGAATGGATAAGGCCCTCTAACCCTTGCAACTCGTTCCCCAGCCGCAGATTTCATTCTCGCGCGAGTCATCGGAACTCTCCCTCGCGTCAGCTGGTGCTCGAGTGTCCTGCGCATCGGTGCAGCCACTCCACCGCGCAAAGCTCGTCAGATGGGTTTGTTTTTTGTTTTTTTTCTCCGAGGGTATCATGTTTCAGCTTGGTTTCAAGGGGCCTTGTTGAGAACTGGCCTTGTCGGGACCTGGCTTCATCTTGGCACACCTCTTGAAAACGGGTCTCTCAAAAGGGGGAGGCTCTTCCTACGATGGCAAAAAGAGACACGCCGCACAAAACCCAACCTCCAAAAAGACTCCAATGCCCATTACCCCAACCAAAAAAAGACGTGAGCCAAACCAACAGCGGCTGGGCAAACCTATCCTCCTGGCGGCTGGAGAGCGCCTCCACCAGCTTCCTCCAAGAGACCACCTCCATTTGATTCTTGGGCGGGCCGGGGGGGGTTGACGGTTTGACAAAACAAGTCTGGCAGCTCTTGGTTTCTGTTTTTGAATTGAGCCCCTGACCAAATCCCTTGTTTTCCCAAAGGGGCATGGGAAATTTGGACGAACCCTCGTTTTTGTTGGACATGTGGCGTGTCCCCCAATTCTCCAGTGCACAATAGACTACCACTACTGCTGTCAGTTGCTCAGTTGGCTGTCGCTCAAAAAAGCGGTTCGCGTTTTGCGGCCCCTTGGATGGAAACAAAGATCAACACCTGCGTAACCTTAGCTCTGGAATCTTGAGCCACACCCAAAAGGACATGGGACATTTGGGGGGTGCCCCTTTTTGGTGGGACATGTGGGGTGTCCCCCAATGTCCTCAAGTGAACAATAGACTACAACTGTTGTCAGTTGCTCAATTGATTTGGGTATGGCTCAAAATTAAAGAGCTGGGGCAAACCGCGGGTTTTTGTCTTTGGTTCCATTTACCAAGGTGCCATTTTGGTACCGGTTTTTTGAGCCACAGCCATTTAGCAAACCGGAGGCATCCCTTCAGCGCCTCAGACTCGCTCGCGCTGGCGCGCTGCAACGCGCGGCCCTCGCGATGGCAAAAAAAACCCAGAGACTCGACTGCCCGCTCCGTGGGGAGCTCTGGGAAACCCGGCGCAATCTGCGACCACCCGGAAGAGCCGGTATGTGAAGAGGCACTTCCTGCGGAGCAATTCCAACCAACCCCGAAACGGGTAGCAATGGTACAAATCGGGATATGTTGTAACATAGGGATTTATGGACTCAAGCGAAAAGCTGCCATTTGGCACCTCCGGCCACGCCCATGCCAGAGCTCAGCCTGCAAGGCTCACTGCTGAACCAGCTCAATGCGCAGTCAGCGCCTGGGTTGGATAGCCTTGGGCCTGCGACTGATTGCACACGCCAGCAACAAGGACGAGTGAATGCACCAGCACGCGCAAATGGAAAGTCAGTGGGACAAGCGGTCCAATCTCATGGTGGTTCCCACTTACATCTAGTCTAATTTGGTTTGCGTCATGCATCAACTAAACAAAAGCTAGTGAGTAGCGGCCCATATTGTAATCCACGTTACAAATGGTGGATGATGCTGATGATGATATGATGATGATGATGATGATGATGACGATGATCACGATGACGATGATGATCAAAGGAAGTTTAACAAGAAACTTCCGTAGTACTGGAACTAAATGAGCTAGCTGCTTTGACATATAGCTATGACAGGTAGCTAGCATGACAAATAGATAGCTTTGACATATAGCTAGCTTGACTTAGACATGATAGATAGCTTTGACATATAGCTAGCTTGACAGATAGATAGCTTTCCAATAGGCTTGCATGACAAATAGATAGCTTTGACATATAGCTAGCTTGACAGATAGATAGCTTTCCAATAGGCTTGCATGACAGATAGATAGCTTTGACATATAGCTAGCTTGACAGATAGATAGCTTTCCAATAGGCTTGCATGACAGATAGATAGCTTTGACATATAGCCAGCTTAACACGTAGATAGCTTTCTCAAGTATAGATTTCGTGGCAGGCGCAGCACTTTCGCAAGCACTGTCTGCGAGCTGGGGGATGGCAAGATGCAGAAAACGTTGGCGCTGTGCGTGAATTGGGCTTCCGGACTGTGCGCAAACCACCTCGGCTGCGACGCCTGTACGGAGGCGGTCTCGGAACGGTCTCGGAACGGTCTCGGAACGGTCTCGGAGACGGGCCCATTGGCACGGCCGCGCGAAGGTTTCGCAAGGTTTGAATTGCGTGGCAGGCGCAGCACTTTCGCAAGGTCAAGTATAGATTTCGTGGCAGGCGCAGCACTTTCGCAAGGTCAAGTATAGATTTCGTGGCAGGCGCAGCACTTTCGCAAGGTCAAGTATCGATTTCGTGGCAGGCGCAGCACTTTCGCAAGGTGCTGCGTCCACTCTCTGCGAGCTGGGGGATGGCAAGATGCAGAAAACGTTGGCGCTGTGCGTGAATTGGGCTTCCGGACTGTGCGCAAACCACCTCGGCTGCGACGCCTGTACGGAGGCGGTCTCGGAACGGTCTCGGAACGGTCTCGGAGACGGGCCCATTGGCACGGCCGCGCGAAGGTTTCGCAAGGTTTGAATTGCGTGGCAGGCGCAGCACTTTCGCAAGGTCAAGTATAGATTTCGTGGCAGGCGCAGCACTTTCGCAAGGTCAAGTATAGATTTCGTGGCAGGCGCAGCACTTTCGCAAGGTCAAGTATCGATTTCGTGGCAGGCGCAGCACTTTCGCAAGGTGCTGCGTCCACTCTCTGCGAGCTGGGGGATGGCAAGATGCAGAAAACGTTGGCGCTGTGCGTGAATTGGGCTTCCGGACTGTGCGCAAACCACCTCGGCTGCGACGCCTGTACGGAGGCGGTCTCGGAACGGTCTCGGAACGGTCTCGGAACGGTTCGGAACGGTCTCGGAGACGGGCCCATTGGCACGGCCGCGCGAAGGTTTCGCAAGGTTTGAATTGCGTGGCAGGCGCAGCACTTTCGCAAGGTCAAGTATAGATTTCGTGGCAGGCGCAGCACTTTCGCAAGGTCAAGTATAGATTTCGTGGCAGGCGCAGCACTTTCGCAAGGTCAAGTATCGATTTCGTGGCAGGCGCAGCACTTTCGCAAGGTGCTGCGTCCACTCTCTGCGAGCTGGGGGATGGCAAGATGCAGAAAACGTTGGCGCTGTGCGTGAATTGGGCTTCCGGACAATGCGCAAACCACCTCGGCTGCGACGCCTGTACGGAGGCGGTCTCGGAACGGTCTCGGAACGGTCTCGGAACGGGTTCGGAACGGGTTCGGAGACGGGCCCATTGGCACGGCCGCGCGAAGGTTTCGCAAGGTTTGAATTGCGTGGCAGGCGCAGCACTTTCGCAAGGTCAAGTATAGATTTCGTGGCAGGCGCAGCACTTTCGCAAGGTCAAGTATCGATTTCGTGGCAGGCGCAGCACTTTCGCAAGCACTCTCTGCGAGCTGGGGGATGGCAAGATGCAGAAAACGTTGGCGCTGTGCGTGAATTGGGCTTCCGGACAATGCGCAAACCACCTCGGCTGCGACGCCTGTACGGAGGCGGTCTCGGAACGGTCTCGGAACGGTCTCGGAACGGTTCGGAACGGTTCGGAACGGGTTCGGAGACGGGCCCATTGGCACGGCCGCGCGAAGGTTTCGCAAGGTTTGAATTGCGTGGCAGGCGCAGCACTTTCGCAAGGTCAAGTATAGATTTCGTGGCAGGCGCAGCACTTTCGCAAGGTCAAGTATCGATTTCGTGGCAGGCGCAGCACTTTCGCAAGGTCAAGTACAAAATTCGTGGCAGGCGCATCACTTTCGCAAGGTCAAGTACAGAATTTGTGGCAGGTGCAGCACTTTCGCAAGGTCAAGTGCAAAATTCGTGGCACGCGCAGCACTTTCGCAAGGTCAAGTACAGATTTTGTGGCAGGCGCAGCACTTTAGCAAGGTCAAGCACAGATTTGGTGGCAGGCGCAGCATTTTTGCAAGGTCAACTTTCGCAGCCGGGGCTCGAAAATCGCAACTTTTAAGTACGAAAGTAGTACGCGAAGTCAACTTTCGCAGCTGGGGCTTGAAAATCGCAACTTTTAAGTACGAAAGTAGTGCGCAAAGTCCACTTTCGCAGCCGGGGCTTGAAAATCGCAACTTTTAAGTACGAAAGTAGTACGCAAAGTCCACTTTCGCAGCTGGGGCTCGAAAATCGCGACTTTTTAGTACGAAAGTAGTACGCGAAGTCCACTTTCGTAGCTGGGGCTCGAAAATCGCAACTTTTAACTACGAAAGTAGTACGTGAAGTCCAGTTTCGCAGCTGGGGCTCGAAAATCGCAACTTTTAAGTACGAAAGTAGTACGCGAAGTCAACTTTCGGGGATTGAACATCGCAACTTTTAAGTGCAGAGAAAGATGGGTAGATAGATAGATCAATAAACAGATATAGAGATAGCTAGAGAAATAGATAGAAAGAGATAGAGAAACAGAGATAGACAGAGATAGATAGATTTGTAGATAGATAGACAAATAACTAGCTAGATAGATAAAGAGATAGAGAGATAAATAAATAGAGAGGTAGATAGATAGATAGGAGATAGAGAGGTAGATAGATAGGTAGATCTATAGATAAATCGCAACTTTTAAGTACGAAAGTAGTACGCGAAGTCAACTTTCGCAGCTGGGGCTTGAAAATCGCAACTTTTAAGTACGAAAGTAGTGCGCAAAGTCCACTTTCGCAGCCGGGGCTTGAAAATCGCAACTTTTAAGTACGAAAGTAGTACGCAAAGTCCACTTTCGCAGCTGGGGCTCGAAAATCGCGACTTTTTAGTACGAAAGTAGTACGCGAAGTCCACTTTCGTAGCTGGGGCTCGAAAATCGCAACTTTTAATTACGAAAGTAGTACGTGAAGTCCAGTTTCGCAGCTGGGGCTCGAAAATCGCAACTTTTAAGTACGAAAGTAGTACGCGAAGTCAACTTTCGGGGATTGAACATCGCAACTTTTAAGTGCAGAGAAAGATGGGTAGATAGATAGATCAATAAACAGATATAGAGATAGCTAGAGAGATAGATAGAAAGAGAGAGAAAGAGACAGAGAAACAGAAAGAGAAAGAGAAAGAGAGAAAGAGAGAAAGAGAGAAAGAGAGAAAGAGAGAGAGAGAGAGAGAGAGAAGCAAGGGGCCAAGGACAGTTCTCCAAACTATAGTTGTTCACTGCTTTGAAACTTCCGCCCCCCGGCTCTGCCGGACCTTACTTGTAACAGTGATGATGATGATGATGATGATGATGATGATGATGATGATGATGATGATGATGATGATAACAATGATGATGATGATGATGACGATGATGACGATGATGACGATGATCACGATGATGACGATGATGACGATGATCACGATGATGACGATGATCACGATGATGACGATGATGACGATGATCACGATGATGATGATGATGATGATGATGATGATGATGATGATGATCATCATGATGATGATGATGATGATGATGATGGTAAGAATGCTGAAAATGGTAACAATGGTGATCGTTCTGACGGCAGCGACGACATCGCCATCACCATCACCATCACCATCACCATCACCATCATCATCCACTAATCACCATCACCATTACCATCACCATCACCATCACCATCGTCATCATCATCATCATCATCATCATCATCATCATCATCATCATCATCATCACGGTCGTCACCATCGCCATTGTCACCAATACTTTGAATATTGAACGTTGCTCAATTCCAACTTTGCCAAGTTACCGTGGAGCAAGCTTCAGGCGCCCCTGCCTCCAAGCGCTGTCGGCAAAGTTCCGACCAGTCAGCCGTCCATGCAGGCGGCACAGAAGATACTGAGGCCTGGCTTGCTCCTTTTGATTCTTTGACATCCAACAGCGTTTTGCACAGTGCGATTCATGTAGCGTTGCAACGCCTCCTCGCCGACAACCTGCCAAAGAATGGACATGTGTGGACCCTGAAAATTGTAGCTTCCCTTTTGGTTTTCCTTTGAACCAACCTCCAAAAAAAGGATACCCTCCCACAACCCCAAGCGGGGAACATGCAAGCACTGCACTGTTACTCGAGATCTTCCGATGTTTCGCGAAGCTTCGGTGCTTATGATCAAACGTCAGCTGCTTTTGCGGGATAAGTCGCGGCCAAGTTGCAAATCCGGCACTGTCTCCACGTGCACATGCCTTGTGGTTTCGGGAGATGCAGGCCCACAACTATCCACAAACAACACGAACATTTTACAGCACTGCTCACGCCCTCAACAAGCCAGCCCTGCCTCTCTCTCCAAGACCTCCTCGAAGATTCGAGACAGCACCACTGCCTTGGAACGAAAGGTTCCGAAATTGCTTGTCTCGCAGTGACGCGACGATACGATTGATATAAAACCACCGCCAGTTGCTGCTTCTTCATTTCTTCTCCGGCAACGGTGACTGTCTGTTGGGGAATTTGTCTGAAAAAAAACAAAAAAACACAACTTGGCGATCCAGGCACCAACAAAACGCAAAACGACGCCGCGTTGTTTCTATGCGCAAAACAGACATGGCCAAGCTCTCAAAGGCACTGCCGTTCGCCGTTCAGGGCCCGTCCACGGGCTGCTTGGTTTCACAGTCTGGACACCACCTCAAGTTTTTGGTTTTTCAAGAATTTCTTCAACATGTGGATACCAAGGGCGTATCACTGGGCATGGCTGGCACTCACAGCGTTGAGATTGGCTCTGGGCTGCAAGTTAGGCGATTGCTGGCCAATGCTGCGCTGTGCGCTGTTGCTGTTGTCGCCGAGCGAGTTCTTGGCTGACAACCCCGCGAAAGTGGAGCGCAGTCTGACGAGAGCCCTCGGCTGTTCGGTGTAGGAACGCAAAAGGATGGGAAATTCACCAGGTTCGTAGCGTGACACAAATGGCTGCTCACAAAAGTGGTACCAAAATGGCACCCTGGTAAATGGAAAAGACTAAAAACCGGCGGTTTGCCCCAGCTCTCCAATTTTGAGCCATACCCAAATAGCCTACAAGATGGAACCTGGGACTTATGAATTATGACTTTTCCATTGGGCACGGGCCGATTCCATGCGCGTGGCTGACCTGCCACTGTTCAGGTTTCTGCGATTCAGACGGCGTTTGGCGATAGCACCTTTTGACCGAACCAGCGCCATCCGCGCTGCACCACGCTGCACCACAAACACGTCCACTGTTGAGTGTACCCACTCTTTGGTCGTCAGCAGCGGCTCATATGAACGGTGGGCTCCTGTGCTCTGTCCGGAGCTGTTAATTTGTTCAGCCGAACAGCCAGTTGGACTAGCTATGTAACGAGTTCAGCTAACACGATAGCGATCTTCGTGCAGCAAGACATAAGGCTCTGACAACAGCGTGTGAGAGATTCAGTGACGGACAGTCGGACGTCTGCAATCGGCACACCTTAGGCTTTCGCACACATGTGCACACCAATCTCTGGCTCAATCAAAACTGCTTGAGCGCTGATCGTCTGTGCACACCAGCACAGCTTCTGTGGAGAGGCCAACATCCTCTCGAGACCACAACTCAGCAGGAAAACTGGTCAACACATCGGTCCTCGGAGCCAAAGACCAGTGCGAGCGAATCGCGTCCTGGCTCGGAATCAAGTCTTAGGCTCAGCACAAAGGCAAGGGTCACCTTCTCCAAAAGTCAGCGAGTGGGTCAAGTGCAAAATATTGTTGCCGTCTTTAGACATCTTCCGCGCAAGGGAGGGAAGCAAGAGACATCAATGCAAATGCGCTTTGAGGCACCTCCGTTCAGAGCTCGGCTCTGCACCTGGTGAAAGAATCTCTGCCCAAAATGTGGCTGTGGTTGTCAAAATAGGGTAACCCCCAAATGGAACCCTGGTAAAGGGACCTGCGGTCCATATCCTGGTGGCTGAATTTTGACCCATACCCGTGTGGTTCGCAACACAAATGTCACCGCCGCACCAGCTGAGATTCCGGCGGCATTGCTCTGTGCCAGGTGTCTGAGGCTTAGCGTCGGCTCACCTGGGATGCAAAGCGGACTGGGCGGACCTGTGGAGCCCGGCAACGCGGATTCCGCTTCTGGCCCCTTACCTGTTTCTCCTACTTGGCCATTCTGCCACACAATTCGACCCCGCGAATCTGACAGACTAGTGTTGAAGGTTACTTGGTGTCAAACCCTCACTTCCAAAAATCCAGAACAGAAAAACTCCGGCGAGCCCCAAAATCACGGAAAAAGTGCACTACCAAAGGTCCCCCAGTCTCTAAAACTCAGGGCCAGACCTTGAACCCTTGGTAAGAACCTTTGGTATAAACCCTTGGTATAAACCCTTGGTACAAACCCTTGGTATGAAAGGGACCCTTCCCCCCCCGGGTGACTTGGCCCCAGGCGGAAGTTGTGGCCCTGGCGGCCCGAGAAGGCGACGCTCCGCCCTGGAGGCGCGAAAAGGCGCGAGCCGAAGGCTGGGATGAAACCAGTTCCTCAAATCCTGGGGGGAATCTCCAGTCAACCATGTATCCTATGTCTTCTTTATGTATATATATATATACATACGGGTGTGTCTTCCTTTTTTTCGGGAAACCAAAGGAGTTCTCACAATTTGAGGGGCCTGGTGTCTCTTTGATGGCTTTTTTCGGGAAACCAAAACACACTCACTTTACTTTGCCTGAGAGGGGTCCCCTAGTAAGACCCACCAATATACATATATATATATATAATATATGAATTCGCAGGCGCACAGTTCGGGTCGGCCTGTTCCGGCCAAGGCCGCTTTCAAGGTCCCGAAGAGCTTCGCGGACTGCAAGACCACGGCACCCTGCCCGCGATCCCATTGGTTGCGCGCATGGCACAGGCGAAAGCTACTGGTTTTTTTGTTCAATGAATGTTCTTTGGGTGAGAAAAAAAAAGGGGGGGACTTCGCCCACAAAAAGAGACTGGCAAAAGGGGAAAGCGGCCAAGGATAAAAACAAATACTGCTTTTGAACCCGGGAGGGGGGAAACATCGCCTGCGGAAAACCGATGAAGGGGTTCCATGACTCGGGCTCCATGGGTTTTCTAGAAACTTGTCATGAAATCTGTCCATGAAAGTTCCATGATTCCCTAGGGCTTTGTTTGGGCTCCAGAAATTCCACGGGTTTTTGGGGATTTCTTTGGGGGGCGTTCCCTCGGTTCCTTTGCTCGATCTCCACCCCCGGGCCTCCTGAGTGGCCAAGCGCTCACAGCCCTTCCAGGCCGAGAGGTCCAGCGCCTCAGGCGGAGGATGGGTCTTGGGTGGGGAAACGAAACCTGCGGCCCATGGGAAATCCGTGGGCAACCCGCGGCAAATCCGTGGGAAACCCGCGGCAAATCTGTGGGAAACCCGTGGGAAGATCGGTTTGGGTGTTTGGGGTCATGGAGTTTCTCAGAGTTTCTCAGGAGAGTTCGGTGGGAAACCCAGGGGAAACCCAAGGAAGATGAAAGCTGTCCTCTTGAGGAAGCTTCCCATCGTCCACTTTTTCATGATTGGAGGGAGGGTACGAAGGATACTTGCTTGGCCTGAGCGACCAACGCAAGACTCGACCTCCGCCGCCTGCGCCAGTTCAATTGAAAACTTCCGTGCAGGTTTCGGACGGTTGCACGGTAACCATCACGTCGCAATCGAGTCAACCAACCATGGGGAATCTACCACCCGGTGGATCATCAGCGTACCACATGAATCAACCATTTTGGGAATCAGTATAGTATGATGAGCACGCGCATGAATCTGGGTGAATTATAATATTTCACCAACCTGAAATAAGGTGGTTGGGAGGCTATTCCCCACATAAACCACCACTTGGGGTGAATTTCGTTATAATTCACCCAAATTGAGTGTGGCTCAAAATTAAACAGGAGGGGCAAACCGCGGGTTTTGGTCCATGTTTCCACTTCCCAGGGCAACCCATTTTGGAATTCCGATCTTTTGAGCCACCGCCAAATGAATCTCTCGCCCAATCCCGCAGCCTCCTGCTGGAGACCCAGCTGCTGCGCCTCGAACCCGGAGGCTGGGGACCCGAAGTAGAACCCTAAATTGGGAAGCCTGGACGAAACCTGCGGTCCATATCCTGCTGGTCTGATTTTGAGTCATACCCATTTGCGGGGGGGGGGGGGGGGGGGGGGGTTTTTACTCTTTTAAGACACTTCCCATGTCAAAACTGCCCCGTGGCAAGGGTTCGCCTTCTCCTGAGAGCGGCCGGCTCTGCCGATGGCAGCTTGAAGCTTGGCACCATGCACGACCTGAGCTTTCAATGACATGGCTTTGGAACCCGTTTTTGGATCGGGTGTGGTTTGTTTTATTGGGGGGGGAGCCTGTTGAAACTTTGTGGACGTCAAATTTCGGTGATCAAAAGGTCCACCAACCACTTTTCAGGTGGTTCCAACTCTTTAACACTCATAGCCAAATGATCCCCTGGTTGGTGACTAGGGTGTCCCATTTTACGGGATCCAAATCACCTTCCAGGGAAACCCCCTGCTCCACCTTCGGTCGATTCCGGTTGGATCCACCACCCGTCTCTCTGAGGGTCGATCAACTAGTTCAGCGACACCGAAGTTTGCACATGCCCGAGCCACCTGAGGACGTCCAGGTCAAACCCGATCCACGCAACAAATGCGCTGCCAGTTCTGTCGTGTCATTGGCTGGCCGACAGAGGCCTACCTTTTCGGGGTTTGTTTTTGGGTTCCTATGATGGGACTCTCTGACTTAAAACGGGCCAGGAAAAGTCTGAACCTTCTATTTGCCACTCAACTGATCCAAACCCACAAAAGTGGCGGAAGTCCGAAACGGAACTCAGGGAGTGGGACACTATTCTGGAAGACGAGTAATGACTCATGCAAGGCATGTGTTTGAGCAAAGCGGTCGCTGAGCTTTGCATGGCGTCGAGTGAGCTGTGGGCAAGGCCATGCCAACATTTCTGGCATCACGCGGCTCCACCAGAATGACTCTGCACCAAGGCATCCTGACCCAACGTATGGACATCATGCTGAATTGGGACTTGTGTCCAAGCAGAATTGAGGCTGTCCCCCAAAAGCAACAAGAGTGGGTGTCACTGGTTGGGTTCATTGCCAGCATGTTTGCTTGTTGGCTTGCTTGACTGTTTGCTTGCTTGCTTGCTTGCTTGCTTGCTTGCTTGCTTGCTTGCTTGCTTGCTTGCTTGCTTGCTTGCTTGCTTGCTTGCTTGCTTGCTTGCTTGCTTGCTTGCTTGCTTGCTTGCTTGCTTGCTTGCTTGCTTGCTTGCTTGCTTGCTTGCTTGCTTGCTTGCTTGCTTGCTTGCTTGCTTGCTTGCTTGCGTGCTTGCTTGCTTGCTTGCTTGCTTGCTTGCTTGCTTGCTTGCTTGCTTGCTTGCTTGCTTGCTTGCTTGCTTGCTTGACTGATTGACTGATTGACTGATTGACTGATTGACTGATTGACTGATTGACAAATTGATTGATTGATTGATTGATTGATTGATTGATTGATTGATTGATTGATTGATTGATTGATTGATTGATTGATTGATTGGTTGATTGGTTGATTGGTTGATTGGTTGATTGGTTGATTGGTTGATTGGTTGATTGATTGACTGATTGACTGATTGACTGATTGACTGAATGACTGATTGACATTGATTGATTGATTGATTGATTGATTGATTGATTGATTGATTGATTGATTGATTGATTGATTGATTGATTGATTGATTGATTGATTGATTGATTGACTGATTGATTGATTGATTGATTTATTTTGATTGATTGATTTTGATTGATTGATTTTGACATTGATTGATTGATTGATTGATTGAATGATTGCTTGCTTGCTTGCTTGCTTGCTTGCTTGCTTGCTTGCTTGCTTGCTTGCTTGCTTTGTTTGCTTTGCTTGCTTGCTTGCTTGCTTGCTTGCTTGCTTGCTTGCTTGCTTGCTTGCTTGCTTGCTTGCTTTGCTTGCTTTGCTTGGCTTTGCTTTGCTTTGCTTGCTTGCTTGCTTTGCTTGCTTGCTTGTTTGACCGTGCGTGGCAGCTGCAGTCTTCGGGCAATCATGTCCTGCAAACAGGTCCGCCCACAGCATCTGTCATCACCTCAGTTGGTTTGAACAACGGTCGATCGCTGCCCATGCCGATTCGAATCCAGCAAGCTGATTGCAAGGTCCGGCCTTCCTGATGGTCCATGGGCTGACACTACATGTTTTATGTTGGATGGAGCGCTGCTGGTTCTGGAGACTGAGTAAGTATGAGCCCATCTATTTTCAGTCTTGCAAAAAATCGCCTTTGCAAGAACACACCGTGGTTCTGCTATTCCGTCTGCACCATCAAGACATAAGATCGATCCACTGCAGAAGTATTGGCCTCAAAGGAACGTTTCTGCTCGTTCGCTCTTGTGATATCCTAGATTCTGAGCCCAGAAGGCTGGACAGCAGCTGGCGAGCAGCTGGCGAGCGGTGGCGACTTCAGGATGTGGCTGTGGGTCAAAACCCTGTACCCCTGGTGAACATCAAAATAGGTGGCAAATGGAGCCATAGGTGTTATGCCCCATGGCCATGTCTTTTCATGATGGCCTCTTCTGAAATCCCGATCCAAAGTCATGTGGCGACCTTTGTGGAGTTCTTCTCATGGCCTTTTGTGAAATTCCGTGTCCTGGGAGAACTTCGCCCTCATCTTCATCTCCATGGCCCTGGCCAACCCAAAGTCTCACTTCCGACGGAAAAACGCCACTGAGTCGCTTGCAGGCTCTCGGAGCGATGCTTCTCCAAATGCAACCTGCGGCAAACGCAGAAAAGGCGTGTTGGATGGCTTGCTTGAAGCCATTTTTGGCGTACCTCTATTTAGGCTTCAAAGGGAAAACAAATGAAAAGCCATTTTTGCAGCACCTCTATTTGGGCACATGCCATGGAAAGTCGGCCTCCACTGGTAGCTTCGGGCATCAACGGCGTACTGAAGCGCCTGGAAGCTCGCATCCCGTTCTAGTGGCAATCTGGGCATTTGCTACTTGCATCTTTCAAGGGGAAGACCAAAGGATGCTGTGACAGGGTTCATCAGGTGCGCATGAATCTCTGCCTGAGACCTGAAACAGCCATTCAGAAATGGCCGTGTCCGAGCTGTTGCAGTGCATCCATTTGTCTGGGCCCTTCAAACTGACTACTTTCAGGGGCCCTCAAAATTCACCTTTCAGGAGCTTTTCGTTACCACCATGAGGGTAATTTGGAGGACGTGTTCGAATGGACCCAAGTTTAAGACTCAGAAATTCAAACGTCTGCTGAAGCAATAGTCATTTCAGCTAACACGGCTATAAGGCATAATGCTGACCTCATATTAACCAACCCCAGCTCATTTTTTTTATTTTTTTGGGGGGTGTCCCTGCGTTTTGCAGGAAATCATCACTTTTGGACCCATATTAATAAGCCCTGTGCTTATTCATACGGCTGTGGGTCAAAAATACGCATACCAAAATGGCTTGCCCTGGTAAATGGAAACTTGGACTACAGCCTGCGGTCCATATCCTGGTGCAACTTTGACCCACACCCATATGGGCTCCATATGTAGTCCTTGCAACAATGACATCAGGGTGTTGCTGGGTGTAGTGGGAAGTCATCACCAAGTCATCACCTTTGGGGCACACCCCCAAACAAAAATCCGGGCGATCATCGCTCTTGCACCCATCAGCCCCGTGCGCTCTGTCGTCCACAAACGATCGCTTGGGGCCCCGGGCCCGGAATCGCTCGGAGATGAGATCGCGGCCATCCGTGCCTGGCGGCTGGCCGGAGCTCTGCCGATGTTTAGATGGCACAAGTCCGGTTCTCCAAACGAATCGGTGCCTCTGGCTGTTTCTTTGTGTGCTTTGAGAAACCTTCTTGGTTGTTTTCTCTGGAAAGACCGAAAAGGGGTCGGCTTTGAGAAACCCTCTTATGGGCAAGCAAAGGGAATAACCAGCCCCTTTTGGGATTGTGCACACGAATGCAGCAACGGCTAATGGGATAGATCCCCGTCACTGGTCATGGGCAAAACTCATTCAGGAACCAAAGGTTGTCTAAAGCCCCTTTCTCTGTCATCGACCCCCAAGGGGCTATGGGGAGGGGGGGCTATCCCTTATCAAGCCCTTGAGGCCTTAAGGGCTTGTCAACTTGGGTTATCCTGGGCTTATCCAGGGATAGCCGGGGTCGTACCATGGCGCATGCAACGTCGCCTGGGTGGGACGACTTCTCACCTGTGTCCTCGCGATGGGCGCGCAGCAGGCGAGCCTCGGTGAGGCCAGGCCTGTTGAAAAGATTGCCAAGAACCGGTTACCAGGTGGATATGGAGTATATATACATACACATACATATATACATATGTATATATGTCTATACACAAGTATATAAATGTATATAGATGAAATGTATACAAATATGTTTATACACATATACGTGTCCTTTCTTTATATATGTAGATATATGCATGGATGGATGGATGGATGGATGGATGGATGGATGGATGGATGCATTCTATTTATTTATGTATCTATGTATCTATGTATCTATGTAACTATGTATGTATGTATGTATGTATGTATGTATGTATGTATGTATGTATGTATGTATGTGTGTATGTATGTGTGTGTGTGTGTATGTATGTATGTGCGTGTATGTGTGTATGTGTGTATGTGTGGACGTGTGGATGTGTATGCATGTATGTCTGTATGTAGGTAGGTAGGTAGGTATGTATGTATGCATGTATGTATTTATGTAAGTATGTATGTATGTACGTACGTATGAATTGTGTATGTATGCATGTATGCATGTGTATGCATGCATGCATGTAGGTATGTATGTATGTATGTATGCATGTATGTGGGTATGTGTGTGTGTGCGTCTGCATGTACGTACGAGGGAGGCAGGCAGGCAGGTAGGTATGTCTGTAGGTACCCTTACGTGCGCATGTATTTTCTTTGTGCACTACACATAACTGAAACCCTTTTTGTGTCCAAACCCCTCATCAAACGTTGGATTTTCATCTCAGGACAGCGCCTCCGCCAAGCCCTTTTCCTGCGCTAGCAGAGTTGCCTCGGGTCGATCCAAATACGGGACGCGCCGCTTCGGCGCCGGCGCACGCTCACGGCGAGAGAGTCGCTAGCGCCTCCAAAGACCAAATGGCATTCCGCGCAGCCAGCGCCAATGGACGGAAAGCCTACCAGGAAGCATCCAAGCAATGTCCAGCTCGCGTGTCCAAAGGCCTCGTCGTATAGGGGCAGGCTGACGGCCTTGCAAGTCTCAGATTCGGCAAAGATTCGGACCCTCTGACGTCAAGCGGATTAACCGGACAGCCAGATTCGGCAACAGCAATGATTCGGATACGCATGCTACGCCAATGAGCCGAATCTGCTCAAACATGACGAGGAAATCATGCTTTGCATCCATTATTTGGTCTTGCCTGTAAAGAAACAGTCCCGAGGGCTCTCCAAAATCTGGCCCATTTTATTGCCATTTGAACCTGCCACCTGGTCCAAATGGCTTGGAAAGAAAACAGCTAACCCAAGTCAATGCTTCATGAGCGAAGACTAGCTGGATGGACGCGATGAATCAAACCTAGTGGATGCCTCTTTCGGGGCTGGTTCCAGCCTGACTTCTCCCTGAGCTTGTCTTATCCATCTGAGCGGTCAAAACCTGGGTTCCACCATGCCATATTTCATGTCCTTCGCCAACCCTTTCGCGGCCTTTCGCGAATCTTGCGCACTCCACAGTTTTCCTTTTGCGGAGCACATTGGGCCAAGAAACCCTGTCGCGGAGCTTTCGCGGACGGTGCAGCAAGCAACCCAGTGTTCAAAATCGGCCTTTCGCGGCCCCTTTAGTGAACATGATTCCTCGCGTCCGTTTCGTGAAGCTTGCGCGGCCCTGTGATGCCCTGTGTTTTCCTTTCGCGCAGCAACTTGCAGGACAACACCTTTACTAACTGCTTTCATTGGGGTTTTGAACGCTGCTCTTCTGTCCGGGCTGCTTTAGTGCAAGAGGTGTGCTGTGTGGGTGCTCTTAGCACTTGGTCAGCTGTGCTGACAATTCGCGCGACTACGGTTGCTGAATCACAACTCGAGGAATCGTGACTGCTTGATTGCCCATTGCTGAATCGGACCTTGTTCACAGTGATGTTCAGTCACAATGTGTCTTTCATCTGGATTCCAAAAACTTGACACTCTGGGGGGGCATGCCTCGATGTCATCATCATCCTCGTCGTTATGCGCCTGCGCATCTCAAACAGCAATGCCCCCAACCCAGCACGACTCAAATGGGTGTGGCTCCAAATTAAAGAGCTAGGGTTACGCAGGTTACTTTTTGTGTTGTCTTTGGTTCCATTTACCAAGGTGCCGTTTTGGTATATACATGGTTTTGAGCCACGACTCAAATCGGCAACTCGATGCACACCTCGGCAGACTCGGAGCAGTCGCCGAGCCTCGGTGGCGACGTCAACCCTGAAAAACAATCTACAGGTTGCACCCCCCCCCCCGCCCGTTCCCTTGCCTCCCCCATCGTTCTCTTGGGAGGCCACCCAGAGATTCATGGAGTTCTTTTTGGATTCATTTTCCAAGATGGATCCATAGAAAATCGGCTGAAGCACTCAAAAACGCGAGTAGCTTGGACTGCATGCCACTGAGCACAGCTCCGTAGACTGCTGGAACTGGCCAAGGCATGCGACGCCTGCGTGGAGACATGGAGCCTGGTAGGACTATAGCCCTCAGAATGGCCAAGGGAACTGCTCTGTTTTGAACCGGAACACACCAAACCCAAAATCATCGATTTGAGTCAAAACCCAAACGGGTGTGCTTGGGCATTGGGTTCAGACAGAAACACTAAAAACTGGCGGCCTTTGCAACGAGCGTGACGGTTCGCTACAACCCGCCGCCTCTGCTTCACCAAGCAGTTTGTCCGCCTAAAAAGGCCCAATCCACGCGCGCGCATGCCGCACGCCACGCGGTGGCCCGCGCCTCTTCAGAAACCGAACCAAACTTGCTGGCGCTGGCGGTCGAGGACCTGCCACCGAGACTCGCTGAGCTCAGTCTGGTTGGGTGCCCGGAATTCAAGGGGATGCTTCTCATGTCTTGGGGACCCCAAGAAATAACTTGCACCCCTTGCGCCTCTGAAAAAAACAGCAACCTTTCACAGGGCACCATGAGAAGCACCCAGTTCTGGCCACACCCAACTGCAAGGCTCCTCCGCATAGCTCTCGCTCCCTTCCGAAGCGTTGAGTTCTCAGCCGGCGCGTGCAGTCTGGACTCAAAACCCGATCAGATCCCCAAAACGCACACACACACACACACACAAAGGATTTGTTGAACCCCTTGACTGGACATGGTGTGTTTTAGAATATGGATTTGGATCATGGGTGGGTTGGATCCCTTCTCGTTTCCTAACCAAGAGTACCTTCGCCAAAACGCCAAAACGACCCGGCGAAAAAAAAAGCGCCGCGGCGCTCGCCGAGGTCTCTCGGGCGCGAGCCAGCTCAGCATCGGGAGATTCCTGAATCGGAGAAACCCAAATCACACGGATTCGGTGGTTCGATTTTCAGAGGTCGGCCCGGAAATGCGTTGGACATCAGAATTCGGTGGAATGATTCATGTCCAGAAAAAGATCGGTTCCAACAAAAACATCTCCCAAACCACGCGTGCAAAACGTCGAGTCCTGAGGAAGCCCACCCAATTCGATAATGTGCTGGTTCGCACCTAAGACATCTCTGCATTCGATTCGCTGCCGAAACGCGACATCACGAGCCAAGAGCGCCACTCATCAGCTGCTTTTGTAGCTTTGCCACCACCAGCAGCAGTTGCTCTTGCGAAAAAGTGTAGTTCACCTACACGGGCCCGACGGGCGTCAACATCTGGATGTCTCTTTTTCCCACCACGACATTCTCTCGCGTCAAAAGATTCAAATCTGATTCGCAGATGCGCCTTGGCCACGTTCCGGACCTTGCGTCTCGAATGCTTTTGCTTGCGGCCGGAATCATCAACAAGCCGGATTCCACGAGGCCGGCGCATTCTTGGCTCTAGTTGCAAAGCGCAAGGACGACAGAGTCTCATCCTCAGTGAAATCCAATCTCCTCGCCTCGAAAAATCCAATCCTTTTGATCCATGTCTTAGACCTTTGGAGCCCAACACCGACATGGCTATGATTTTTGATTAGAGACCCGAACTGGTGGACATCAAATTTCGGTGGAGATTTTGTTTATTTTGTTATTTGATGTTTATGTATTTAAAAAAAAAAAAAAAAAAAAAAAAAAAAAAAAAAAAAAAAAACCACCAACCACTTTCAGGAAATTCTAACCATTCCAAAACGTAGCAACATGGGTGTGTGGGAACCATCCCTCATTTTTGTTGGGCCCCTCTATGTTGACCCCTCCAACCAGCAAACCAAAAAGGACATTTATTCCAACCGCTCAAAATCATAGGTGGAACCCACCAACCCCAGGTCCACCACATCTCCCTTTCCTTCGGGCCCTATGGCGTCGCTCCTCACGTGAGCCGAGGCAGTGGCGGCGTGCTGGGCGCAGCCGGAGGCGGCCACCAAGAGGGTGGTGCGGCAGTTCCCGCCCAAGGCCTGCGGGCTTTTTAAGGAATCGAACGAAGACCGTGGAGCTCGAATTTGGCGCTGGGTGAAACATGGTTGGTCACCCCAACTGTTGGTTACCCGGGAAATTGTTCACCAAACAAAAACACCGAAAGAAACACGAAACACTGGCTGTGGCTCGAAATTCAAGAGCTAGGGCAAACCGCAGCTTTTTAGTCTTTGGTTCCATTTACCAAGGTGCCATTTTGGTACATTTATTTGAGCCACAGCCATATGGCTATGGCTCAAAAATTGGTACCCATAGTGGGAACCCTGGTGCATGGAACCAAGGACTGAAACTGCGCTCCCCTGGCGGCTTAATTTTGATCGTTTGCCACGGGTTTGGTGCATTTTCAGAGTATCAGTGAAACACCGAATGCTAATTTCAATAGAAGTAATGTTGACGGTGTTTCATACGGCTGTGGGTGAAACATAGGGTAACCCCAAAATGGCTTGCCCGGGACATTGGACACCTGGACTAAACCCACGGTCCGTATCCTGGTGTTTGTGCTCGAAAGAAAGGAGTTGGGTTGGTTTTTTGATGAAACCCATACGAAAAAAATGAGGGGTGTATGATCTCCGGGGCTGTTGGCTGCCAGTACAAGTAGGACCAAGGCAACCAGCCACTCCAAACAAGTATCTCGAACGACCAGTAGGGCACCGGGACACATCTCAAACAGTCAACCCCTCTGATCCATTCTGGTCCATAGTTTCTTCTTTCTTCTTGCTTCTTGCGCCCAAGAGTCCGGAAATGGGGGGGGGGACCTCTGCTGAATGACACCCTTCCCGTGCTTCATCTCATCCCCTCGTGCGACGACAAAAAATGTCCAAGTCTCCGCCTCCTGCAGTACCCGGGTCAGCTGGGAGTCTCGGTACGGCACATGGGACCTTTGCTCCACCAGCGCATCGATGACTTTGCCTCGGACTTTTTTCGGAAATCCCAGGAGGCTTTTTGATGGCCGGCCTTTGGGCGACATCAAAGTTTCCGCCATGAACGCTGACGACTTTCCACAAAGGGCTTCCTTTGGCTGGGGCAGTTCTGATGGCCAGCTCTTGGCAAGCCTGTTTTGAGATTTCCGGGTCACGTCTGGGTCCAACGAATCGGTGCCGAACCTCTGTTGCCCAACTCGCAGCTGCTGCTAGCGCGACAAACCATCTGGCACGGGCTGGGCCGGGCGCCCAAGGCGCTCAAGGACCAGTTGATCTTCTTGGCCTGGGGCGATCTTTTTCTTCTTTTTTTTTTTTTTCGGAATGGGTACATCATCGGCCTCTCTCACTGGAAGCCATTCTTGAAGATCAGTGGAAGGACATTTCCGCATTTTGTTCCCAACCATTTGGAGATCCTTACGCAGGTGACCGACAGAAAACCGACCTTGGGTCATTGGAAGAAAATCCACCTGAAGCGCGTTGATTGACCCACAGACTCAGATTTGGGTCCAACATCATACTCAGATGCCCAGCGGGCATGGGAAAAAAAGGGGCATCCTTTTTTGGTTGCTTGACTTTAAAGGGGAACCCTTCCGGAAAAGAAAAAAAGGGGAATAAAAATAAAAATAACGGGGCACCACTGGGCACCTGGGAAAATCTGACCAGCTCCCTCGATCGACTTCTCACCGACCAAGTGCCGGACTTCCTCCAGCGTCTCGCCCACAGATTCGCTCTTCGACACCTTCTCGCTGCCGGCCAAGTCCACCAGCGTCAACCTGAAACATGGTGAGTGGGGGCGGGGGTCATCCCCATGGAAAAGTTGCAGAAACAAAAACTGGGAAATGTTTGAGGAGGTCAGCTCATTTTTGCCAAGATGGGCGTGTCTTTTTTAGGGGACCCCGAAATGGTTGGTTTCCTGTTGATTCCCTTTGGAACCAACCAAAAAGAGGTACCGTCAAAAAGACTAATTGGGTTAACCCATATGATTTGATGTTGACTCTAGACTCTAAACAAAATAGAACCCTCAACTGAAAATGCGCTAACAGGACCAGAGTGTACTTTCCCGCGTGCTTGGATCGTTGGCCAGTCACCCCAATTTCGCTAGGGGGAATCCCCCCACATTTAAACCAACCTTAAAACCAGCCCTAAAACCTTTAAACCAGCCTCAAACCAATCTTGAACCCACCTCAAACCAACCTGAAACCCACCTCAAACCAACCTCAAACCCACCTCACACCAACCTCAAACCCACCTCAAACCAACCTCAAGCCAACCTTAAATGGGTGTGAGCTTTTCAAAGGGCGAGCCAGGTGAGCTAATGACTCGGGCCCCGAGCTTCCCGAGTCTCTCCTCTCCTTGCAACGAGCGTTGCTCCGCCTCGCACGAGAGTCCCAGGTTCCATGTCCCCTCCAAACGGACACAGAACCCACAGGCAAAATACAAATGCCGAGAACATATATATATATATACAGATACATACATATGTATATATATATATGTGGATATCTTGGTTGATCAAGTCTCAAGCCCTTGCAAGAAAGTGGAACTCTCCCATGTCCGCGGGTCCCTTGCCATGTCGGCAGGTTCGGCGCGTAAGATCCAGGCATGGAGGACAAAAATGGCGTGGGATCTCGAGGAGTGCAAGTTGCAGCGAGTCTTGCCGACGACCCGCGTTCGCAAGCCTGGCAGTTGGCTTCCAAGCGGAACAAGGCTTGGGCGTGTCTGTCATGTAAAAAACAAAAACAAGTTGGCGCCCTTTTGGTTTCCCTTTGTAGCCACCCCAAAAAGGGCTCCCCGAAAGAACGTCGAGCTCATTTAGAAACAAAAAACGATCAGCTTTTCTGCGCCTGCCCGGATCACGCTCATCACGTCAGCCGGGCAGGTGACATACTCACGGGAAAGGCCGTCGACAAAAAGGCCCCGCTGAGGCAGCTCCTGGAAGGCGAGCGGCTAAATCCCGGGAAATGGATGGGGGACCCCAAAAGCTCCGTACGCGGGACCGTCAGGGAAACCAAATGGACCGGAAAAAAAAAAGACTTCCGCCACATGGAATTAATTTTCAGAGAAACAAATCCTGATTGGCTTGGAGGCGCTTCCGCTGGCCCGTTTTGGCTTGAGTGCGCCTTCACTCGCAGAGTCTCCACATTAGGGCGCAGCAAGTCTTTCATCTTCTCCTTGTAGACCTGCGTTGGCTGTCGCACGGCCCGAGCCGTCGCTGCATGTCTGAAGCCGCAAGATTCCGGACGCAGATCCGTTTTTTCGCGTCATACGGGCGCCGGAGGCGCAGAAAATGTGAGCAGTGCTAGCTGGATCCACAAGCAGTTCATGTGGCGTAGCCATCCGCCAGCGCGTACTACCTAGACCTCGCCCTCACGGGAAAGAATATTGGCCTCCTGCAGATGCACACGGTTCCACTTGCCAAGTGGACGGCAGGTAGGTTGCGTGAGGCAGGCACTGTTGTTGGCCACCCGCGTCAATTCTCGCCATAGGAAGCATACTCCATCTTCACTGCTCCAATGTCCACAATGAAAAAACCCTGGCGATGGATGGGCACAGACCAAAAGGAATCCTCTCACCCCCCCCCCCTCTTCAGCGCCAAGACGGGCGCACCAAGACCAGCAGCGCCAGGACGGAGGCGATGTTGAAAATCTCGGAGGGGGCATCTCTTGGCGTTCATAAGTGGAACCAAAGACTAAAACCTGTGGGCCTGTGGGTCAAAAGCAATGGTATCCCATTTTGGCTGGTGAATTCACCACCCCAGTGGTGAATAGAAGAAAATCCTGGCTTCCCTTGGCTTTCATCAGTGGCCATGGCTGTGGTCGAAACCGCTTTGGGATCCCATTTTGGTTGGGATTGGTGAATTCACCACCCACGCTGATGGTCACAAGTGGCCATGGGACAAAAGCCCAAAATTCCGTACCGCCAGTGAACATCCCAATCCCAATCCAACCACTAGAATAGGTTCTAAAATGGGTACCATTGGTTTTGACCCACAGCCAAGTGTCCTTTGGGAAAAATAGATGGCACCAATGCCGATGAGTACCAAACCAAGGGGAACCCATCTAGTTTCAACCAGCCCAAAAAAAGACACCTATGCCTCGTCTCCTGAGGCCTTCCTTTGGCTTCCCCTGGCTAGCCTTTGGTTGGCAATCTCGAGGTCTTCAAGTGGAATCGTGTGTTCCGGGACATGGGCTGATGGATTAATCCGACAGTCGTTCGAAGACAGTGGGAGTCACCAAACGTTCACAGCGGTCTGGGCGTTTACTCACCAAGTTCCGTCACAGTTGTCAACACAAAGCCAAAGTTGGAACGGCAGGATGGCAACAGGGATCAACATGTGCTGCATCCTTTTAATGACGTATCAATGCCTCTTCCAGGGCTATATGACATACAATACGTTACTACTTATTATATAGATTCTATGTGTGCCATGGCACACGAATGCTACATGGCACGTGATACCTGCAACTCGTGGGAGGCCACTATGATGGTCCCCGCTGGTCAAAGGCGCTGGAGGGAAGGTGAGGTGTATCGACTCACCCCTGAATCCGAAGGCGTAGAATTTTGGTCTTCAGCCCGTCTCTCCCCGATTCTCTGAATTTCCGAGCGCCCCGGCCAGGTTGGAGGTGGCAAACTGCGGCGTCTCGGTGGGCGGAGGCTTGCCGTACTGCTCATCCAAGTCCTGCGGTGGGATGTGCCATCCTCTGACCTGAAACCGACGAATCCGGGTCCGTGGGCTGGCGATCTCGGCCAGGCATGCGCTCACCCTGAAGAGCCTCGCGACTCGCAGTCCCAAGATTCGGCTCTCACGGCTTTGGGCGTCTGGCAGTGTTCCGGCCTTGGCACGGAAGCGAAACCCACAAGAAAAAAAACACCAAAAAACACCATCTGAATGATAAGGGCCCTCGCGAAACCCACAAGAAGCCGACCATCTGAGTGACTTTCGGTCCCTTTCGAGAAACCCCCAGCGCTCGGAACCGCACTGCGGAGCTGCGGCGCCCTGGGAGGCAAATGGAACGCGAATGAGCACTGCGAGTCGAGTTATGGACGCTACACTTCCCTTATGGTTCTTTCTTGAATGCCTGAAGAACCCTCCTGAAGGGCAACTAGACCAAAAAAGAAGAAGATCAAAGCCACTGAGCACAGTCAGCATGCTAAGTCAGCATGTCAACATAGGCCATCGACGTGACAGAGGTGCTCTGAGGCCCTAACTGAGAGACAAATGCCTCAGACTTGGGCCTGCGCAGCGCCGAGTTTGTGCATCCTATGTCTCACACGCCGGAGGTTCTGATTTGGGGAGATTTTTCAGGTTGCAAAAAAAAAACGCAGGGGTTCCAACAATATCCTTCTTGTAAAATCCGAGCAGATCTGATCCGTTGATCTCCGCCGAGCCCCGCACAGAATGGAGGAGAAGGTGCAGACCTCCAAAGATGCTTGGCCGAGCCAAATGGGAAACCCCGCGGCGTTTGTAGGGAACCCTCGTTCAGCCTTCAAAGAAACGCGGACTTTGGTGATCCCTTCCAACATGGAACCTGAAGGAAAATGGTCTTGCAGCACCCAGTCGGGTTCCACGTTTGCGGATGGGTGAGCCTTATTATCAAACCAACCCAAAGTGGCCCCAAGCCAATCCAAAGCTCAGTCCCCCACTGCCGCCAGCAGGGCAGCAAGTGTCAGCACGAGGCATGAGATGCGGCTCGCCTTGGGTCTCACAGGTGAAAAGTGAGTGATGGTCATCTTAAATGGGTGTCTCTGGAAATGGCGGACCCCTAAAACGGTGTTTCGTCCCCCAACGTCACCTCCAAATGAAACGGGTGGCATGGGGCATGGGGTCTGGGGTGGCGCATCCACTTCACAAGATCCACTTTCGTCGGATTGAACAAAAATTCAGCCGCCGGCCATCTTCAGCAAATCTCAGCGTCTCTCACTTTGCTCCCTACCAATGACTGCGAGATACGGCGGCGGGGCATGAGATACGGCGGCGGGTCATGAAACAAAGATACTGCGCGTGACGCAGGCTTTCGGCAGATGCTCTTGTTTGCGACTAATTCGGACCCTGAGTTGCAGAGCTGTACAGCCTCTCTGGGTCATGCTGCAAATGTGGGAAACACATGCATGGATTCAACATGCAAAGTGTGCCGAAGCACATCATGCTCAAACTGCGAGACACCAAACGGCAATGGCTGCAAGGCTTCCATCAGTAACAGCAAACGTGAGCAATACCAAACAAAATCTCTTGAAGGCTCACTTAAAGTGAGCCAAGTGTGCCTTGCCCGTGACAAAGTCAGTCTCTGGATTAATTCAAAAGCTTGCGGAGACATCAGCGACGAGAGTCCTTAGGCTGCACAATTGCCAGGACAAAAGTGGCGGCTGCCGTTGCCAAGAAAGTCATCCCAAGAGTGCCGAAACAAGTGCATCAAGAGTCCCAACCACATCATGCCAAGACTCCCGAACCAGTCCACCCACGAGCTCTTCTCGTTGCCTGCCAAAGCGCTTTGGCAAAGCACAACACCAAGGCAGCAGAAAGTAAGAACTGCCTCTCCAGCAGGTAGTTGAATTCCTGAACCTGGGGGCATTTGGACATGATTCTAACATCACTCTGCAGTGCAAAAGCCAAACAACTTGTGTCCACCTTGTTGTCCAACGCAGAGCAACGCTTGCGAAGCTCGGCAATCGTCTCGTCCTAGGCTATGTGTGGTTGACACATGCCCTGAATGCTCGAGTGCTAGCAGCGAACAATTTGTGTCCTTGGCTTGCAAAGTTCTCTTGACTTTTGCCTGCGGGGACAAAGCGGCGAAAACCATCAGCTCGTGCCAACTCGACGAGATTCCAACGCAGATTCTCGAAGCTTTCACTTGCGTCACACCAAGCCTATGAAAAAAGAAGCTGGTGGGGGTTGATCAATATTCCTGGCCCCCGAATGACCATGGGCAACTTTTCCCTTGGGACATATCAATCAACTTTCTGGTGGCTTTCCCCAATGGGCACTCCATGTATCATTCAGCGACCCCCTGGTGAGAGCTCTAGGAAATATGAGCACTGGAGCAGTTAGAGATGCGCCCTGACTCCAATCCAATTGTTCGATTTTGTCTGATGCACTTCCCCGAGATTCCAACGGGGAACGATTTCCATATTTGTTTCAGGACAGTGGCTTTGCCCAACGCCCGATAACCTTGCCACAGAGATCGATAGGGGCCTATCCCAGCCACATTATGGGCAGAGCTGAAGCATCCGCAACCATCCCTACAGTCTCAAGAAAGGAAGTCTTCGGACCATGACTCATGGAGATGTCTCTTGAGGGTCACCGAAACCGGGGTAGGGAACCCAAAGTTGGAAATCACGGGTTCTGAAGGACCTGAAACCCAGCAAGGCAAACCTTTCTGCATTCACTGCTGTCACATCCTCGTGTCTCCCAGGAATCAACCCCCCAACGGCAAAGATTTGCTTCGGGCTCGCTTTCAATACCAAAAGTTTGGAGAATTTGCAGAAACACTCATGTGATTGAGCCCTGGATGGCCCTGACTCCATCCGTGTGACTAGTGACCAAGGGTCATTCCCGTGGCTTTTCTTCTGGCTCTGAATCCATCCATTGCTAGACTTAAGCCCAGAACCTGCATTTGGCACATCCATCCGGATTTGCTCGCCGATAAAGGAAGGGGGAGGGGTCGATTTCATGAGGGTTTTCCTGTTTTCCCAAGCTCTGACAAAGGGAACCAACTCGGAAACACCGCGTTCTTAGCGGGAAACACCAGTCCGGGAAAAATAGCTCGCCAGAGCGGGCCCCCTAAACCACCCAAATGGCTTCACACGTTCACCAAGCCCCGGGGTGGGCTGGTCGAAAGGACCTCAGGCCTTAGATTCCTCGGTGGCGAAATCTGCGAGGCCCTGCTAAAAGTGAATAACTTTCAGTGGCTTGATATGGAAAACCCATGAGTTGGCAAAAAGTTGTTCAGTCCTAACATTGGCAAAATGCACCAAAGATTCATCTGACAATCCTCAGGTAAACATCAGCCCTCACCCATCGAACCCTAGGGATCCTTGGTTGCAATTCAAGGCATGACAATCCTTCTATGAACCCCCCGGCGTTAGCTAGGTAAACACTGGTTCTATGAACCCCTCCTAAGGTGGTTCATAGTTCTACGGGTTGATTCCCCATTCTTTTCAACCATCGTTCTTTTCAAAAACCGATCGCTGTTTCCCCTGGGGTTCTGATGGATTCTGGAAAGATTCGGATTCCTGGAAAGCATGGTTGGCTAGTGTCCCCTAGAATAACCCGTAACTTAGGCCTTAGCTAAGCCTTAGGCAAACACTACTTCTGTGAACCCCCCCTCCCCACATAGGTATGGGTCAAAATTAATCCACCAGACGGCAGGTTTAGTCTTTGGCTCCATTTGCCAGGGTCCATTTTGGGGCTACCCTATTTTTGACCCCCCCTCCGCCACAAAGTGGTTAGTGGTCCTATGAACCCCTGAGTCGCTTGCTCAAAACCGATCGGTACAAAAGTGGTCGTAATCCCAGAACCATGCTTCAAGAATTAAGAAGGCGGAAATCCGCAGCTATTTATGGCTGGGATCATCCCTCAACCTTCCTTTCCCCGGTTTTGAGCAAGTGGCTCATTTAGGGATACCCGGGTACCAATTTTTGGGGATTGAAAGGGAAACCAAGAGGAAACCAAATTCATTATGGCAAACACCCCGTCCCCATCTCGTATCAACTCCTCCGGGTCTCGCCTCCAACTCCCCGATGATCTGCTCCTCTCGACGCTTGGAGTCCGCCTGCAGGTCCGCCAGCTTTCCCTGCTCCTCGCGTGTAACTTCCTATGGTTTTCTCTATGGTTTCCTATGGCTTCCTATGGTTTCCTATGTGGTTTCTTATGGTTTCTTATGGTTTCCCGTGGTTTCTTATGGTTTCCTATGGTGTCCTATGGTAATGATTATGGTTTCCCATGGTTGTGGTTGCTATGGGTATGGTTTCCTATGAATCTGGATATGGTTGCCTGGGGGGAGCTTTGGGCGAGATCAAAACGAAAACTCCCGCCTGGGCTGGTGGGTACCTCTACTTGACGCTCATTTGTCTCCTCTTGTTGATCGAAAAGGCCACGAGATTTGAAGAGTCCCAAATGGATGTGTCAAAAATCAGGGAGTATGTTCAAGTCATCCCGGAAGTGTGCCCCAAATCGGAATGGAAGCCCTCATGGCTCGTGAAAACAGGAGTGTCTGCAATTTCCCGCGGATTGTGCCGGAGTTGTTGATAAATAGAAACAATCAACATCTTTTGATGGATCCTTCCAAGATTGCGATTCGAAAAAGTGGGCGACCAGCCTCACTTTTGACCTGGAAACCCATGTGTTTTGAGCCCTAAAGTCGGGAAACGTCTCAAAAGGCAGGTCAACCACCCGGGCCCTTTCCGAGGCACCCGGTTGCTCGCTTCCTCCCAAAACCACGCGGCGCCCTCCAACGACCGGGCGGCCGGGCGGCCGAGCGCGGCCGCTCGCGCGCGAGAAAAAAGTCCTCCTTCACGCGCGCCAGGGCGAGGCCCAGGTCTTCGCGCAGGTCTTCCAGTTCCTGAGCCAAAGGCTCACAGCTCGCGCGCGCCCGCCCGCGCCCGCGCGAGCGAGCGACCCGACGGATGGAGCTCGATGGAGCTCCTTGGCCGGCCTTCTCCTTCATCTCATCCAGGCTCCGGAGCTCTTGTTGGTGCTTTGCCGCCGCCTTGAGGTTTTCAAAAAAGAAAGAAGGAAAAACAGGGGAAACAACAGGGGAAAAACCGGGGAGTTCAAAAAGCAAAAAAAGAAGAAGAAACAAATGTCGACCCAACTTCGGAGGGACCTTGTCAGCGACGGCGTGCCATTGGCCGCGCTCGGCCTCGAGCTCGGAACCTGAGGCAATCGCCGGAGCCAATCGGCCGGCGACGCGGAGGTGCCGACGGCTGAGCTGCCGACATCTTCTCTGGAGGTCGCCCATGCGCGCAGTGTCCGATGCCTGCAGGTCCTCTGCTTGGAACCACTACGTACTTTCAAGACGTCCAATCAGAATCAGCCAACATGGGTTTGTCAAAGGGCACCCCCAACATGGCTGGTTCTCCTTTGGGCTTCCCCTGAACAACCGAGAGAGAAAGTACCCTCGCTCCAAAAAAAAGGGACACGCCCGCCGCCCTTCAAGTTTTCACATGCTCGCAGTCAGCGAGGTCCTTCAGGCTCCGCACAAGCTCCTCCTGCTGTTTCTTTTGTGCCATGATCATGGCAACCTGGCGTTAGGACTCCCAAGCAGCCCGTGCAACTGCCCTGAATCAAAAGTGTGGGAATTGCCCACTTCCATGATACCGGCAGAATTGTTCAATGACTCATTCTTTTCAGGGAAGGTTCCCTGGGGTCAAAGAAGTGAGCCAATCCCGTGTTCCCACAACGTTGATCATCGGACGGCCGAAAATTCCGCCTCGCCCTTTGTCTGCTCCATTTCCTTGGCAAGTCGAGCGGCTTCTTCTCCTGGCAAAACACGACTGGCCGGGAGTCCATTAGATCACCACTTGGGGACGAGCCACCAACAGGCTCCAGTGACACCATCCAGGTGCTTGGTCACATGCCGGCCCACTTCCTCCACGATCTGAGGAAGCCATTCAGAGTTTGGCACGGAATTGCCGTTGGTGATTCTTTATTCATCTGCGTGGCAACGTTTCCAAGATGTCCTTTCCGCAAATGATATGTGTTTGTCTCTCTTTCGGTATGATGCTGGTTCCATTCAGGTATCCTGGAACTTCTCACCATATTCACGCGGCCGACATGTTTGTAGCCAGGTACATAGCTGCATACTGGACTCAACGTTTTCCACGCAAACAGCCCACTACGCATGCCCTGCCATAGGCCTTGCGAGACGATGATGCAATGCTGTGAGTCTGAAGAATATGTGTCTATTTGTTGTTTTTCTTTGTGCTTACACACTGAAATCGGCAATCAAGGCCTGGTATGTCTGTATCGCACTGATACAATCGCCACGACAGAAAAGGCTTTTACTGCGCGTGCTCACAGGTATGCATGCCTTTGCATACCAAACTTGGCCATAGGGACATATCATGCTCGGAATAGACCTGGGGATATGCCTTGTTTTTGCGGGGCCTTTCGGCAGCCCCTATTTCCAGGGTCCCCAGCGTCTCCAACCCCCCCCCCAAACACAAAACATTCAGACACACCCCTCCCCCCATCGACCCCCACCCCACCGCACCAAAAAAGAGAGAAACAACTGACACGCAAACAAAAACAAAAAAAAGCAACCAGACCCCGAGCCCGCCTGCGGCAGCTCGGGCCTCCTGCAGCCTCTCCTTGGTCTCCTTCTCCTGGGCCAACTTCTGCTCCGCGTGCTCTCGGCTGAGGCGCTCCATGAGAACCTCCGGACCAGGACCGGGACCCGTAGCTGTGGCCAGAGTGCTCTCTCTGCTTTTTTGGGGATGCCCGAAAAACATGAAAAGGGAACAAGCGGATTTTCTCTGTTACCATCAGATGGCCATGGGTCCCAATCCAACCACTAAAATAGGTTCTAAAATGGGTGTCCTCACCAATCCCAACCAAAATGGGATCCCAAAACGGTTTTGACAACCACAGCCATATGACTTTGGATTGGTTTGGATTGGTTTGGATTGCTGCTCCGGGGCCTCGAGAACCATTCGAACCATGGCCTGAACGAATCTGGGAGCTTCCATGCTACGCGGGAGCCGAGCTGGCGCCAAGTCGCTGGCTTGGATTCTGATTGTTGAGCAAGAAGGGAAAAAGCGGAGGTCGTTGCCAAGAGGAAACGGCGCTTGAAACCGGAACACGGATTTGGAGTTCCAGTTGCACATGGCATTTTTTTTTGGGGGGGGGGGTATGGCTAAAAATCACACTCGAGAGTGCCCAAACCACTAGCAAATCCGCCGACCAAGGCTGCTGAACATATGGCTCAAAGAAAAAGCGGGTAAGCTCCCAATCCAGAACCAAACTGAAACCAGGGGAACCCATTATTGTGAACGAAACCAACCTAAAAGCCTCCCAACCAGAAGTGTCCTTTTAGAAAATAAGATGGCACTGGTAGATGGTTAGAACCAAACCAGCCAAAAAAAAACACACCTCTGCCCTCAACCCCCAGGTTCTGAAGCAAACAAATGGCTGTGGTGGTCAAAACCGTTGTGGTTGATCCCATTTTGGTTGGTAGCCACCCATTTTTGAACCTATTTTAGTGCTTGGATTGGTTGATGTTCGCTCCGGGATGTTGACCCATAACCGAAGCCTCTGCGGGGGAAGTCTTCTTTTCTGCGGCATTCCCCGCCTCCAGCTGCCGATCCCGCTCCGTGCTCAGCTGCTGCCTCAGCGCGGCTTCCCGCTGCTCCTGCTCCTCGGGCTCCCGGTGCACCCCCCAAGAAAAGACGCGCGGCATGGATTTTTTGGCGGGGGGGGGGGGTGGATTTTGGGGTGGGGGTGGATTTTGGGGTGGGGTGGCATGGATTTTGGGGTGCGGCATACCCAAATTAAGGCGACTGCGCTAAGCAACAGTGGATTTGGGGTGGGGTGGGGGTGGTTTTAGATTGTGGGGTTGGTTTAGCTGGCACGGATGTGGCTGTGGCTCAAATAAATGAAGACCAAAATTGGCACCTTGGTAAATGGAAGCAAAGACTAAAAGCTGCGGTTTGCCCTAGCTCTTGAATTTTGAGCCACTGCCATTTGAGCTTGACGCGAAAAATGCACGAAGCAACGGTTGATTTAGGGTGGGGTGGGGTTGGTTTTAGGTTTTAGGGTTGGGTTAGCGTGGGTTTATCGCGGGGTTAAGGCTGGTTTAGGGTCCGGTGAGCTTGCGACCCTGCTGGACATCACAAACCGGGGTTCATGTCCACCACTTGGCTCTGGGTGGTCTCCTAAAATTCCAGTTCGCCATGGTTCAACCTTACACATGTGTGAGAATCCTAAAATTTGAAACACACCTGTGTGTGAGAATCCTAAGGTCCTAAAATTTTCAAGCACACCTGACTTCTTTTGTGGTTTCCTGAAGGGGAGGGTCTGGTCCAAATCTCAGCGCCACTTTGTTCCAGCTGGCTCCCTGCCGGGGACCTCATCGATTCCCGCCCGGGCTTCGATTGGGCTTTTGATAGAGTCCATCAAAAGACAGACGTTTAAGCCCCGCAATTGTCCAGTTTGTCCCCCACAAGACGACAAACTGAAAAACTCTACAAGATAGGCATGATCCGAAACCTTTTGGGGAAGCCACCAAAAATCACCGAGCCCTTGGGTAAGGATCTGGTGGACAAAGAAGGAGCCCGAGGATCTTTCGCCTAAATCGGCGCAACCGATTCGATGCTCCGAAGGTCCTCCTTGCTGCGGGTGTCGGCCACCTGCTGGGCCGCCCTCGCCTAAGGCTCGGGTTGCGCCTTGAGGTAAATCCATCTGTTGAGGGGCACTCGGTGAGAAGACGTGTTCTGTATTCATGTGTTGTTGATGCGTGTCCCTTCAAATCATGCAGGGGATGAGCTTGACATGGAAAAAAGAAGGCCAGTAAAAGAGGGGGAGCAAATCCTTGTTTACTGTGGGTATGTGTGAAATGGACACTAAGGAAACCAATCGAGAGGGTTTTCGCACAAAGGCAAACCAATCGAGAGAGTTTTCACACATTAAAAAATAAATAAAAATGAGAAACACAAGAGTTGCACCCTGCTCTACATGTCAAAGGAACCGACCCACCAAGAAAAACAATCCGACAACGGGTGGAGGCAGCGCGACCGGTTTTCAAATTCGTACGAGCCCTTATTCAAGGAAATCAGAAAGCAACCCTAGCAATCTGTCAACCATGATGTCCTCTTCTTTCACCATGTGACTGGTGGAAATTCGGAATGTTGGGCTGCATCCCACAACCAAACAAACCAGGTCTCACCAGTTGAACTTGTGCCTTCTCATCGGGAGTAATGTATGTTGCCCCATTAAAAACTGCCGCTCCCCACCCCACCCCGCCGCCCTCCAGAACCCCGCCCCCCCTCCCTCCCTCCCAGCAGGTTGGTGACAACCCCCATCCCCATCTTCATCTCCATCCCCCAAACCCGAAGCCTCTCCCCCGCCTCCGCACGCAGGCGCTCCTCTAGCTGCTGCAGCTGGACACCAAAGTTGGCCTTGGCCTCCGCCAAAAGCCGCTCCGCCTCCTGCAGTGGGAAATTCACCATTTTGGGGCCCAAATCCGAGTTTTGATACCCAGGCATATGTCCTTTGGGCTTCCAGTTGAACACCAACCAAAAAGAATCTTCATTCGAGACACGCCCAATTAAAATGTGTGGCTTGTTTTCTGGCTGCAGGAAATTTGGGGATCCTCCCCCATGTCCCAAACGGACCCCAGACAAATCGAGAAACTTTGAAGGAAACTCATGTGGATGGACAGAATCCATCAGGATGGATGCGATGAAACCCGATGACTGGGAAAAAAAACCACAGAGGGTTTGTCCAGTGCACCAGTTCGGATGGATAAACCCCAATAGGATGAACCGCCTACCCTGCCTCGAAAACACCAGGGTTTTAGGAAGCCATTTGGGACGCAGGCGCTATACGTTCCTGACATGAGCAAGAGTCAATCTTTGGCGTAACCCCATCTTCTACTGGCACCTCGATGCGCATGTCATCCGCTTCAGATGATATGTGTGTCGCAAAAGTAGCTGTTTGAGGGTGTTATAAAGGGAAAGCAGTCTTTGTCAAAATTGGTAAATCCTTCGGACCCCAACCATTTCCCGATGTCCCATTTGTTCCCCTCAATGAATGGTACTCACGCCATGTGTCAAACCAGAAGACCGCGTGCTTTCAACTTGCAATTCAGGCGAAATCCCTGGCTTGATCAAGTGAACAAGGAAGCCCTGAGATAGAGAAGTCGCCCAGAAAAACAACCTGGGTCAATAATCAAATAATGCCCACTACTGGCACTGGAGTTTGAGGGGTCGTAGTCCAATAACATGTGCCGATGCGGTGAGTGGCAAAAACCCGCAAAATGAAGTTCCTGCCCACCAAAAGATATTGAGGACCACGCTAGATGCGAGCTTCCATCCCGACCGTCAGCCGCCCCAACCCCCCCCCCCCCCCCCCCCAACACCCCCCCCCACCCCCCCCACCCTACCCCAACCACGTGGGCGCCCAACGAAGCTGCCTGCACTTGCTGCTGGCCACGCTGGCGCTCCGCCGCCAGCGCCTCCCGCAGCTTCTGCTCCGAGCCCTCGCGTTCGGCAGCTTCGCGGGCGGAGGCCACCGGGTGGCAGATTTTCTGTTTCCCTGGGGTCCGGTTGCCCCGCATTTTTGTTCGTTTCTTCTTGTTTTTTCTCTGTTTATCGTATTTTCCTTTATTTTTTCTGGGGAGTCGTGTGGAGGGAAGCCAAAAGGGAAAATTCCGCCCAACTTTTTGGACGGGGGGTCGGATTCCTGAAAGGAACCACAGCCATGGGGGTGTGGTGGTAGGGGGGAAATGGGATACACAACCACTAAGCCACTATGGGGCACGTACCCCAATTTACCCTGCGGGTAGTGGTTTCGGGGTTCTGGAAACCATCTTAGACTGCGGCAAAGTTGAAACACCCTTTGTTTGGTAGACTGTTAAACCCTTGGATTCGCCCCAAAAACCCTTCCGTCCGATATCCACGAGCCATGGAAGCCGACAGTTGGGAGCCCATCCACTTCAAACCGGCTGGGAATCCCTTTTTTCCTGGCTCGGACGTTCGAAACAATAGAACATAGGGATGCATATCTGTGCGTTTGCTTTCGTCCAAACCCAAAAGAGGTTTCAAAACATTGGGGACGTTGGGGGGGTGTGCCTGGCTGGGTATGTGTTTGCCTCAAAGCGGTGGACCATTGTTGTGCCTCCCATTTTGGGCCCCTACTCTGAGACACATCAGCTGGGTATGTGTCGAAAAATCGAGTCTCGGACCCTGAAATGGTGAGCTTTTCCTTTTGGTCCCCCTAACCCAGACCCGGTGAAAGGGGTACCCGCCAAAAACACAGAGAGAGAGAGAGAGAGAAAGAGAGAAATGGCTGAGGCTCAAACCGGAATTCCAAAATGGGTTGCCCTGGGAAGTGGAAACATGGACCAAAACCTGCGGTTTGCCCCTCCTGTTTAATTTTGAGCCACACCCAAATAGAGAAAGAGAGAAAGAGAGACAGACAAAGAGAGAGAGAGAGAGAGAGAGAGGGAGAGCTAATAGAAATCCCACTGGAATCAGCTCAAATCCCTCGTTGTGACATAGAATCTCCTGTAGCTGGCTTCTATGACTTTTAGGTGTCGCTCCCCTTTTAACCTTCCAACCCTCAGGAAACTCAAACAGAAGTGGCCCAAAAGGGCCCTTAGGGCTCCCAACAATATAGGGCTTTCTTTAAACAAGAATTGGGCTTCACCCCGGTTGGCTGTCAAAACAAGTTGATACCGAATTGGAGGATTCATGTCGGTTCCTTGAGTGAACCAACCGAGGACCGTCCTGCACAGAGCTGACATGTTCTGAAGGGTCTGCATGTTAACAGCCACTTGGTTCATGGGAAGTAACCGAGCTGGTTTGGATGAAGGAAACCAGGAATATGGGTCCCGGACTCTTTGGTGGACATCATTCAGGTGGAGATTCATGTCCACCAACCCAATTTAAGGTGATTCCCTATCTAATTTCATAGCTAAATGGAGGGACCCGTCACAGGACCGGCAAAGTCGGGACGTAAAGGGGTCCTTCCAAGCTTTCGTGAATGTTGAAAAATGTTCAACACAAAATGTCAAGAAAAGGGAGGACTCAGTTGAATTATATGCCCCCTTTCAGCAACTGCAACCGCATTTCATGTTGGCCCGCCTTCAAAAGGCATCACCTAAACACAACCGCACCGGACCACATCAGACCACTGTCCCATGTTCTGAGGTCCTGTTGATGGATGGGGTGAAGACCAGTCCCCCTCTCGACCTAATTATTCATCAGGGGGCACGATTCGTCCCTTCGTCCAGAGGCAATTGTCCCGATCCAACCAAGCAGGGTGAAAAACAAGTTGTCTGGCCAAGCCCAAACCTGCGGAAAACTCGAGGTAGGAACAAATTGTCCACCGGCCAAACAAAAACAACTTCCACAACCTCCATAAACCAAACAACGCCATCTATGCACCCGCAAAAGAACATCTATACACCAAAGGCTCATTTGTGTTTTGCATGTTTCCCATCAACCAGCTTTCGAATGTCTTCATGCTTGATTTCTCAAAAAATGGGGACCCCTTGGGGCGGTTCTGCCAATCTGTGCGCGTCTTTTTTTGGAGGGATCCGCTTTTTGGTTGGTTTTACGGGGAAACCAAGGGCTCGAGCCTGGTCTACCCAGGCGGATATCCACAGCTGTTTATGGCAAGGGGATGGTCCCTTACTCCCCGGGTTTCAAGCAAGTGGCTCATTTGGCTGTGGGTCTAAAAGATGTACCAAAATGGCACCCTGGTAAATGGATTCAAAGACTAAAACCTGCGTAACACTACCCCTTTAATTTTGCGCAAGTGGCTCATTTGGCCATGGGTCAAAATCCCGTACCCCCAGTGAACATCCCAATCCAACCACTAAAACAGGTTCCAAAATGGGTCAATTCACGCACCAACCAAAATGGGATCCCAAAACGGCTTTGAACCAGTGCCATCTATTTTTCTAAAAGGACACTTCTGGTTGGGAGGCTCCCACCGCCATTCCGTCGGTTTTCGCGGCGGCTCCTCGCTCCCCTGGCGCAGCAGCTCCTCTCGCAGCCGCCGCTCAGAGGTGAGGTCCTGCGCGCACTTCTGCCGCTCCTCCTGCGAGCGCCGCGCGCCGCCCGCCGTTTTCCGCGGCTGCCCTGATATTGAAAAAAAAAACACCCCTCGCGGGGTGCCCTCGGGGAAAAACAAAAACAAAAACAGCTGGGACCCCGAAAAACCGCAACTCCCGCTCCGGGGAAAAAAAAAAGCTGGGACCCCGAAAAACCGCAACTCCCGCTCCGGGAAAAAAAAATGCTGGGACCCCGAAAAAACGCAACTCCCTCTCCGGGAAAAAAGAAAAAAAAAAAAAAAAGCCCTTTGCGGGCGCAGGAGAAACACCGGCTCTGGCGCCGTGTTCCTTTGGGGCTACCCTCGGAAAAATCGGTGGCTCCCCGTTTGGTTGTCCCTACCCAACCTGAAAGGGCTGGCCTCAAAAGCACACCAAGTAGGCAAAAGCATTCAAGCGCAGCCAACCAACCCAAACCTAAACCTAAACCCAACCCAAACCTAAAACCAACCCAACTCAACCCAACCCAACTCAACCCACCCAACCCATAACTTCCCCTATGGCACGCTTTGAGTCGGGTGTATAGCCCCCCTTATGGCACGCTTTGAGTCGTCGAGTCCACCAGCTCCCAGCTCGCTCCCAGCTCCTGCAACTCCCGACTGAAGCGCTCGAAGTCCTCCCGCAGCTTCCGGCGGTGGGTCTCGCGCTCCCGGTCCAAGGCTTCCTCCATCCTCGGCAACCGGCCGAGGAGCTTTGCGCCCGGGTGGGTGGAGTGGAGTGGGCGACTTAAAGGAAAAATCCCGTGAACTGTTATTTATTTGAAATAGTAGAATCGCTATTCAAATTCTAGTTTGAACAACAACAAGTCTGATTGTAGTATTTCCTTATTTGAAGTCTATGTTGTTTGTTTTTAGATAGAAGTTTATTAGAACTTGACAAATATATATGAAGCAGAATTCAGAAGTCGCAAAAAAATTCAAATAGACTATGTGTAATCCTGTACTGATTTGTACAGACAGTTCTATTGGAAGGGAAACCCTGCGTAACATTTAAGTTGAAATAGACATATTTATCATTGCTTAAATTCCAATTCAAAATAGAAATTCTGATTGGAGTGGTTGCCTTTTTCAATTCTGTTGGATCTCAGTCAGAAACTGAGTAGAATATAATAAACATATTGCGTAGAGTGCATAAAAGAGCTCTTATGTCCCCACATTTTTTACTGGCCCCAGCACTACCAGGGTCCGAAAACACTGTAAAACAGTGCTGTGCAGCGGGAGTTTGAATAGGATTCAAATGGAACTCCATAAAGAAATACATGGTCAGAATCCTATTGAAAAGAGATTAGATAGATTCGATAGAACTCATGCCACAATAGAACTGTACGATTCAATCAGAGTTCTAACAGAATTTGATCAAGAAAAATCGAATCATAATTTCTATGTTATGTTAGGACTTTCTTTCCAGCCGAATTTCTTCACAAATCAGTTAAATTGTAACATCAGTTATTCAAGAATAGGTCAACTCGAATGTCCACTCAGAACGTGAAAAAGCACACGCTCACAGCATGCCGCTCTCTTCTGTGAATATCTAAGTCTATGTGAAGCATACTGCAGAAAGCTCGAAATACCAAAAAAAGAAAAAGAAACGCACTCCCACAGCATCCTGCTCTCTCTAAAAAAAAAAAAAAAGAAGAAAAAAAACGGCTCTAAGAAACGACCCCCAAAGTTAAAACGCCCCTTCGGCCGGGGCGCTCGCGGTTCTTCTGGTCCCTGAGCTCCCGCAGCTGCTGCTGGGAGAGGTCCATCAGCTCCCGCCGCTGCTCCTCCAGCGCCTCCCGCTGCCGCTCCTCCATCCCTCGAAAAAGCGGCGGCGACCAGCGAACGACCAGAAAAAAACAAAGCAAACCAAGTAAAAAAATAAAACAAGAAAACAATACAAACAATACAAACAATACAAACAATAGTCAATACAAACAATACAATCAATACAAACAATACAAACAATACAAACAATACAAACAATACAAACAATACAAACAATACAAACAATACAAACAATAGAAACAATGGAAACAATGCAAACAAACAGACCAAACCAACCAACCAACCAACCGACCAACCAACCAGCCAACCAACCAGCCAGCCAGCCAGCCAGCCAAGCAAGCGAGCGAACGAGCGAGCAAGCAAGCAAGCAAGCAAGCGCAGAAGAGCAGTAGCGACGCCAACAATAACAACAATGTCAGCCAGGTACCAAACCTGTCCCTGTACTGAAAAGGGCGGCTGTTGCATTTTTCTATATTGGCCATACGATCCAAATGGGTTTGTCCTAACTTATAGGACCACCATTGTGTGTGTGTGTGCGTATTCTTGCATTGCAAGAGACGTAATTCTCATGCCCAATGATGTCTGCACGTACAAGAGTCCCTAAATCGCAAGATAAGTTGTTTTTGGGGGGGTACGTACTAGTTACCAGGCATGCTTGTGATTATTCGCACTTTCCTTCAAACCATCATCCCTCTGGGTGGTTTCTTCTTTGGGAGAAAAACGCACCCAGAGATTCTGGGTCCATCTGGGTTGTTTCGGACTGGATTTCTGCTTAAAAAGTCGATCAATCTGCAGGTGTATGGCGTCCCTTGAAACTGCCACTCTAGGTTCCAAAAAGGTCACAAGCTAATAATACTACTAATAATAATAATAATATAATAATACTAATAATAAATGGAGGCGAAAACCAGGTTTTTTCACCAGCCTGTTTCCTCCCAAAGGGGGGGGTTGGAGAACCTCTTGCGGCCCAGCTTCTCACCTTATCCTGCTTCCTCTCCGACAAGATTCGCTCCACCTCTGGCTGCAGCCCCTTGATGGTCATCTCCTTGATCTCTTTCACCTGCAAACAGTCGGCTGGTTTCTGTTTTGGTGTCCTTCTTGGAACGGAACCGCGCGGTTCCGTCCTTCCCCTTCAAAAGCAACCCCCGCCAAAAAAAAAAACTCGGATCCCTTTTCACACCTCCCCACCTTCTCCTTTTCCCAGGATTCCCGCTTCATGCGCTCCGTGGCGATCCAGTTCTGCTTGTTCTTGGCGAGCTCCTTGGCGCCGTGGTCCTCCATCTCCTCGATCTTCATCTGGAACTTCCGCTCCACCGCCTTCAGCTCCTCCGCGAAGAGCTCGCAGCGCTTGGTGAGCTCCGTCTTGTCGTTCAGCAGGCGGTCCACCTAAGCGCAACCCACAAACTCAGAGAGAGAGAGAGAGAGAGCTGCGAAACGACTTTTTTGAGCCGGAGCTGCCAGTCTCAGATGCCTTTCAACGCCGGCCTGTGCAAAAAATGGCAAGAGTGACCCAAACAAATCCCCAAATCTGCCCACCTCGTAGTGGGCCTTTTGCTTCTGCAGCTTGTCTTCCCACTCTTTGACCTCACTCGTGACAAGCTGGCCGGAAGCTCGGAAGCGCCAAGCAGCTCCCAAACGCAATTACGCATCGGGCCGTCTCTTGCACCAACTGCTTCTCGTGCTCCTGCCACCCAACTTGCCATGAACACCACACGACGTGGCACAAGGAGGTTAAAGAACTGAGGTACTGCTGGATTGGAACATAGGTACCAATCAATTGTACCTCAGCATCCATAGTACCTCAGCTCTCCAAACCCTGAGCCGTCTCCTGAGATTCTTTGAGTGCGCGCTTCAGCGAGTCGATGATCTGCTTCTTGTCGTGCACCTCAACCTGGGCTCAGATTAGGTCCTTCCCGTCTGGGGTTCCCGGAGGCGATGTTGGTTCCCTTTCAACTCCCAAGGCCATCCCAAAAGTGCCCAACTTTCGGTCCATCCAGCCTCAAGCATGGATGCCCGCGAATGAGCAGCGCTCGCGTCCTGCAAGTCATATTGACTGCGAGTCAGGAAGCGCTTGGAAAGGCGAGTACATGCCAATGATTCCCGAAGGGCTGAGGGTCAAACCAGAGTCTAGAGGCATATTTCTTGTGTTCATGTTGGTTTCCTTCCAAATCCATCTCCAAAAATGACCGTGGCTTTGACGCATAGGTCTCCCCTACGTCAACCCAGGCCCAAAGCTGTCCTGTGTCAGCCCAGATGGAATGTGAGGCCTGGCTCCGCGCTAAGCTCTTTGGCGCTCAAGATGCGGCGGCCAAAACTCGCTGTCCGGGACCAAGAATTCGGTGAGTGACCCGATTCTGTGCCAGTTGTAGTGTGGGCGAGTGATAACCCCTCAAATTCCTGCTTGTCCTTTTCGCCAGACATCCTGAAAACACCAATTATTGGAGTCCTTGAAAGAGCTGAACTCGACGCCTTCGAACGCCATCCCACCGCTGTTACCAGACAATGGCGAATACTCATTATGTGACGACAGTGCCTGTCTGCCAGGTCCACGTCATCATCCCAATCTGGGCGAGGCATGCGCAAGCAACCCAGATTTGCCTTGCTGAATGTCCCTTCAGAGGATCTACGTCAGATTGAAAGCTGCATGTACTGCGAGGCAATATGACTGCACTGATGCCATCAGCAGCACGTGTAAAACATTTTAAATCCATCCCTTATGAATCCGAACGCGATGCTTGACATGTCAAGCTTGTCGCAAGTTTCGACTTGTCCGAGCAGCTTCCTGCAGTTCTCGATGATCGCGCTGACGAGACGAGCCTGAGCCGGCAATGCCAAATGGCACACACAAGAATCGCCGAGCTGGGAGAACTGCGAAGACATATCCGCCTTCGAGGATTCCTGCCGTGAACTTAACTGCTCTGGCTCCACTGGGTGCCTCTTGTGGTGCCTCAACCTCTTCCAAAAAGTTCAAGATGGACGCCAGCCTCTCCTGGCCGCCAAAACACGACCGTGCCATGTCGATTCCGATTCCGACTCCAGTCACTTCGCCTGGGGTTGGGCAGTGGACTTGGCCGGAGCGAGTGCCCGTGTCGCCGGCACCTGGCAAAGCAAACGCCCAACTCGGAACGGACCCTCTGGCGCGAGTGAGAGTCGGCCTCTGGCTGGTCCGCACTCTGGGTCCGCAGCTCCTCGGGTCAAAAGCCAAATCGTGCCCCCAACATCCCAATCCACCCACTAAAATGGGTTCTAAACTGAAAATGGTACCATTGGTTTTGACCCACAGCCACATCCGGACCACATGCAAGAATGCCAAGAATGCCATTGCCCTCGCCTTGATGACCTTGATGCGGGAGCGCATCTGTGCAACCTTCTCCTGGCGGAATCTCTCATGACTCGAAAATAACACTCCCTTCAAGGCAGGCACCGCGGCGCCCGTGGAATTCGGACTTCTCCTTGGTTGCTGGGGGACATGGGACACGTCCAAGGCCATTCTCGGTCCAACATTCTCAGGAAGCCGTGGCTGCCTCAGTTGGGCACTGTGCTTCAGGGTCGGCAGGTTGTGCCGGAGTTGAAGACGAATCCTGGCAGAACAAAAATCATGGCCATCTCTCAAAATCCTCTCTCTGCTTCACTTCATCTCTCCCCGCCTTCTCCACATAGACTCCGGGGCAGTAGGCTTGACGCCTCCCACCGAAACCACGCCCAAGACATCCAAGGCGTGGGTTCCGCCGCAAAAAAAAAGAAGCACGCATGCGCGCATGCGCGTTCCTGGGGGCCGGAGACAGCTGGACGAAGAAGTGGGACTTGTTGGGCAGCTCCTGGCCTGGCGCAGAGGTCCAACTGGCAGAGTGGCAGGGCGTTGCTCTTGTTCTTCCCCGGATAGCTGAGAGATAATTTAGTTTGTTGTGTCTAAAAAAAAGAATCAAAACAACCCTTTAGGTGGTTGCCAAATCATGAGGTCAGAAATAAACAACACCTTTTGGTTGTCCAACAACACATGATAAGCAACTCGAGGAAACCTTCTATTTTTTGGGAAGGTGGTTGAGCCATCTCAATGACAAGCCAGTGGCTGCTTGCTACCCGGCCTGCCCCACCGGCTTCACAGGTCTCCTGCATCGTGGACCGCTTCTTTCCGATTCTCTTGGCTTCCTTTTGACAAAACTGTGACACATGTCTATGACTCTTGGGAGCTGGAACCACCAACCACCAGCGGTTGTACATAAATCCCCTAAATCATGTCCACCAAAGCTTTTGTCCGGGGGCCCAAAAAACAGAACATCCTCGCTTGCCCTCGCTTGCAAAACGCGAGGGTCCTGTCCACTGGCCTCCGGAGTCACCTGACCTCAGCGCCATCGTTCGCTCGCGCGAGACCATCGCTCAAAGGCTCCTTGGGCTGGAGCCCTTGCCGGGCGCAACCTTCAGCCTGGAAGGCGGCTCGTCTTGCTCGAAGGCCCGGGTCCCTTTTTGGGGTTGGTTTAAAGGGAGACCAAGAGGACACCAGCCATGTGGGTGTTTGTTGGGTTGGTTTAAAGGGGGAAACCGAAAGGACACCAGCCATGCCTCATTGGGTCCCTTGTGGTTTTGTTTCCCTAGAAATGTCAAGCCATCCCAAGCGTGGCTCCTCCAAACAAGCCACCTTCGCTCTCAGGCGTGAACCCCGGGCATGTCAATTCCGGCTGCTCTGGAGCTGGCACCTCGGCCCGCGACGCGAACTTTTCGCCGTTATCGCTGCATTCCGCTGGGGCCTCCTCCTCAGGTCCACGGCAAGACCTCGCAGGCTGAGGCATCGTGGGGGGTTCCCCACATCCAGTCACTGGGCTGCAGGCCCCATCTTGCGAAGCGCCCAATCAACGGAAGTTTTGCGCAAGACGCAATCCACCTCGCCGTGTCTGGCTAAAATTATGCGTTCCCTGCCAGCTTCCTTCTTGATATGGGTGCTTCTCGGAATAGGGGTGATCTAAACGGTGTGTTTCTCTTGGTTTCCATTTGAGGGGGGCATTTCCATCATTCTGAGAATGGTCAAAGCTCACTGTGACTTTGGCACGGAAGTGAAACGACGCCAAGAAGAAGGAGGCAACTCATCCCAAAATCAAAGCCACATATCAGGCCATTCTATTCAGTGTGTCATTCAGAGTCTGAAGTATAGCATCACAATCCGAGATCCTTGCCGGTTCATGGAGTCGCTCGGGGACATTTTGACCACGCGCCTAGCATGTTGTGGTACCAATTGTGGAGTACGCGCACAGAAGCCGCGTCGGTGCCAGGCCTTTTCCCAAGCAGTTGTCCAAGCATGTTGGTCCCCAAGCATGTCAACCCGCCGTTTTCAAGAAGAGCGAATGAAACTCCAACGAGTAACGGCATCTGAACTGTGTAGGCGCAGCCCGCGCGGCTTTCCTTATAACGCTTCCTTCGACGTTGCCCCAGAACGCAAGCAGAACTGTCTCTATCGCCCTTGAAGCAAGATGCAGTTCGACTTCATAAATCAGGTTGGGCGAAAAGGGGTCTACACGCAAAGCGGAACCAGCACACGGGACGAACTCCTTGACCCTGTCTCCTTCAAACGTTTGCGGGTGAAAGGGGAGGCAAATCTAGACGTAGATGTCCATTCTGCAATACGATCCAGGTCGTTAACAGTAAAATATTGCTTGTTCACCCGGCATCCCTCCAATATGTAATTCTCATGCATTTCATGCAGCCATCTAAGTGCAATAGGAAGAAGTCATTACAACTGTTGTCTATGCTAGCAAAGGGTTCATGTCCATTCCTAGTAACGTTGACCCCAACTAAATAAACCCAACCTACCAATAGAGAGGTGTGCCCCTCCAATAGTGATGAACCCCCACTAAACCACAGCCCCCTCCCCCTCAAAATCACCCAGGCAGGGGTTTATGAATCCGGGATTCCCACGAATCCCAGCAATGTTAACTTCGGACTCCGGATGCTCCCTCTCAGAGGCGCGCCCCCTAGGTCACATTCATTGACCGAAGGGGGAAAAAAAAACCACCCCTGAATTACTCCAGATCAATCCCTTTGACGTCCGAGGTTGGTGCTTTGACGCGTTGCTCCCCCGCGCCTTGGGCTTTGGCCTTCGCGACGCCGATGCCTCGCCTCGCGCCTGACAGCCATCCAAGGCCCCGGGTCTACTCGGCACGGAGAACTTTGGAAACATCAAGGGGGCAAGAGAGACTCTCACATGCACCCGCGCCTGAGTGATTTGCGGGGCCATTTACTCATGGCAACACATTGAAGGCTGAAATGTGTGAGAAACACCGCGGTACCCTTGATTGGCCGATTGGCCGATGGGCAAAAAGATATTCAACTCCCATGGCTGCATGTGGCTTCTCAAGCAAATGCTTTGTCTCCATGGGTGTCTGGTTGCGCTGCTGGCAAAACATGGCAGGCTCATGAGAATGCCTTCTGTTCCACCGCTTTGGATAAACTCTCGATGAGCAGCTGCGGAAAGCACGGGTTGAACCGAACCTGCGCGCAAACAATTTCGGGTCCCCTGTTTTAAGACTCGGTGGGAATGTGCCAAAATCCGGGCCCGAGTGAGATGCATCCTGTTGGCTTGCTTCAGGGGGCGCGAGCAAAAGGCGGGCGACCTCCATAAAGCTGCATCTCAAGGTGAACTCGGTGTCGTAGTCGCTGCTGCCCTCGATGTGATCGAAGACCTACCCAGCTCCGAGCAAAGTGCAGGTCCAAAATCATCGCGAATCAAAATGGGATCCCGGCAACCAGCTGAAGTTTTGTTGATTCCCATAGATGTTTTCAGCGTTACATTTAGCTTCAGCGTTGAGCACGCCCAAAATCGTCAAACTTCAAAAGCCGCGGCGGATTGAAGTTGATTGTTCAGGCAAGTCCTCATGAGTTCACTCAAATCTACCGAGTTCCCTCCCAATTTTGCCCTGGCCATGTGACCAGACCCGGGGGCCCGGGGCCCAAAGCCCACAGCCGGCCCAGGGCCTGGCGTGCAGCTCGGGGCACCATGCCCTGCAGCTCCGGCCTTTCGAGTCGGCTTAAATCCGCATCCGGGCCAGCTGCATGCGCCCTTTGTTCCGAGGGAAACCGTCGGCAACTGCATCGCTCCAGGTCGCGGGGTGTTGTGTTTCTCTCTTTTTTTCTGACGCTCTCTTTTGAGGGTAGACCCTTTTTGTGGTGGTTTGTCTTTTTTCATTATTATCATTATTATCAGGAAAACGAAACGGAGTCCCGAAGCTGTTTCGGGGGTTTTCCGAAACGACGCACCCGGTTGGATGCAGAGTTTCTTGGATGCACCGACATTTGCTGGAGCACCACTCAACTTGCATCGACAAAGACAAGGCAAGGATACCAGAACCCCTTAAGGGCCTCCCACTTTTGACACATTACCCACAAAAAACCACCCAAAACCAACACCACCAAAAAGAAAGACGCGAAGCAAACACCCAAAACCAACGGCCTCAAAAACGAAAAAACCAAGGGCCCCAAAACGACCTTTCCGGAACGAACTTTTAAGCTCTCAGGCGGCCGCAGAACTGCGTCTGTGGCCAAGTTCTCGGGACCTCGGAATCGTCCGGAGGTCGAGATGGGACCGAAGGGGCGGGGGTCCGCGGTCCCATTTTTCCTCTAAAACACGATGTGTCCAGCATAAAGAAAACCAGGACTTCCCCAAAACCGGTTCACTCTGAAAAACATGTGGAGTCGTCACGGGATGGGTCCCATTTTGCCCCCTCCCACTCACCACCTCTGTATCCTGATGGTATTTGGAGAGGGCACCACACATGTTACCGGCCTGTTTTTGTCTCTAGGGAATTGTTCAACCCCAAAAAGGGTTGGACCGACTCCAAAAAAGAGCTGACATCCCCAAATTTGGGTAATGCCCAAGTGTCATGCACCGAGGCAGCGGCCAAACATACTGTAGGTCTTTCCAGAAAACTGGCGGCGAACTTGTCAGGCTTGGCTTCTGAGTTGCACCAAAATACGCCATGGACAGTTGCGCCATCGTATGATCTTAGACAACCATAGAGGTGGGGAGCGATGACCCAAGTCACAATCAATATATCTGGTATTGAAGGGGTCTATCCCAAATGTGCAGAGTCAAGAGGAGCTGTCGCACCTAGAGGACTGCCTTACCTGATTTTCGTTTTTTGGCTCGGACCCCGTACACGCATAGCACTTCGAACAATCAACAGGCAGGAGCCGCTGTTTGTCCATAAGCAAGAATTGTGCCGTTGTATCCATTGAGCACGTCGGACACAACGGGCTTTCCGACCTCGGCCAAAACTCGAGATCAATCGATTGCGCTCAGCCAGCCATTGGGACGCTCGTCGGAAATAGCAGAAATGGGTGTTTCTCAAAGTAGCCTCCTAAAATCGATGGTTTAGCTTTGGTTTCTCTTAAATTCCAATCCGCCATATTGTGAGAAAACTCCCAACTTTAACGCAGAAAACAGATACAACCATGGGGCGGCCTGGCATTTGCCCTTGACAAGTCAAAAATATTGTGGCTGCACATCTTGGCTCCCAACGTGTTCAAACACATCCTCCTGCTTCGCGGCCTGCGAGTTTTTGTCTGCTTCGGCGCCGTTGATCCATCGCAGTCGACTCTTTGTTTTGGTCGCTCGCTCCTCGCCAAAGGCGCGGCTGAAGTCGAAGCAGTAGGTACCATCCGCCGACTCCACCTGGGATCGACGTCCCGTTCCGGGGTTCTCCGCCCGACGGCCGGTCTGTCGGTCCCTCGACACGGCTCGCGACTCGCTCGCGCTTGCCGAGCTGCACTTCTTCCATTCGGATGGGTGGAGAAAGCGGTCAGGTCCTCGGATGAAACTCGCTCCAAGCTGCAGAAGTCGGTAGCAGTCCTGTAGCTCGTCTTCCCTGACTCGAGGCCTCGGGTTCCGGATACTTACAGTCTCGGGCTTCCGCGGCGATTTAGGCTTCCAGCCGGAATCGAACAACAACTTGGACAGCCACTGTTCGAGAACTCCTGGCATCGGCAGGTCTGTGGAACTGTCAGACGCGAGGCAATCCGAGCAACGCAGTGCAAGCAAAGAACGCCACATCAAGTTGCTGGACAGGATACAAGACTTTTAAGCTTGGCCATGTGTCGAAATTAGGACATCGCTATGTGTTTCCTTGCTCTCAAGATTGTTGACAAAAAGCAAAAAGCCGGGAACTATTTGGCCACCCCTAACTCTGGGATACTTTTTGGGGAAAAAATCATTGGGACTCCCTCCCCACCTCTTTGCTTCCGATCAAACCAGCCAGTCTGCCTTTGCGCCCACGAGGAATCGAGGACCGAGGCCATCGATTCAGGCCTCAGCCAGTTCATTCGTGGCACGCCCCAAAGCGCGGCCCTCCCGCAGAAAAAAGAAAGAAAAAAAAAGACGCCGGAGGCTCCCCCAATTGGCCGCTGAAAATGGAACCCAAGTCTTCCAAAGGGGTTCCGGGAGCTTCCACGTCAGCCTGGGGGAGGGTATGAGTTGGGAGTGGGATCCCAGTCTTTGAAGAAGTCACCCTTGCTTTTGGCAGTGCAGTGACTTGCCTGACATCGCCCTATGCCGCGCGCCGCAACCGAAAGTGAAACCGTCATCTGTGCGGTGCCGCATCGCAGGCGAAAACTCTCGAATTGCTCTACGGGGGCATAGCAAGCTGCCATGTTGCTTCCACATACAGCAGACCCGAGTCAACTATGCGGTGGGCTACTCATGAGACCACCACCTTTACATAAGCTGTACAAGACATTCTGCAAGCAAAGTTCAACGTTTCAATTTCCGTTCCTTTAATTCCCTTGCTTGGATGGCAATGGAAGGTCATCGTAGGAGCTGCCAGCCCATTGCAGCAATGCTGGTAGTACAAAGGTAATGTAGACACTTCCCAGAAGTATTGCAACCAAGTTCAGACCCAGACCAAAGGACGCCATCTGTTTGACGGACACTTTGCCGCTCGAGTATACGACCATGTTGGGCCCGCCAGCCATGGGTAGCATGAATGCAAACGAGGCGGCGAAGGATACCCCCAACAGCAGCTGTACTGGGTTGAAGCCCATGTGATGCCCGGCACTGGCAATCATCGCGCCGAAAATATTCAGGGTCGACATGTTGGACACCACCTCCGTGACAAAAGCCACCACGGTCAGCACGATGAGAATGAACCAATACTCGCTTAGGCCTAAGCCTTGGAGCTGTTCAGCGACCAGCTCCGCCAGACCACACTTCACGGTGCCGTGTGCAATCAGGGCTCCTCCCCCGAAAACGAAGAGGATCTCCCAGCTGAAATCCTGCTTCACACTCTGCCAGTCAAGGATGTACCCCGGAGCTTCACCCTTGCAGATCGATCGGCACCTCTCCTCCCCGACGAGACGCTTGCACCCTGCCGGCAACCAACGTCCACAAGGGATCACGAAGAGCGGGAGCGTCAGCAAGAGGCCGATGGAACCGCTATTGAGCTCCGTCAGTCCCCACGCATGCTTCCAACCCGGAAAGCGATCGATCCTCGAGGCTGTGAACCAGAGCAGCATGAGGCACAGCATGTCAACCAGTACTATGACCTCTTCAACGGAGACAGGTCCTATTTGCTCCTTCTGGAAAAACGCAGCGGCATCCACTACAATATTTTCTGAGTTCGTCCAGACACACACTGTGCAAGCCATCAAATAGCATACGACCAGTAATAGTGCGGACAATGGCAAAGCGGTAATGCAGAACGTGGCAAAAGAGAATTCCTCCTCGTCTGGCCAAAACTCGCGGAATAATGCCATGAAGATGCCATTGGTCGGTGTCCCCACTGGCGTAGCCAGTCCGCCAATGGTAGCTGAATAGCCGATGGCAAGTAGCATGGCACCCTGAAAGCGGACGTGACGAGAGTCCACTGACTCTTGAAAGCTTTTGACCATTGGGGCAATGCACAACATCGCCGCCGTGTTTGAGATCCACATGCTCAACAGCCAGGTTGTGAGCATGAAGGCCGCCAGGTAAAACTCCACTCTGCCCCCGACTTTGGAAAGCATGAAGTGCACGAAGCGGGTATGCAGGTTCCATCGCTCAATGGCGAGCCCCAGAAAGAACCCGGCGATGAAAAGGAAGGACACGCCCGAGAAGAACATATGCGCGAGGGTGGAGGCATGGACGATGCCGAACAAGGGATACAGGGCCATGGGCAGCATGCTGGACACGGCGAGTGGCATGACTTCCGTCACCCAAAACAGGGCGGTGACCAGCAGCACCGCCAAGCCCCTTGACGCCTTCGGGAACCTGGGGTCCAAATCAACCAGCGGAAGCACTGCCAGGCTGGTGGCGGTCAGCAGAAGCACAACAAGGGTGGTCCGCCCCTTTGGGAGTCGCTCCGACCTCTCCGACTTCAAGTCGTCCAAAGCCTCACGCATCGACATCGTCGACACCTCAGCGGGGGGAAGGGCATCTGTGAAGAGCCCTGGCTCGCTCATAGACCCTAAGCTGCGTCTGAGCCAAAATCCAGCGCTGCAGCCGCACCGATTTGAGATGGCTTGCCCCGACACAAACCCCAGGCAAAATGAAAAACGCGGATCTCCACGAAATGGGTATGGGTCAAAGTTAGACTAGGAGGTGGCTTTGGGCCATCTGAGCCTAGCGACCACCAAAGCTAGCCGCGGCAGGCGTGGCCACGCAAAAATGCCAAGCACTCTGAGTCACTGAGTCAGCAGCCGGGTTCCTGGAACCTCTGAAGTCAGAGATGTGTTCTCACCTGGCAAGATACGCCATCCAGACCCCAGCAAAACACACATGCGACTTGAGCTGCTGCTCTCGCGAACGAATCTAGACTTCGAGGAGCAAAAGCCGTGACCGGAGCGTCTCACAAAGCTTGATTGGTATTGAGTGGCCATGCCCAAAATATGTCAGGGTAAATCCGAGACTCGCACAAGCAAACACACAAGCATAAACATAAACACGTGCCTGCGGCTTACTGAAGACTGGAAGAAACACCGCTGTCTTCCCTGAGGCATTTGCTGCTGGCACGCCGGGGCGTGACCTTCTCGATCCTGGCCTCAGAACGGTTTGGACCAGTCCGGCGGGCGGTTGGAGCTGTCTCCGAACTCACTCGTCTGCATCCAATTTCTTCGCTCTCCGGCATCGCGGAATCGCAATAAGGAATTCAGGGAGCTGTCTGCGAAGCATTTCTCTGAGATCCGGCGTTGCGGTCGCCGGTGTGCAACTGGGGCCTCATCACGTGCATGCTGTGCATTTAAGCTCATGCTTCTGCAAGTCGTGTGTTCACGTTGCTTCGCAGAGGTACCTCTTGCTTGCACATCCCAAGTACGGCAAGCGTCAGTACGTTTCATGCTGAGGCACGCTCATTATCACACGGCACACCACTGTACATGGACACAGCAGCCTGCAAACGGCAAGCGACGCACCAACGATGACCGCATGAAGTTAGCTTGCAGCACCCTGTGTCAAAAATAGGGACCCCAAAAAAGGTGGTATCCTTTAACCTTTAACCACTCCAAAATGACCCTTCCTGACAAAAGCCCTCGCCTAGGCTCTTCCCAAACCCTGCCTGGTCAGCCGCTAACTGTGTGCGGTCTACGCAAAAAATGCTGCAAGTGCCGGTGTATTGGTTTCTTCAGGAGCCAACCGAAACATGAAAGCTTGCTCATTTCTTTGCCCTCCATAGTTGCATTTTCCCCTATGCTGACTGATGAACTTGGGCATGTGCTGGCATTGTCAACCCGGTCTCTCATGGTCAGCTAGCAGTTTGGCTTGAACATGGCGGCCAGTGGCAAAGGAGGAAAATCATACCCTCCTTCCAACCATCATTAAAGCTGACAGGAGGGTTTCGGAAGACTTCTTTCCTTTTTGGGAAGGTCAGTTCCATTATTGTTGGAAAGAGGGCACACTCTCTTTGCCATTCCCTGGCGTCTCACGCAACACACATGGACACATTGGAACGCCCGCAACGTTAAACATGTGCAATGTATCATGTCTGCCAGCTCTTCAAATCCAACTAAGATCTCTGCGAATACGTCCGGGCCTCAGCCTCCGGAACAGCACGACAAACGAAACGAGTTGCAAGCAGCAAGCCGTGAGACCAGCCTTCTGGTTATGCCCTCGGCAAGCCTCGGCGTGTTGCCGGACCGGGTCGAATCCCAAGCCAACACCCAAGGGACAAACCCGAAACCCAGCCAACACCAACCCTTCACCCGTCCTGATCTTGAAACCAACTATCACCAACCACAACAAGCACCCAAGACCGCCCTTACGTCAATCCTGAAACAACCAACCCTGAACCAAAAAAGGAACCGTGGGCCAACCGGACTCGAGACAGGAGCATTGCCCTTGCACCAGGAGCCCAGTCCAATATCCATCGCTGAGTGACCATCAGTAACCCACCAGGTTTGGACCTCTGTCAGCTGGGCGGCCTGCCTTGACCAAATCCTGAAGCTCGCTAATGCAGCGGTCCACCTGCGCAGGGAAAAGGGGAGCCCCGCAATGAGGGCTGTTTTTGTCTGGCCTCATCATCTGCGCCGCACGGCACTCTTTCAGCACTGACTGTCGCCTTGCATCAGATGCAGCAAGAGAAACCAGAAAGCCGAAAACGCAAGCTCCAATTGGCAAAACTTCCAATTTTTCGGCCCTATACAGTCTGCCTCAGCAACTGTATCTGTGCGCACAGCTTCGCCTGAGCTCGCTCAAATACGACATCTCGTGCTAGCTCAACTTGTTACGTGGCCGGATTTTCTGGGCACCTCACTCTGTGGCAGCCTGCCCAAACTCGGAACCTGCACTGCACGGCACCGATCTCACTAGCGCCTGTCAAATGAAGGCACGCCTGTGTATGACTCAAACCCCCCATCCTGGCCCCGCTCCAGCATAGACATCGCCAGCTCCTGTCACGCTGCATTCCCCCTAGAAAATTCGCAACGGTCTGCAGTTTGTGTAGGAAATGCCAGCAATGGCCCAAGTACAATCGCAGCCTGCTTTTCGCGGAGGTTCTGGATTTCAGCGCTCTGTCGCGATCGGGCCTCAGATGCTTCAGTCTCAGCCATTGCGGAGATGCAAAAGGCCGCTGTCACATTCTTTTCTGCCCAGAACCATGTGAAGAATTGGGAAGGCGGCCGCAGCTATTTATTGTTGGGGATTGTCCCTGACTAACCTTCATCTACCCGGGTTTTGATTGTGGCTCAGGTGGGACAAATTGGCGCAGCTGATTTCCATCATAAGTGCCCCACAACTGTTCCGCTGGCCACACCTTGCTTCGCAGCTCCAAATGCAGATCGCCAAATCCGCGAGCGGCCGAAAATGATGGCCAACTGTAGGGCCGGCTACAAAGTCGACGAAAAGAAGGGGCACTCCATCCACATGTTTCGGCCCATGTTCCCAGGCAACCATGGTCAGGCTTCGCCTCCTTCCTTTTGAAAGCCAGCATCAGCTCGAAGCCTCTCCTCTCGGCGCCTCTCGGCTCCCGGCGCGCGGCAGACACTAGCGCGGCAGCGGCTGCGATGACCGTGGGATGAAGGGCGCCGGACCCCTGGACTTCGAAGCTTCGAGCTTGCGATCCGGATTGACACTCGGCGATTCCGGCGCTCCGGATCCATCCCGTGCCTCCACGCCGCTCTGCCATGAGCGCACCGAGCAGTCGGGATCTCGGGCCGAGTTCACAAAGGGCGCCACGTGAAACGAAAGATTTTTGAAAAGCCAGGCCCGTACCGACTGAAGAAGGCGCGGTGAGGGAAGGCGGCACCAACGGCAAGGTTTGGACTGAAGCCTCAGTTTCCCGATGCTTGCCATGAACCTGCCTCCTCATTCTGAGAATCAGACTCACCAAACGTCGAAACAGGACATACTCTGGGGTTGGGGTAGAGTTGGGTGGAGTTGGAGCTGGGGCCGGGGTGTGTTGGAGTGGGTGGCCGCTGCGTCCGTGGCCGCCCTTTGAGCTTCCACATGATTTGCTCCACAAAAATTGCCATGGGTCAAAATCCAAATCGTACCCCCAGTGAACATCCGAATCCCCACTAAAATAGACCTAAATGGGTGGTGCACCTACCCCAATTAGTTTTGACCCACAGCCAAATCAGTCGACACCGACTCGTCAAATTGGACGAGCAACTGCAACGCTGACCGCGTCCTCACCTTCCTCCATTGGCCCGGCATATCCGACTGGGGTGCTGATTGGCGTGATAGCATACGGGCTTTGTTGACGCGCATGACGCATCCTCCCAAGTCGCCATGTGGATCCATTGAAGTTAATGTAGCAGCTAGCACCTGTCAAACAAAAAGAAAGGCCATTTTGCTTCTAAGGTCTGCGGATCACACTGAAGCCTGCGACTCAACAGTTGGCACTCTCACTTGCAAGCCTGCAATTAAGCAGGCCCCTCTCATTGATTGGAAAAGCGCCGCCTTTTCCAGCGCGGAGGCGATGGGGGATCAGACATTTCGCGGGCGGCGCTTGCATGAATTCATTGAATTGGAAGCATTAGCTGGGCGATGGCACAAACGCCATCAAGTCGAGGGTCTACGAGCGGCTCGCAAGGCTGCAGTCACCTTCCGCACATCGCCGTATCAATTGCGCCAAAATGAGAACGATTCCAACAGTACTGCAATCCTGGCACTGCTGCCCCCAGCCTTGCGGTCGCTATGCTCTCCGTGGATCCTCGCGGAGATTTCTGCATCGGTGCAGCCCAAGGCACCGAGCTTTGGGACCCTTCGGCTCCTCCCTCAAAGCACTTCATCATCTCCAAGACCCGGCCAGAGACTTGTCGCCTGGTCGCTGGAGCTTCGGCCCTCAGCGTCCACGTCTCAACATGGTTTCGAGGGCCTTCGGAAGGCCCCCCTCGCTCTTGGGGTGCTTTCTTGGTTTCCACCTTAAAAACCGTCCAAAAAGGGGCAGCTCAAAAAAAAGAAATGGCTATGAAATTCTATCAGGGACCCTTTGGTGGACATCATTCAGGTGGGGAGAAAAAGGTCCACCAGTCACTTTTTGGATGGCTCCATCAAGTTCGTAGAGCCAGAGGAGGAGGCTCCAAGGCTCTGGCTGGGAAGAGCTTGCCGCCTCCTGCGCTTCTTACTCGGCAGGCAACACCTTCCGAATGCGTCGCTCCCGCCTGCGCTCCCAACAACTGCAACGCTTGCCTTGCCGGCAGCACCTGGCGACCAAAATGCAAAGAAGAAGAAGGCTCGGCCTCAACGTGGGTGTCGCTTTACTTTGGGTTTATACCATCGTGGCTTCGCACCCCTCCAACTACCCAGCCACTGGGCTTTGTACCCCCAGGGTGTCCTTTACATTTCTTTCAACCCAATCTTGCAAGAAAGAAAAAAAAAAAACGGCCACCAAACGAGCAAGGGCGGCCCGCAGCTCCAGTGGCAAGTGCCGCAAAGCTGATGCCACCAAATAATCCACCTGCCGCGACCCCGCCCGCGACCCAACCAGCCCACGGGGCTCCGTTCGCGTCCTCGTCGCAGGACATCTTGGCTCGTCCCATGAGCTCGTTGAACTTAGCACAGCGAACATTCGCACCGCGCTGCGCTGTAAGAGGCGGGCGAGGGAAAAAAACATGGCTGTGGTTGTCAAAAATGGGGTAACCCCAAAACAGAACCCTGGTAAATGGAACCAAGGACAAACATCTGCCTCCCCTCTGGCGGTTTTATTTTGACCCACACCCACATGGGGCTCCCTGCGATCTTCTCCTTCGCCTCTTTCGCAACAACCTGTGGGGAGCTGGCGATGACACGGCTCACGCCCTGCAAGCCCCGCAGTTCTAGTACCCCAGTGAACATCCCAATCCCCACCAAAATAGGTTCTAAAATGGGTGGTGAATTCACCAATCCCAACCAAAATGGGATCCCAAAATGGTTTTGACCACAGCCACATCTCATAGGGCAGGTGCCAAGGCGGATCTCAAGCGGATCTCAGGCTCAAAGTTCGGGAATGCTCCGCAAGATGGGTGTGTCTTTTTTTTGAGGCTGCCCCTGCGTGGGCCTTTGGGAAACAAAAAGGGCACCCGCCCTTTTTGCGCCTTCTTTTAAAGGGTGTTTCGAGGGAAACAAAGAGGCCACAAGAATCATTTTTGGGCGCCTTCTTAAAAACCAGACACGCCCATACTCGACAATCCAAACGTTCAGGTGGCTTGGGTGTTGTCTTGCACAGGAATATCTACCAGCGTTCTGATGTTCGGAATGCCACGCATGTCGCGATCCAATGATCCAAGTCTCCTCCAGCATCCTTTCCTCCCATGGATCCATGGCCTGGGAACATGGCTTGCTCCTAGGGGGATGTGACTCTCAGAGTTGGCCGCTTCAATGACTCGTCAAGCTGATTTCCCCCGTCTGAATGCTCCGCCAGATCTGGGGCAACAGCGCAAGGCGGCCGTGGGCGGCTGGGGCGGCACGTGGCTTCAGGCCGAGTTCCGTCCTTTCTGCGCATGTGAGCTTGACATGAACCTTGATTCATTTTCAAGTCTTTGGAGTGTCAAATCACGAATGGGCCCATTTAAGCTGCAGCTGCAAAGGCGACATGATCGCCAAATGGCAAGGTGGGAGCAGCAATCGCAAAGCGCAATGGATCCATCGCCTAGCGGCTGGCCACCCAGCACCGCACCTCTTTTCTGCTTGCTTTCGCTTGCGGATCTCGCTGACGGCAGGCCTTTCTGTGGCTGTATTGGATATGTTATTCGGTCTGGCTGATGCAGCTGCAAAAGATCTGAACTGATGGAAAGCACTTGAGAACGCGGGAAATCTTGTGCCCAGCATCTAGCAACTCATCTCAGCTTTTCGGATGCAATTGATACGCGGACAGCCGATCGCCACCTCTGGATCACCACGTCCGTGTTTGGCCATTCGTACTTGTCGGAGGACTTCAACGAAATCAATGCAGCACCGAAGGCAATCGCGTGGACTGCCTGCATGTTCAAGCCGGCCAGCTTCTTTGCCAGCAAGTCGTCGAGCCACCGACCTTCCTGACGCTTCAACGACGGCTCTTCCGCGGGCTCTTGCTTTTCCGCTTCCTGGCCCAACCGCTACTTGGCAGAAGCTCAGCGGGCATGTAGCGCCTCGGCGAGACCAACTCATGACTCGGCGAGGCCAGCTTGCTCTCCCGCTCGGCATGCCGAGGTTCCAGGGGCGAGGAAGAAAGCAAGGCGTCCAATGCGGGCTTGGGCTTGGATGGCTTGGAATTCCCACTCATTGGTCTGTCACATCGCAGAGATTGATGCCCTGGAATGCTGGACTCATCGTTTTTGCGGGATTGCACTGACACAGGCCGCAAGAATAATCTGCCATGTGCCTTCACCTCACCATCGGCAGCATGCCCTGGCGATCCTGGCGATCCTGGCGCTCCCGGCGATCCTGGCGATCCTGCTCCCGTCTTTTCACGGGCTGAAACAGCCAACGCCTGGCCTGCCAGTCTGCTTTTGGGGCTGTCACGCTCGTCTGGCTTCCACTCCGCATGTAAACCTCCGGTCAGGCCAGGCATGAGGCGATCGCCTGGCCGTCTGCAAGGCAACTGCGGCGCCAGCTCCGTGCACCGCGCCGGGAGCTGAAGAACACACGGGCTTCCTTTCACAGCGCACGACTGTTGATCAATCAGACTCAAGGAGATGTGGCACTGGTTCTCTGGCGAAGTCACAGACAAGGTGTATGACAGAATGCCCCTGTTGATGTCGACCCAACAGCTCGTGACCTTGGATTCCAAGCCGGCCACCGCAGGCTTCCAGCGCTGCGTGTGCGGCCCCAACCCACCGAAGCTAGGCCCCAGCGCTGCCACGGCTGCGATGCCACAGGGGCAGCGCAAAACCTGCTGCTCGGGGCCCTTCAGCAGAAGACAAAATTGCACCTCAAACTTGGCGACGTTGGCAACGTCGCAAGCCTCTGGCGACTTTAAGACCTTCAGCTCGCAGTGCTCGCAAGCTGAGTCCCACTCGGGCTGGACATAAATGCTCGCGGCGTTGGCGAAGACCCGGACATTGCGCGAGTCCCCAGTCCATCTGGCATGAAAATTGGTTTGCCCGCAAACCAGGCCGGTCCACCTAGTGACGTGCACATCTCCGTGTCGCTGCATGACCTGTTGAGTCGGGTGATCCGGCGTTGCGTTCGCCGAAACAGCTGTGATTTGAAAACTGCCCGAAGATGTCGCACTCGACTGCAAGAAGGCGGGACCTGTTGGCTCCGCAGTTTCCCACGCCATCATTTTTCTGGGGTCTGCACCCTCCCTCTCTTCACGTGCACATGGCACCAAGGTGACCAGCACCTCAGTATTGACTTTGCAATGCCAGGTGTTTGTCAGGCTGCACCACGCAACGTTCTCCGGAAAGTCGGGCGACGCAAACTTCACCGTGATCTCAGAAGTTGGCAAAACGGATGCCTTGCGTTGATCAGGGCATGCCAACGCTCTCAATCTCCGTCTTTCTGCTGTGGCCGGCCGTCTATCACGCTGCTCCAGTTGGGTCAACAGGGAGCGTGGGAAAGCCCACCCCAGCCAGGCTCCACAAGCCTCGCACCCCACCAGGTCCGTCAATCCACAGGCGGCGGCGTTGGCGGGACAGGCCGCGTTTGGCGTGGCCATGACCCTTGCTGCACCACTCAGCCAAAAACTGATTTTGGCATCTGCCATGTGACATGGCTTCGGCAAAGCCTCCAGAGAATCGTTCGGCAATGGCTGATGAGCAGGCGCATTCAGCAGGCTCTTCACCATGCAGCACATCTTCGAGCAGGATTTGCAACGCAAGGCACCCGATTTGCCGACTTGCTTGGGAGTATCAGGCAAAACACGCTCAATCTGCAAAGCATACCAAGCATCCTCGCTGCCGTCTCGACTACCCAAAGTACCTTTGCATTCATCTTGCCCACCTCCACTGCCAAGACTGAGTTGGCTGTTCGGGCTTGCACAGATTTCAGCCCATCGCGCCTGTGTCTGGCCACTCTCTTGCGATTCCCTGTGCAGCTTTGCTCTTAACATGCCGCCGCTACCAGTAGCCACCTTTGCAGCGTCTGCCCTCATGGCTCTCGAAAAGATCATTCCGCGATGAGTTGTGTCATCTTTGAAGATCTAAGTTCAATTTAAAGGCAAGGAGACAACACATGAACCATGCAATTCTGGAACTGCTGAGCAGGCTACCCTCACGCAGGAGATTGCTATGCGATGAGATGTTGAGTTTCACACAAAGCAAAGGCATGGCTTTGGAGCTCCAATCCAAAGCATTGCTTGGCCAAGCATGCCAAAAGTGTCTGCAGGCAGTCGCATATTTTGCCCTTTGGGCAAGCGAAAGAGTCGGAAGCAAATCTTCTGGCCATAGCTCCATCACACCAGGAAGGGCAGAGGTTCCTGAGCTGCACAGATTTGTACACACTCAGCACAATCAGCTGAAAATTTGGGGCCGATGGCTTTTTACTCTTGCGCATGGCACATCTCAATGAAAAGTATTCTCAAGTCTCCCATGTGCAGCTGGGTTTGGCTCAAAGGAGCGAGAAGAAAAATAAGAAAAACTGGCGGATTTGGTCACTTGCAACTCCCTCGCTGAGGAGGTCGCCATGTGCATGGCCTTTGGCACCTCGGCCAAAAATTGCGCCGCGCAGCGCTCGCGGGCGGGCGCAGGGCTCTCAAGGTTCGAGCCCAACGAAGTCATCCCGGACGCTGGAACCTGCCTGAATCCTTCCCGGCCAAATTGAGCTGTGGCTCTTTTTTGTTAACCAGAATTGCACCTTGGTAAATGGAACCCAACACACACCTGCGGTTTGCCCTGGCTCTTTAATTTTGAGCCACACCCATTTGGCTCAACCTCTTTCTGCTTCCCTCCCTGGGTTGGCAAGAGGGAAGCCAAAGGGGAGCACATGTCGGCTCCTATTTGACACGGCTGCACCCCAATTTCTGTGGGGCCGGCCTCGGCAACCAGCGCCCTGCACAAAAACCGTCACGAGACACCTTCCGCAGATCAAACAATTGCCGCGCCTCGTGTCGCTTGGCAGAATGGGCTCCAGCACTTCTGCTGGAGGAGGCAGTTGCCTAACATCTCTCTCTCTCTCTCGCTCTCCCTCTTTCCGCCAGGATGTCAAATAAGATATGTGTTGATCAGAGCACAAATAAAATGCGAGGCTGTCAAGTCACGCCAACCCCGACTTCAGTTGTTTGACCAACGTGAAACCTTCTGCGCGAGCTCATGTTGACTGAGGCAGGTCAGGCTCCCACCTCACAGCAGCCGGCGCGATCAGCAGACCGATGAGGACAAGCGCCCTGCTCAGAACAATCTCCTGGGAGGTGTCGAAACAGATCCGGCGGCCCATCCTAAAAGGGAAACCACATGAAACCAACCACGCGGAGGGACAACAAATGCATTTGGCACTTGCCCGCGAAACACGGATGATGACATGTCAGTGGAAACTGCAATTTCATGCCAACGGGGGTTGGTCTCAAACTCAAAATGGTGGACCTCCCAAAAAAAGAGTGGTTGCTTCTTGAAAAAGGCTTTTTGGTTGTCCTTGAGAAACAACCAAACAGGGTACTTCAAACAAACAAACACACCCACACAGAAACACCGACCTCAAAGCAACTCAACCCGTCGAGGAAAATCCGTCCTCCTCCCAGGTCTGAACTCCCACCTCGTGCGGCAAAAAGAAAACCAAAAAGAAGAAGGAGGAGCTCCATGGTGAGATGGGATTGAACATTGGGAACCTTTCTCTTTCTCCAACATTTCAACCAACATTTCTCAACCAAACCTTTTTTCTCAACCAACGTTTCAGCTACCCAAAGAACTCGTAGACCTCGGCACATCTCTCTGCCTGTCCTTGGTTTTGGTGCGAAACGAAGCTTCGAACCCCCGGGCCCAGGCGGCAATCAGACTCAGCCCCAGGACCAGCGCTGTAGAGCGCTGGGCGGGCGGGGCAGATGGCGCGTCTCGAAGTGCCACTTTTTTGGGGGGGAAACTGGGAGTTGCTCCAGTCCCAAAACTCATCTTTGCTGCATCTTTCATGGGAAACCGAACAAGCCAGGCATTGCGGGGAGTCCCCTAAAAAGACACTCAAACACACACCCACACACACACACACACATGGTTTCAAGCGCAAGGCTTAACACAGGAGCAATGGAAACCCAGCTTGACAGAGTGAACAAAATGATGCATTGACTTGCACACGGTTCATGCACTGCTTCTTGGGGATGCATCTGTCCATCCGGGTTTGCCGCTTGATTCCAGTGTTCAACGCTCAGATGGGTGTGTCTGCTTTAGCGGGCACCTGATCTGGGATGCTTGAAAGGGTAACCATCGGAAAACCATCTCCTCTTGGTTTAGATCCTTTTTTTCTTTTGGGGGGAGGGGGGGGCGGGAGGGCGGGGGGTTATCTTTTAGACACGCCCAGCTGTGTTTTTCCTCACGACTTTGATTGGATACGGGTCCAATGCACGAAAAAAACGCCCGCCTGGGGGTGCGCCAAGCTCCTGAGACGGCAGCTTGGAAACGGCCGTGAGCCCTAGGGCTAGCGCGGTCTTGGAGGGTACCCTGTTTTCACCTTGGTTTTTTAAAGGGAAACCAACAGAAAAAGCACAATTTCTGGGTGTCCCACAAACACACACCCATAGGGGTTCTTTTGAGGATATGTTTTTGGGGTTGATTCAAAAAGAAACGGATGGAAAACCACCATTTTGGGGATCCCCCCCCAAAAAAAAACATACAGTACCTAATCAGTGGCAATCTTGAACAGCACGAGAGCCATGGTCTTGTGCAAATGGTACCAGGATTCACAACCAAAGAGTCAACAGGGACAAATCACTTGCTTGGCACACTAGTGGGGCCGCTGATCTTGCAGTGGCCATTCAAAGGAGAGTCCTACGCCAACCAAGAGATGCCGGTGGCAACTCGATACGCCACCAACGTTGCGGTCCCGCTAGGGAAAGTCCCAAGCGAAAAATCTGCAAGTGCAAGGCTGACAGGTTGCCAAAGGCGTCTTGAGAAACCCGATGGCCCCCAAAAAACCGAATGAAACTTCCGGAGCTTCGATGCACTCAGCCCCGCAGAGCCGTCGAAACGGCTTCGCGCCTCACAAAGTTCGCCAGGGAGCCGCTGGCCACCTCCTTGACACCCGAGCAGTCGGCCTCGGGCGGGGGAAAACCACGCAAAACGGGGAGACGAAACGGAGGGAGAGGCATGCATGTATCCATCAAGCTTAGGTTCCAGCATCCCCAGGTGATTCTGGACTTTCCTGGAACTGTCGAAATATCATCTCGCTACCGTGCTGCCTCTCACATAGTCGACCCAACTCATCTTGATGCTGAGACATGAACCTTCCAAGACAAATCTCCCAAGGCTTGAAGTGTCCTTCCGCCGCCGCATGTCAGGTCATGGCTTCGTGAGCGAATTGCTCTGGATGGTCTTCGTTCTGCGTTGGTGTCTCTCTGCTGTGAGGCTCCGAAAAAGTGAACAAACATCAGGCATGACAGTTGGGCTTGTCTGAAAATGGTGGGCACCCTTGGAATGTGGGGCTTCCTTTCGATTTCTCTTTTGAACAGAAGGTACCCGAAAACACACGCACACATGTAGAAACTCTGGCACTTGAAGGCTTGCGCAGTGCGGCCTGAGCAATGCGTGCGCAGACAACTTGTCAACGCAAAGTCAAGAGTCACGTCCCGCAACTTTGGCTGTGGGTCAAAAATAGGTACCCAGAATGGATCCCTGGCAAATGGAACATGGACTAAAACCTGCGGTCCCCTGTTGGTTTAATTTTGACCCATACCCACTTTGGCTTTGCGTCGCTTTCTTTTATCAAGCCAACTATAGTGGGGAACTCCTCACTGCTACGAGCTGACTGGTGGTGCCCCGTCTAAACAGTTTCAGACAGAGCACGGCTTTGCCGATTCCACTTCCACCAGCCCCAGTGGGGAAAAAAGGCTTGAAAGATCTAGGTGCAAGGTTGAAAATGGAGACTGAAGCCACATGATCCAAGGGCTTGTGTGCAGGCGCACAAGATGCTGAAGCATATAACATAAAACATATAAGCGAGAACTGCACCACGACAGCCTTGTCACTGCGGATCATGTTGGCTCATCTTTATTTTACTCACGCAGTGCACATGTTGCCTCGGCTGCACTTCCCTTCCGCGCCGGACAAGTTATCTGACGCCGGGGCGGGGGCAGCTTGCGTCCACGGACAGGGCGCTTGCGGACTGACCTGGCGATGCAGCCAGCCGCGCCAGGCGCAAAAAAGTGGCAAAAGACGAGGTCCCCGGCGAGCACCCAAAGGCTCTGGTTCGCCCTGGGATGGATTTGTTCGCTCTTTTTGTATGACATGGGTGTGTGTGTGTGTGTTTCTTTTGGGCTGCCCTTTTTTTGTGGTTTTAAAGGGAAACCAAAATCCAAAACGGCCATTTTGTGGGTCCAACCAAAAAACAGGCCCATTTTGTGCATCCCAAACTGAGTGCATCCCTACCAAAAGTAAGGCGGGGGCGGGTGGTCGCCTCTTGCCCGCGCCCGCACACTCTGCCAAAGACTGCAGGAACCTGGCGAAACAATCTGCGGATCGCAACCAGGGCAGCCTGCCTCGCAGTCACGTGACCTTGTCAAATTGGAAAATGGTTGGATTCCCCTGCTATCAAATCAAGGCAAAAGGGAGTGCTCCTCAAGATGTGGTTCCCACCTGTCCAACTTTCTTTGAAGGGACACACATACAAACCAACAACCATTTCTGGGAGGCGTCAAATTTCTAGCAACCACTACCGCCTGGTCGTTCCTGTCGATCCAGTTGCAGACACCTGGGAGCTAGTCACCAACACGCAACCCGGCTCCACGCATGGGTTGCTTCAAAACTTTTATTCCTTTAACAATTTGTTCTCTTCCCTTTTCGCTTCCGCTTTAAATCAACAAAAAGGGGTTCCCCGCCCCTCTCGCCCGAGTTCCTCGCCAATGCTTCTTCGAAGCTAAACATGCTGTGCATCTCTCTGGACCTCAGCCGATGAGGTCGTGGCATACTCCAAATGGACCCCCAACATCTGCGATTGTGCGGTTGCAAATGGGCAGGGGCCATACATATATATATATATATTAATATTAATATGTAAATATATACATATATATATATATGTATTTAATACATATATATATATGCATATATTATCTATGTATTGTTTGAAGGCGAGGTATCTTCATTTGAGACATGCAAAGAAGAGAGAGCATGTGAGTCTGTCTTTAGGAATCGGACCCCACAAAAAATGGCTTCGGGGGTGCTGTGGGTGTCCCTTTAAAACCAACCCCAACAACGGGCACCCTCGAAAAAACATAGACCCATTTGTGCCGACGCAAGCCTAGTAAACATCAAAGTCTCGGGATCCCACGTCTGTCGGTGCCGACCCGCAGCAGACCGCTGAGTTGTCACCTAGAGACAAGGAATCTCTCCCGGCACGGCATCAAGGTCACACGGGGCGTGCCTTTTTTGGTGGCGAAGGGTATCCTTCTTTGTTGAGGTCTCAAAAGGAAGCCAAAAGGAAAAGGTAATTACCCCTTTTTGCTTGGTTTGAAAGGGAAACGAAACGGAAAACCGTTTGGCCATCTTGGGCTCCCCTCAACAAAGCCACAACACACAAAGGATCTGGGGCAACGGCTTCCAACAGTTTCAGGCGCAATGCTGAGCCGAGACCTGTTCGTGAGGCACATGACAACTCTCAAGCTCAAGTCACAGCCTCGCCTCCCTCCAGAAAATCTCCTCTGGAGCAAATGCCTGCAGGCTCAAGAGGGTGCGATTTCCGTAGCTCAGGCTCCTGCTCTACCTCGACGACGTTTTTTTCCCCGGGGTGTGTCCGGGATTTTGCTGGAAAGCGCAGCTTTTCCGGATTCCATGGGGTGCTGTATCGAGAGCAGTCCACTTCTGGAAGCTGCAGTTGCTTATGGACATGGCAAGCGAGTCCGATAATGACACCCATGAGGAGCAAAGGCTGCAACAAAACACCTTCCATGCTCAGAGGTCTCATCATCGCTCGCTCAGGCCAGCGGTGGAGGCATAGCTGTACATGTCTCAATTGCACTTCGTTGCCTTGGCCTGTGCTGAAGCGCCAAAGAGCATGTCTTTCGTGGCATGGGCCGTTTTCTCGAGCCTTTTGTTCGGCAATCCCCCTGGCTAAGAGCCAGCCTTTCCCAGCTACCTACTTCCTGGGCTCGGCACGGCCGACGCAGAGCCGGGATTTGAACCACGCCCCGTTGTTGATGAAGTGGCACTTCAGTTCCCCCGGGGACTTCGCCGCGTAGTGCCCACTCAGCACGCCCTCCGTGGCCTGCAGCAAACCATCCGACTTCTGCACCAGCTCAGGCTCTTGGCCTGAGGCGTGGCCCTTTCGAGGGCGCAGGGCGCCGAGTTCGGATTTCGGGGGGCGAAGGGTTCGGAAAACCTCGAGGTTTCAACCGAGATCGACTCATTTTGGGGCTCAACAAAGATCGAAACCTGTTTCGAGCCACCCGCCTTCTGCCACAAACCAGAGCTCGTAGGAGATGTCCCAGTAACACACCCGCAGCTCCCAGTCCACGGTGCAAGGCTCCTGGACCCTCAGAAGCGACACCTCCTCGGTGCACCTCGCGCGGACGAAGGTCACGTGGCACGGGCCCGCCAGGCCCGCCACGCCCTTCGTCCGCAGCATCCCGCCCAGACCTTCCGGGACCACCTCCGGCTTCAAGGTCTCGAAGAGCTGCGCGTGGTCGTTCTCCCCCAAGATCTGGAACTTCTTCAGCGTCCTCTCCGGGATGAAAAGCGAAAACGCCTTGAAGAGTTTGGCGAAAGCCGAAGGGAAGTTCACGAAGATGGTCTTGCCCTTGGTTTCAGGGTAGTGCTCCGAGAAGACCTTGGTCACCGCGGAAACTCCATCCTTCACCTGCGATGTCTGAAAGATCAAGGGCACTCCCGAGTAGTCGTGCACCTGGGTCAACTCTTCTGGCTCGCCCTTCTTGAATGAAATCTTCGCCATCGCCTCCTCCATCAGCTTCGCCCGGTACCTCACGAAGGCCTCAATATCCCCGAAGACCTTCTCCAAATCCATCTGACCGAATCGGCTGATCATCACCGGCCTTCCTTCCACATCCAGGCCGCTGATGACGTCATGGCCGCGGTAACACTCCGGGAGCTCCGCATCTTTCAGGGAATCTATCTGACAGTCGGCGCGAAAAATGAGGGTCTGGACGATCCGCTCGGCGGCCTGGTCCACGTCTAGCTCTTCGGCACGGATGTACTTCAAGAGCACAATATCCGAGGCGTCCGACTGTTTCTCCAAGTCCACTCCCCAAATGGCGGCCTTGGCCTTGGCGTCGTCGGAACCCGCCCGCGCCTGCGACACCAGCTGCGGCACGCGGCTCCGCAGCTCGCCCAGCTTCTCCTTCTCTGCTTCGCCCAGGCAGTGCAGGAAGCACTTCGACAAATCGGCCATGGCGAACACAAAAAACCTAAGCCCCCGAATGGAGGAGAGCTCGGCGAAGGCGCCCTATAGGTCGTCTCGATCCTTGATGCGCAAGGAGAAAGGTCGGCGACATGGGCCGCAACCTGCGTCCCTATGAGGGCCTCTCAAAACAGGACAGCTCCTCTTCTTGGATGGCTTACAGGGAACAGAACGGGTCCAAAAGGGGTCCCAAATTGTTGGGAGAACCCATGAAAAGAGGGAGAGACAATACTCCGACGCTCTCTTGGCAAGCATGTCAAAGGCGGGAGACTAGCATTCCCACCTTCTCGGAGGTTCCACGGATCTGCATGCGCCAGTGCCAGGTGGTGCTTGCTCGTATGTCCTTCCAACTTCCAACGTCTGAAAGCTATTTTGACATGCCTCGCGTGGTAGCAGGAAAACGCCGGTCGGATCATGAAAAAGGTGATTAAACGACAAAAACCACGGCCGCACCTGACCACAGAAAACAATGCGTGGCGTGCTGCCAATGGCGACACCTCATACCACGGCAGTGTCCTGACATAGGACTGCCAGGCTCTTCGTCCGGCACGTTGCTCGGAGTCACCACCTGCAGCTCGGCAGCGGTCAGGGCAACACTACGGTCGTCCGCCGTGAGTCGCGGGCGGAAGACTTTGGAGTCACCGGCTTTGACATCGTCTCCTGCAGATCAGCTGAGTTCAAACCTCGGAAGATAAAATTGGTTTTAAAAAAAAAAACGCCTCGGTGGTGACTTTCCAGACATCTCGCACCAAGTCCAGGCACTTAAGGTCAGCCAATCTTCCTGTTCGATTGCTCGATCTCTGTCTGTGTGTGTGTGTGTCTTGAAAAGGCGCCTTCAAACTCTCGCGCGACAGCTCGAGTGATCTGGCCGCGCGTGAGGAAGCCTACCTGGCGTCGCTGAGCTTTTCTCCTGCATCCGATCTAAACCAATCCCGCCTGACTCCAATCCCAGAAGTCAAACCACCTGGCAAAGCAAGCTCACCTCAACCCCTCAAATGAGTCATACAAATTTATTGTATATACCCGAAACCAGTGTACGGTACAGAAGAGGCAATGCTCTTGCTGTTGATCATTCGAGTATTTAGTTTAGCTCACATCTCCCTTTTGCACAGACAAAAACAAGACATTCGAGTGGAAGCAGCGTGTGAAAATTATGTGCTCCATACTCCTCAAAGAGATATTTCACATCTTCTTCGGGGCTCCCGCATATTTCTCCCCAACACCACCCGGATTTTTGCCCATCTGGTTTCCCGGGAAAACATATACATGTCGAGCAGGTGCAGTCGGGGGAGGGGGGGGTGGGCACTGGACGAGTCCAGGCCTGCCAAGGGCTTCAGAACTGGCGGCAGCGGCCAGACCTGAACCGGAACCGGTTCCCCCAAAAAGACCTGGGCAACCCACAAAATGGGTTGGGGCTTCCGGGAAAGAAACAAAAACAGCCCGAAAAGGGTGCAAACAAACAGGGACCCACCCAGAATCAGCAAAAGAATGGAATCCGGCGGGGGGGGGGGGGGAAGGATACAAAAAACATAGACTCACCTGCAATCAGGAAAGGAACGCCTTGCAAAAGGATGCAAAGCGGTTCAGAGGTCAATCCAACTGGGCGCGGACTGCTAGAGCTACGAGCCAGGCATGGATGTGGACGTTGGCCGCGATGCACTAGCTTCAGTCGAGCAAGGATCCAGACCTCACATCGATCCGTCGGAATGAGAAGTCTTGGGGCACCCAAAATCGGAGCGACGATTCAAATCGCCAGTGGTTCTTTTCCTGGAACAACCAACCAGTGGTCATGTGTAACAGACACCAGGCATCCCCAGCGAAATCTCGGGGCGCAAAGCTTTCCAG